AAGCTCTTTTAGACCACCTCAAGGAAAAGCCTGGCCAATATCTTGAGGAGATGGCAGTCTTTCTGTATGATGAATTTGGTATCTCAGTGTCGCCCTCCACCATCAAAGGGACTCTTTCTAGGGAAGGTTGGACTAAAAAGAAAGCCCGGCAAAAGGCAAAAGAGCAGAACCCTGATCTACGAGATTTCTACTTTCATAAGCTATCTGATTTTCATTCGTATCACCTAGTGTACGTTGATGAGTCTGGATGTGACAAACGCATAGGTTTTAGGAGGACGGGTTGGTCTCCACTGGGAGTGGCACCGGTTCAAGTGGCAAAGTTCCATCGGGGCCAGCGCTATCAGATATTGCCTGCCTATTCCCAAGATAGTATACTTCTTTCTCGTGTTTTCACAGGCTCAACAGATGCTGTTGTCTTTGAGGGTTTCATTGAGCAGCTCCTCCAGCTCTGTGGAAGATGGCCAGAGCCAAAGTCTGTGCTAATCATGGATAATGCATCTTTTCATCATGCGGAGAGGATCAAGGAGATGTGCTCTGAAGCAGAGGTTAAACTTTTGTACCTGCCACCATACTCACCAGACCTAAATCCTATTGAAGAATTCTTCTCTGAGCTCAAAAGTTACATTAAGCGAAATTGGGAATCCTATGAGATGTTGCCTGATTAGGGTTTTAATACTTTTCTTCAAAGATGTGTGGATGCTGTTGGTGCGAGAAGAGAGAGCGCAGAAGGTCACTTTCGCCACGCTGGTGTAACTATTGAAGAATATATTTATGACAAATATGTTAATTAACTGTTATTAAATATTACTGTACTACCTAGGTTCAACAGGGTAGGAAGCCTTTTGTGAAACTATACAGCGATGACGTTCATATCACGAAGCAATCAGATTAGAAAATTGCTAATATATTTGACCGGTTCCTAAATCGTAATCGGATGAGGCGTCCAATATCTGTAGATCCATCTGCGTTGACGCAAGTCTCAGCCATCTCTCGGAGAGTTTTTTCTATGTAATCATCCGCGCCGCTAAGTTTCAGAATGTGGGCAATAGCACAATGGACCTCAAGAAGCTTCCTAGCGGGTGGGTCAACATCAAGCTCAGGACTGAGATTAAGCTCGCGGGTAACTGGAAATAATGCGTCACGTAAAAAGGGCCTCTGTTCAGTCGAGTCAATGATGTATATTCGGTCATTTTCAGGATCTTTTTGTTTGAAATATATCTCAAATTCTCCGAAAAGTCGATGATAACTGTGTGTTAGCGTCAATGCATTGTAGGGATTATCAATATCTGGACCTGCGATAAGAGGGCTAATGTCTGGGTCGAACATATTCAGAAAATGTAATGCAGCCTTTTTCGAGTCACTCTATAGGCTGTGATTAGAAAGAAAACAACGTCTTGCTCAATATACTGGTCACATACCAATTCTGACTCTTCTGAAGAGACCGTCGCGAGGGAATGGGGAATTATATGTGCCACTTCTAGATATTCGAACTGATCGCTTCTTTGATTCTTCAAAAGAATCCCGTCATCGTCTCTGCTATTCTCATTCTTCTCGAGTCGCTCTTTGGCTTCAGCTCTATCGAACTTTCGGGACACTACACAGCGGTGGTGATCGCGTTTGAGGCAGTTTTTTCGTAATCTAGAAACACGACTCTTCGTACCAGTCGGTGCATTCTGATTTGAAGATAGTGCCACAGGTGTGGGTTGAGGTGTTTTTACTGAAGACGCCCTTACTATAGCACGCCGCCATAGCGGTTAGCTAATGCCAGGATACTTCTACTACAAAGCAAGTAACTCACGTGGCATGAAGAAATTATCAATCATATATTCCGCAAAATTGTCAACAATAACTATGGCTTTATCTTTTGCCTTGGAATCCCACGACGAGAACGCGGAAAAGTAAGCGAAAGCTTGAGCGAAGCCTGAACCAGTTCTACGTTCTTCATCCGGTGATGCGTTCACAAATATGTATCTAAAGAAGGACTCGAGAAATTCATCCTTGCAATTAATACGTTTAAATGTTTCATGTATAAGAACAGCCGGCTTGTAGCGCCCCTTTAACGTACGCTCAGGTGCGTAGTCAATCAGCGTCTTGAACAAGCCTTGGGCCGCGTGACTCTCCTCTAATGTCAGGGGCGGCGGCCGAGGAGGATGGATAAATCTCGATAAGGAAAGTTGGTGTCGACGGTGTGCAGTGGCCATGATGAGATGGGGAGACAGCTACAAATTTGACCCCCAGTATGATGAGATGCAGTGGTGTTTGCTTAGCCGGCTTTATACCGGAACAACCTTTGTTCCGAGAGTGGAGCCCTTCCGTCGCAAAATCGGGGCCACAGAAAAAGCTGGGTCATTGAGACTTTGTTGAGTGTTGGAACAAATTGTATTCTTAGCATTCCTTTGATACAAATCAATCATTTGCTTGTTAAGAGAGTACAGAACTCCAACCCTTCAATTACAGAAACTAACAAATTGAATATTAGGCCATGAATGCAGCACAATTTCAATGCATAGTAAACTAAATAGGGGTTAGTAAATTTCCACACAGAAGTCTTTACGGGACGTGTCAAGAAAAGTACAGTACCATAACGCTCAACTGCCATTAGGAAGTCCCTAGATCCTTTCTTCATGCAATGAATCCCTTCTCACGTGTTTAACCCACTCACCAATGTCACGGACAAAACGTCGTGCAGTTCCCTTTGTTACCCCTTGTTCAATGAGGAATTGGCATATGCTCTTCATCCCTCTCAACTAACTCAAGGTCAAGACCATTTGGCAGAGTTATGTCACATGCCTTTCGCCAATCAGCTTTACGAATTTCGTCAGTTACCTGCATTTCATGCCATCTGCAATATTCCTTCACGGCTATATCCCGGGGCCCAGTGATTTGGAGTCTCTCATTTGAGGGTACAGGTCTGGGGCAGTGACGTAGATACGACAGGCTCATGTGCGCCCTGCGCGGGTACTGTAGGACAGTAATATTGATTGGACATGGAGCTCCAACTGTGAGTTGATTATTCACATTGTTTGACCCCCTCTCAAGCTTTTGTTGAGCCTCTAGGTATAATGCTTGTCGAATATTCTCCGGGACGTCGTCATGACTGTCCAGCTAGCCACCATTATTCACATGGTTAGTGAGTTCCTGAAGATGGGGTTTTCGGGGTTTGTAGTGTTTCCTGCCCTGAGGATCCTGCCAACACCACTGTCCAAAGTGGCAGCATGAAGTGACAGAACATCGCATAAGTTTGTATACATATCTCCAGGACGGACGAAGGTTGCTCAGATCCTTCCTCTTCAGCAAGAATCTGGGCGTCTCGTTCAGCAAGCATTCTCTTGGTGGCTGAAGCACCTCTTTTGTCACCTTTTCTCGGTGTACGATGCTGAAGGTCATCATCGTCGCGTATATACTTAAATGAAATAGCAATCTTGGGCTGTTTGCCCATACGAAGCAGATTGCTCCATTTACGAAGCTGTCTTTCCACTGGTCTCCAATCGATGTTAGTGGACTCATAGAGCTTCTCAAGGTCGTTCTGATTACGGTGGTTTACTGATACCACAATCGCCGTATCTTCTGACCGGACCCGCCGGTTACGTTTTTTCGACTGCACCAAACCTTCAATTTCTTTGTTTGAGGTGCTTCTCCCAATACTCACTGGGAGCTACGACCAAGTCCTGCTCAGTCTCCCTGGTCTCAATTCTGTGGTTGATTATTATCTTCCACGCGATTGTGTAGCAAATAAATTCCGACGGCTCTCTTTCATAATCCTCGCCCTCCTCCCCTTCAGCGAAAGGGAGGAATCTGAGGTAATCAGGCTGCGTTTGGCGGGTGATGGGATCCGGGGTAGGGCTTAGGGAATACAGCGTAGCGGGAGTACGGCCGAAGTTACCCGGTGTAGTGGCATATTGCGAACCTTCCTCCCATGGGTCGATCACCTGTGGTTGACTGGCTTCTGCATCATAGCTGGAAAGGCTATTTTGGTCATCCTTGAAAATTCAGGAATGGTTCCGATAGATCTAGCATTGATGCTGCAAGGGGTTAGCCCAAAGTTGCTTCCGTGCCCAATAGGGCATTCAATAACACGAAGCTATCCATAATAATAAGGGCGGAGTCTGTGCATAGAGAGCACTATTACAGTACCAATAAAGCGTTGCCTGTGAAACTTGACCCCGTGATAGCCTTGGGGGAGAAAACTACCTCCCTGCAGCAATAAACTGCAAGATACAGAAGAGAGCAAAAGGCCACTGTTGAGGTTGGCAAAACCAACATTCGCCATCCGTTTAGCGAATTGCACAGGATCTTCCAATAGATTCCAGCGACCAAGTATCACTCAGTACGAATTTCTATTGATAGCGTAATATATATACATGTCTGATACAGTATAAATTACTGATAATGATGTCACCAATCTATATATAGTTAGAACTATAATTTAGCGTCTTGGCATTAGGGTTTGGAAGCAACCTTGGCTCGTGAGAGACTGAAGCAGGTTTCGACCCTCAGTGTAAGAGCCAGACCATATCCGCGATTCACCTTCCATCCTTCCAAGGGATATACAAAGAAGATACAGTGACGCCCGTTATTGCTTTCCATGCTTGGATACATAGAGATGGTCTTTCAAACCCTAATCACATGATGTGCTAAACCTAATATGGTTATTTCCGTATTTGAAAATCTGTTACAGAGTTGAATGGTATAATACAGAACGCGTAAAAAACCGAGTAACTCTATGTTCATGTATTGTTACACCTCCAAAAATAAACCATGCCAACCATGACGTCATCCCAACTCAAGCAATAACCCAACCCGCTGCAAACTAGCACGAAACCTCGATCACTGGCAGTGTAAGATCATTGTCCATATGATACATTAATTCTCGAAATTGCCTTGACCAGTGCACACTGAGACTCTCTTTCGCGGCCCCACTGCCAAGGTCTTAGCGCAGATTTTCATTGGGCCTGCGACATCAAGTTGCGGCCTGCTGTAATGTGCCCCTTAGCTAGTACTGTAACTGTCCTGCACATGTAAATTGAACTGCATGATCTCTCGGAGCAATCTCATCCTGTTCCTGACGAAGATCTTCCACCACTTCTTCGAAATTGGTCACTCCAAATCTGCTTTTGCTTGGATGCTGTTTGTGGTTGTTTGCGACCCCTCCAAATGATTGGTTAGAAGTGGATCCAAGAAAAGTTTATTTACGAGCAAAACTGAATGAACATGTGTCCAGGGTTAAACCAAGCTCACCTTTTTGAAGCAAGACTGAGGCTCCGGTTTTCCCAATTTCCTGACTTTTCAGACTTCCTGGTCCATGTTTCTTCACAATCAGCAAGAAAGCCAAGAATCGTAATCAGGATACAGGAGCCAGACCGCGATGCATATCCTTGCAAAAGTTGCTGGCGGCGAAGTTGACGAGCATTACGATGTTCTCCAGGCATTTTTTGCTGAAGGTGCCGACGGTTCGGGCTTAGTGATGACGTTCCAACGGCAACTCTCTGCAGAAGAGCCGTGGAATGGTGATCCTTCAACAGACGATTATTTCAACAACAGTTATTGCATCACCCTCGGATCTGAAGAGACGATATATGGAGGGCTAGAGCAGGTCTCATTTCTGGATTCCCAAGGATATTTCTATTTCTCCGATCATGTGGCTGCCGATCTCGGTACAGGACAACGACTCGTCGTTGATTTTGAGGTGTCTGAGCAAGACCTACAGCGCTTTCAACAGTTTCTCATGGAAGCAGTGACATGGGGAGTCCCTAGTCAGATCCCTCGACTCAACGGTTTAGCCTTCAAAAGTTCCATCATGGAAGCTCCCAACACTCAGCCAAACGAGCCAGAAGAAAGAATTAAGGCCCGCAATCACAGAAACGATCACCTCGAATTCAAATTCATCTCCCAAGAGCAACTGGATCGCGAAGGTGGAAACCCTCCTCCACCCCACAAGCACATCATCGAGCACATCGTCGACTATCTTTCCAACCCATCTCATCTCCCGTCTCACCTCGAACTCGAATTCGTCTCCCAAGAGCAACTGGACCGTGAAGGCGGAAACCCTCCTGATGATGTAGCCGGTTCTAGCGAACCATCCCTTGAGGACATCGAATATCTTTCCAACTTGACTCCTTTCCAGCAGAAAATATACGATAGCCTGCGCGGTTTGGGCTGGATTGATACCAACATTTGCAACTTTCTGATCCAGCTTGAGAACATACGAGGACACATACGGGCTGAACTGAGAATGAAGGGGCAGAGTGAGACCGATATTCAAAAGCTCGAGGATATCTGTAAGACAGATATGAAGGATTTCTCGTATCTCCGACGGTCTGGCGCCAACCGGGCCCTCGAGGAATACCAGACTGAGCTATATCTGCTGCATGAAAACAAGAGACAAAGAAGGGTTATGTTAAATGAAGAATAGTTTCTTCTTCGTCCCTTTTTCGTTTAATTACGAGGCTCACTGGAAGGCATGTATACTGTATCTCGGCGGCAGCTCATTGTATCGCCACATTCTTCCCATTCAGCCAATGGGAGAAACTGAAGCTGATCCGGCTACAGCGGTCCTGTGGCACAATCAGGGGCAGGGCTGAGAGAGTACGAGGCGAAGGGTGTGCGATCGAAGTTACCGGGAGTGGGGCCATATTGCCAATTTCCATCCCATGGGTCGACCGTCTCGGGCTGATAATCATCGTCATCAAAATGGCTATTGGTCATTGTGAGTTATCGTTTCGTGATGAGGGTAGCTTAAGCAGAACTGTAAGAGTGTTAGCCAAGCATCTCTGGTATCCAATAAGATCCGATCCCGCGGCATGAATGATAAGCAATGTGGAGATTTCGAAAAGAAGCCTTACTGTTAGCCTTTCCACCAATTTGACCCGAGATGGACACCCAGGGAAGCGGTAGGCTCTCTGCACTGAAGCAACTGCAAGATGCAGAAGAGGATTGTTGACTAGTTGCCAATTCAAAGGATGCCTTGTTTACTTTGTTTGCATGGAACCTTATGGATAGGGATATCAAAATGAAATTTCAAAATTTCGAAATTCCTGAAATTTGGCTGTTTGAAATGAAATTTGAAATGAGCCTTGAAATCTTGAAATAACGCTAGTCCAAAATTGGTAAGAAGTTAATCAGCTGACCAATCAGGACAATTGGATGGTTCAAGTCGGGCCGGGTGGGGCGGGTGGGAAGTCGGACCTGATCTTCGGTCATTGGCTTGATTGGCTTCATCGGATGATGACCCATCATGCCAAGAAATTTTGAATTAAAATTGAAATGAGAAAAAGTGAAATTTCAATATTTCGAAATTGGTTGGGCAATTTCGAAATTACACCATCCCTACTTATGGAAATTACAAGCTTCTATTTTCAGCGCTTGTACATTACTTACAGGTACATATCATAACATCTATCTGGAATTTTACATGTTCGATACAGAACCTGTAATTTTACAGTATCATGTGATTAGGGTTTGAAATAGCATCTCTATGTCTTCAACATGGAAGGCAATAACGGGCGGCACTGTAGCCCGATGTCAGGGAGAGTCTAAGATTGCCAAGAGGCTTGGAGGAAGTTTTCCAAGGTCATGACGGGATATCACGGTTCAGAGGTCGAAAATTCACATATATAAATGCCTCATGCCCCTGACTCATGTGTCCTTGTTCATTGATCTGTACATGCTTCTGTTGCCTTTCTGCTACAAAAATCGCTACATCCATTTGAACCCCTCCATCTAGATCAAAGTTCTACCACGGAGCCACGTAACAAGACCATTGGAATTGAGATCCCGTTCAAAAGCCCAGAATCTTTCTGTCATCTATCCATACTTCATAATCTCAAGCTACCCAGGTGGGAATCTCGTGCCTCATCCAGCTATCGCCAAAATTCTTGGCCAAATCCCTATCCTACAATCGAAAATGAAGTTCCTCTCTATTTCCCTTGCCGTGCTTACCGCCGCTGTTGTGCAGGCTATGTCTATTCCTATGCCTATGTCTGCTGCCGATACCACAAATAAGGCCTTAGCTGAAGCTAAGCGCGATATTGTCCCAAGAGGCGGGGTAAGCTGGAAGTGGTGCCGTATTTCAGGGCAAGGCTGTCACAAATGAAGCAAGAAAGCAAAGCTAGGGACATGTACAATGTTGGAATCCAAAACCTTTTGTCTCCTGTGTGGCTTGTTTACAATAACTACTTTGTCTGAGACACAGTTACCGAGGGCTCCGCCACTGTACTTTTGGGCACACAGCAAAGACGTGAACCAGATGGAAGAAAAGACTTAGTTAAAGATATGGCGAGGATGAAAGGGTGTGGTGAAAGAAGCGCCTTGATTTTCTTGCTTTGTCCGTGTTCTTTGTGGCTATAAGATTGACCTATCAATCATCATAATTCACTAGTACTGGAGAGCTCGTTGTCTTTGTGAGGAGATATGCGGATCATTACTCCGTTCTTTCCGAGGGTAGCAGTCTTTTGAACCCGACTATATTCTGTTATACACGGTATTATAACTTCTACCTCCGTGGACTGCAGTGAGTCTAGAAAGAAGCGGGGGTGTAAAAGTTGAGCTCAGAGACAAACGACATGCCTTTGTGTGTAAGCCTACTCTGCGTAAAGGGTTGCTGCATCTTGAGCAGTGTTTCTATTGCCTGAGTGAACAAATCGATAAGTCTATACTAGATAAAAGAGATACAGGGTACAATGACTTCTTTAACACAACAACGCAGATTCCAAGTCCGTCCTACAAAGACCCCATCTCCTCATATATGCCTGGCTTAGGTAGAACAAGAAACGCAGCTCTCCCCTTGAGCAACATTTAATACTTGCCGAACGCGCTGCGCGCGATCAAAAGCATTCTTGCGAAAAGCTCAAGGCTTAAATCCTGTTTACAGCTTTCTCCAATTTTATGTTTTCTTTCATGCGAATCTTTATGCAGAATCTTGTACTATGGTTTTTGGGAGTGAACCCCTCAACGCATTTTGAGCCTGTGGAGGCGTCAAAGGTTTAGGTGGATATGCTGGCGCCAAGTACTCTAACTCTGGTGTTGTGCTGGATCAACAAGATCTAGGACGCGTGATTTCCGATAGAACAGATATCCCTCTCCACGCCTTCATTGGTACGCAGGACGAATGATCTCGTGTTCAGGTTGGTGAGACCTGCATCATACAATAAACTAGTCACATCCAGCGCCATATCCAGGGTTAGCTTATGAGATTCGAAATCGGAGCTAAGCTTGGCAAGTCTGCCCTCCCTTAATTGTCACCCACTACAACTTCATTCAGGCCTTGTATGTAGGCGTCTTCTATCACGCGCTCACGATTCCGCAGGATATCGATCAGCATGTTTTTTTGAGTGCGCGCGGGTAAACTATGGAATAGCTCTCTAAGTCTAGCTGTAGGATGCGAAAACGTTCCTCTAACGATACTGACTGCCTTTGGGCAGATCGACATCTATCTGTGCCTCCCGCAGGATCAACATGAGGTCATCTCCTTGTGTGTGCAGCTTTGTTATAGGGCTGGCCATGGGTGATGTTGAGGGGTGTCTGCGGGGATGATAAGGCCGAAAGATTGCCCTATAAATCGCCCATTCGGGGCTATTCAGCTCGATGTTTAGGGGATACTTCCCAAGGAACCTTGAACCTCCCATGAAATATGAAACACTCGTTTCAACGCGAAAATAATTTGAAAAGAAATTACATAAAATTTCTAATGAGGTCTTGGCCTTCTCATTTAGGCTTTACAGCCCTACTTTCCCGAAACCCACAGAAGAAGGATGGATAAAGAGCAGACAAATATTGGGTGCGATGTTCTTGGCCTCGCGATGGAATGCAGGATGAATACGACCTCGGGGCCAAGGGGTTGGGGGCTCAAGCGCCACATAAGGTTGGCGTTCTGCAGCCGGGCTGATTATAGAAACAACCATGTCTTTGTCCGTCTGAGCCCCTGACAATGTCAACAATAACCCCAAACCCTACCCTCGACCCAGAATGGACGCCATCCGCATACGGCTGTCGTGGGAAAGGCGATTTCTGGATCTGGGACTTCCACGCAGATAATGATCGGCGCACGGTACTGGGCGGTCCGTCTCAAACTACGAACTGTTTCCCCTCGACCTGGAATCCTGCTAGTGCTTATGGTGGCACGAAATGTCCAGCGGGCTTCACCTCTGCCTGCCGGTCGTCTGGACCGGCTGTGCCCACAACAATTTGCTGCCCGACGTATGGCTTATGGAATTGCAGTTCCATTCATCGCGGAATAGTCGCTGATAGCTTGTTTGCTCTAGAGTCTACTCATTCAGCTGCGTGGATAATGCGAGCAGTAACCCCCACGGTCCTTGGTTCCCTTGCATTTCGCAGTATGGCACTTCGATGAAAAGGACGGTTACCCGGACCGACTTCGCGATGAACACAATTACCTTCGGGGAAGTCACGCAAAATACCAATCTTCATCTGTTCGCGTTGGGCATGGCCATTGCTAGTCCGGTGGGCAATTCTTTCCAGTTCCTGATTTGATATCGTGCCGAATACCGTGCTGATATAATACGAGACTACAACTGCCACCTCGGACCCCGATGCAACATCGCCGCTCCCCTCTAGTACATCTGAGCTAAGTTCGACGAGTCAATCGAGCATAAGTGCAGGCGCGGCTGCAGGTATCGGGGTCGGATCTGCTGCAGGAGTTGTTCTAATAGCACTGCTGGCATGGTACCTACTGCGGCGTCGGAGAAAATCTGCCGATACGGTCGCTCCCCCAGTTGCAGAGAATCCTGGAGGGTTCAATTATGGGAAGGTCATGCAAAACAGCCCGCCGCCGCAAGAGTTACACGGGGAAGAAGCGAGAGAGCTTCCGGGGTGAGCACAACAGGCGCAATGCATCCGAATATAGTGTAGGGTAATGGTCGACAAATTAATACAGAGGGAATATCAGACAAGTAGAATTGTTGTTCAAAGCCCAGTTAAGCCCAAACATAATGCAAGACGGGACATTCTATTTCCAGCCACAAGAGACCCACCTCCCAACGAGGGTAATAAAAGAAAAAAGGCAAAAAAAAGATGTTGACGAGAGTGGGATTTGAACCCACGCCCCTTTCGAGACTGGAACCTTACTCCAGCGCCTTGGACCGCTCGGCCATCTCGCCTTGGATGTTGAAGTTCTGAGTATTTTTATTATATCAAGGGTATTTTACCAACTCCTAAAAGGCCAATATCTTTTGCCTATGTTACAGTCTCGACAATGCCCCAAAGAATAGAGTCCTCTATTCCAATTATCTGTCATTAGGGCTGAGTAGTGGGGCTAATCGGTGTCTGCTTTCTTTCTGGAATAACGGGTATGGCAATGTGTATGTATATATACACCATCATCCTCTCACTTACCTTACATTTTTCATATTGATATCAATTTACAATGTTTAAATGGAACCCTACTTGACTGTTGGCCAGTACACAGGGTACTTGTTGAATATATTGAGATAGCAAGGTTAAATATTTAACTAGCGTTAGCTTTTGGTCGAGAGGGAAAAGCATAGAATTCCCCACTACTTAACGCCCTGATACAAAGCAAAAATCAACATACATCTTTCCCTCCGCCTAGCACACCTGCGCAACAATGACAAATCATACACCATGGCCCTGAATAATGTCTAAGCCTACATAGAAACCCTAAGATAGCAGTATATAATCTCTGAATTAGACCTATAAACAAAGTAGCATCGTCATAGCTAGGCCACTAGTAATACCGTTTCTACTGGAAGTGAACAAATGGGTTCCGCCGACTCAATATTAGAAGATGAAAAGCCCATGCATTGGCTGGAGAGAGCCATTGTGAAGCACCACAAAGAACATGTGCATAGGACAAGAAAGTTGACAAGTAAAGAATAATCCCAAGTGAATAGAACAAAACCCAAAACATACTGAGCTATATCTTAAATACAAGGCATGTCCATTGTGTTACTATATCCCACAAGGCAACTCAAAGGACTTTGAGGTCACAAGTATTATTCCTTTGTTTCAGTGAACTGTCCAATAGGTGACGCCAAACAGAAGGCCCTACCTAAAGGGAGACAAAAGCTAAGGTAGTACAAAAAGTGCCAATACTCAGCCCGAAAACAATCAAAGAGCCTCCCTGACATATTATTGTCCGATTCATAGACATAGACACGCCTGGAGAACACCTCCTCCCCAAAAGGCCCACCAGAAACCAGCAGCATAAACCTGGTGAAGCAGTTCACTGATGCTACAAGAAACGCACAAATTCCACTTCATATTGCACCCAAGTTTTTGACTGGCAGGGTTATCATATGCGCCAAGTCCTACAGAAACACATATATAATAAGTCAACAGTTCATCCCCCTCCAAGCAAAACAACCAGAACCAACTGCTATATATATATATATCAAGAAAGCCACTACGTACGAGTTATCCCTGTCTCCTCGCCAAAAGCCACCACAGCCATATCCACAGCACCTCGAGTCACTCCCTCGGAATTCCTTTTCCTTTTTTTTTGATAATCACCTATCCCAAGAGACCCAGAGCCATCACAGAACCCAGTACTAACTCTACGGTCAACCACAGCCCCTCCATAAGTGGCAGAAAGCTTTGAAGAGAGGATATATAGCCACCACAAACTGGGAGATTCTTATAGCCCTGCCCTATCCCTGCACTGCAGATACAACCACGGGTTGCTGGATATACATCTGCCAAGGAAAGCGGACTGGCTTAGCCCAGTATATCTGAAGACTGAGAAGGGGAAGCCAAAAGATCAGAGTAGATATTGGGAAGTCGATGGGTGGAATACCCGGGATGCCAATGTCATCTCATATGATAGCACAGATGCTGAAATTTGGCCTGGGTTTGCCCAAGGGGCGTTTTTGTTGGCGTTGTAGATCTGATATGGCCGAGAGAGAAAACAATGATAAGATTGTGTGTATGGAAGCACGGTCAATAGAACTCTATACAAGTACCCTCATACGAGGAGAGTGATATTAAAAGAGGCCTTGTAGAAATAAAGGATTGCTCCGAGGTTTGAAGATTTATTGAGGCTTCATCGTCTACCCCAGGACTTGCTCTATCTCTAGTTGGATTGCGTATATTATCGAATCTACGTGATACGGACTAATGATGGATGGGACTGGGGAGGCTGTCCTGCTTGATTATGATTGGAAGAATATGTTTCTTTATATTATAGAGTGTCTACAGGTGGCATTCCTGGTTAAATGGAAAATCCCTAGAAAGGAAAAGAAATCCTGATCCCTTGTAAAGCGTCAAAGTGAATTGCTGTCCGAGCATAGCCATAGCTACCCATATCCACGTCAAGCATCGTCCAGAACACCCCAACTCCATTGCTTGTATGCCGCCAACGAATAAACCCAACAACCCCGGCCCTTGTAGATCGGCCGGATACAAATGAAAATACATGACAAAGAAAGAAGACACTCAACCAATCCGGTTGAACATCGATATAGTCACATCACCGTCCCTCCACCCGACTTAATGCCCCGAGGATCAGACTAAGGTCTTCTCTCGGCCGTGGGCGCAGGGTGAGGTCCTTGCTCTCGCCTTCCTCCCCTGCAAGCCGGCGCATTGCGTTCCTTGTATCTCGTTCTTCTAGACGCTCGGCGCAAATGCGTAGTACCCGTGATGAGACGGTATCTGACATGGTGCGGTAGAGTTCGATATCGTGGATGCCGGCCGCTAATGAGTCGAGAGTTGGTGCTAACCCACGGGCTATCCGGGAAAGACGTGTGGATACAGCTGAAGGTGTTACTGGGGGTAGGCAGGTTTCTGATGAAGATGATGACGCCGCTTGATCCTCGGTATCTGATGTCCGTTTTGTGGAGTCGGGATCTATCGATTCGTAGATCTTCTGTTGGGAAGGGTCTAATAGAGATAAGTCAATCGGCTCGGACTCGGGCTGCGAATGCTCTGGTTGGCCATTTGCTGCGCTATCATCTTGCTTCGAGGGTTTGATCTGTGGAATAGAAGGTGGCCGAAGAAGTGCGTTGAGAGCGTGCCTCTCTCGTTGTAGCCTTTGCGATGTTAGTGCGTCTCAAGATGCCACGCTCATAGATCATGTACCTCTGTATTTGTTCCTCCAATTCTTTAATCTTATCTGCATTCTGGATATTCTTCGGATTTGGCTTCTTAACCACGACAGCCGGCGGATCCACGTCTTCTCGTTCGAACCAGTTCGAAAGCTGGGAATTCGTAGAAAAGTCTTTAAGCAGTTCTTCCTGGATTACACGCGCTGGAATATTGTTAGCTTGGCCCGAGCATCAAGTTCACCATCACATACCCGCTAGACGAGCGCTCGCGTCTTCCGATCGCTCGCCTGACCGTTTATCGCCCATTGCACGAGTCGCACACCAAATCAAAAGCTGCCTCATCCTCCGTGGTTCCGGTAGGTCACTCGCAATGTGTTTGTAAAATTCAGCCGTGTCAACTTGGTCATGAGGTAATGCTGTAAAAGCTGTCAACATGAGGTCCTGGCCTTTGCAAAAATAATTCACCCACCATTGGACGCCCCAGAGTCAATTAGGGAGCTGGCTCTCCGTCCTCGCATCCCTAAGCTACTCCGTCCTCGCATCCCTAAGCTACTCCGCCTGTTTCCTTTCCCAGATTTTGCCGCACCCCTCAGCTCCTTGTTCCGCTGTATGACCGGCGTATCGGCCACAGGCAATGTAATCTTCGACGTCCCAGCCTGTGGTTCAGGTGAAACATAACCATTCCGTTGGTCCTCATGAGATTTACTCGGCCTGCCCTTCTTGCGCTTCTTCTCTAACGGTACCGTTTCCACATGGTCTCGTCTGCGCGTTGAGCGCGTGGCGCTCGCAGGCTGCGCTTCTGGCTCAGCTAACATCGATTTCGCAGTCGCCCTCGTCTGCCTGCTCGAACCCTCCGATGACTTCTTCGACACTGCCGCACTCTTCTCCGACTTCTCTACTGGTCGTTTTTTAGGTGGCCGGCCTCTCCTCGGTGACGGTTTCGGAGCAGGGCCCTCCGGAGGCTGTGGAAGCTCTGGTATAGTCTCCACTGTCGGTTTCGACTTCTTAGTCTTAATGCGAGTAAACTGGAAACCCTCATCTTCGTCATTGAAAGCGTCTTCTGCAGCGAGATACCGAGATTAGCACACCAATAACCTAAACCAAACATATATACCATATATCCCCAGAGGCGATCGGCAACGCAACGCTCCAAGACGAATAGTAATACTCACGCTTTCTCTTAGCAGCCGTTTTCTCTTCGTTCTTCTCCACACTACTCAAACTCAATCCCGTACTCGATCTTGTCTCCTTTCTACCAGGCGCGGCAGAAGACGCAGGGCGTGCCCGCGCCTGGGACGTTGCCATATCAATTGACTTCAGAGGTTCGCGACGCTTCGTCTTAATCCTAGGGGTTTCCAAAACCGTGACGGTCATGTCACCAGGGACGGACGGGGAAGTCGGTAGCGGTGTAGATATGGTACAAGGTAATGAGCTTAAGGTGAATAAAGCGCAACCTCGCTTCCTCTAGACGGGGAGGGTAGGTTGTGTTGTGAAAAAGGTGGGGATTTGTCTCCTTGCAAATTATTCGGTCCTCGGTGTCGGATGTCGTCGCCTTACTCCAACCCCCTTCAACATGCGACACAAAATTGTATCCAATCTATCAATCGAGTTGTGCCGACCAGATCTCTTCCCGTATTCCTCATCGGTGGTCTAAAGTGTAATGGTTGCGCGGTCGCAGGAAACCGAGCCGGCGGCACCTCGCAACGAGAACGGGGGTGTTGAGGGACGAGTGTCGGGCGGCGTCCAAGGCGCGCTTCCAGGACTCCACTAAGTTCGAGCCGCAATTGACAGCGACCACTCGAGACATTCAAGACGGGATTGTTGACTTGTAGGATTGGCGAGTTTCGCAAAGCGCTCCTTGCGCAGCGGTGCCTAAACACTTTGACGAGTTTGGCTCTTGCAAGTCCGCCGCAAGCACGCGGTTGTTTTGGTCGTGGCGCGTGGGGGACTCGCGCTAGGCCGTTTTGGGAGTGACATCGTCCCTCTTTCGAGTCTCTGTATCTTGACTACAGTGCTTGTTCTATAACTATGTCCTTGAGAAACCCCATTTCGAGAATTTATTACCTGATAACTCCCATTGGCTATACCCGAGATGAATATAATGACATGGAAGTTTATATGTCCAAAAATATCTAACATGTACACACCCCACGGTTGCCGACCCTCATAATAATCCATCAATACTACTTACTGGTAATGCATAGAACTGTACTAGATAGTCGCTCAAAACGAATGACACCAGGTCTCTAAACTCATACCGAAACGCCGTACAATGATTAATTCTTACTCGAGAAACAAAACTTATGCAAATTCCGATGCATCGGTCGGGGGAGCCAAGCTTCCTTCGATTCGGCGCTTGGCAGCTTGCATCTCTTCTGCAGTGACGTTTTCTGCCTTCTTCGGCAGGTCAGGCTCAAACTGAGGAATATCGGGCCGATGACCCACAGACATGCCCACACGAATCTATGACACAAGCGACTCATGTTAGAAAAGGGGGTACGCAACCAGCAAGGGGGTGGGGGGTGGAACTCTTACCAAAGTCTCGAGAGGACCTTTCGAATTGGCCACCAGGTCGCTGTCAAAATTCACCATTCCTTCCTCGAACAGGACCAGAAGCGTGCTTCCACCAAACTTAAAGTATCCCAGCTCTTCGGCTCGAGCGACTTTCTCTCCAGCCTGGCGTGTGATTACCGTACTTCCGACCATCATAGCGCCAACGCAGACCACCATGACACGACCATGAGCAACTGAGTCGATCGGAACGAGGATTCTAACATTCTCTCCATAGACATCCAATGCAGAGCGGATGGCCATCGGATTCACCGTATAGTATTCACCTTCAATGGTCTTGGGCGTTCCGAGGACGCCATCTACGGGAATGTGGAAGCGGTGGTAATCCTGGGGTGCTAGGCGGAACACTCCCAAAGCCCCATTCTTGTAACGGTGGACATCCTCCGGGTAAGCATCACCAAGGAGTCTGTCAATGGAGAACTCCCTTCCTTTGACCCAGATACTAGTTGCTTCGTCAAGGCGGTCGAATACAACCGATCGGCAATCGGCTGGGGAAACAACGATCCGGGGCTCGTCGGGAGCAGAGCAAGGTCGGGCGCCAGGCTTTAGTTCGCGATAGAAGAACTCATTAAAATTCTTAAACTTCTCCAGAGGAAGAAGAACCTCTGACAAGTCGAGTTGGTGGAAGTTGATGAAGTCTTGAATTTGACTCGTTGAAGCGGGGTCATCGTACTTCTTACCCTGCTTGATACTAAGTGACTTGAGAATTTTACGAACTGCGCGAATGGTCAGCTTGAAAGAACTCTTCGTGATGCCTTGGAATAAACATACTTCTCTTCTTTTCCATCTCTCGACTCTTCAGACCCTTATACAGCAGCCGGATACCTAGTCGAACGTAGACGCTCATCCGCTCCTCATTGATCTGTCCCGTGATTCGATCTTGAACGAGAATATTTGCGGAGTTGGCGCCTAACCTGTAGCCTCCGTACGAGATCTTCGTAATCACCTTAGAGTACCACTTGCGCTGCGCCTGACTCGAGGTAACGAAACCACCCATCACCAGGTTGTCGACCTGCCTCCAATCTCGACTAGCGCAGGTAGCGATGTGTGTGATGATATCGGCATCAGAGCGTTTTCCAAGTCGTGGTTGGTGACAAAGAGGACATTCGCGGATTTCAATAACATGCTCTTCGCCCCGCTCGTCACCCAAATCATCGGCATGAAGGTCTCCCTCAGCTGCATTCGGCTGTTCTTCACTGGGTAGCGTTGGTATAGCTGTCCGTTGGGGATCCGTGTTGATGCCAGAGCTTGTTTCAAGAAGGTCATTGTCGTCGCTGGATGGCTCCTCGCTGTCCTGACTGCCTGTCGATGGAGTAGGCGTGAGTCTCCTACCGGCGGTCCTGGAATTCTTCTGCAGTGCCTGAAGGGTGTCTTCCAAGCAAATCACAGCTTGGTCGAAAGTCAAATCCATTGTCTCGCTGGCTTCATTCTCCGCACTGAATCGCTCAAAGAAGCTATCGATGGTTGACTCCTTCAGTGTTGAACCCAGGGTATCGAGCATTGTAGTGATCTCGACTTTGTCAATGCGACTGCTGTCATCGGCATCATATTGCTTCAGCATTAGTCTCCAGAACTGCTGTCGGAGAGCACGGTACGGCATGTATTTGGCTTTGATGAACAGTTCGGGTGAATGCTTGTCCTCCCATCTATCTTTGTTCTTCATCAGCAGCGGAATCCGGTACATCTCCAGGCCATCTGTTTCAAGCGGAGCAATCACACTACCCTCGTTCTGTGAATTGGGCGTAGTTGATAGATAGCTACTACTGCCTTCCTCAGAAAGCGACGAGGATGGGGCTGATGTTGGGATAGGCCTCGGGGCCGATGGCGGGGGGAGTGTCGACTGTTCCTGTACTATTTGGTTTGGTAAGGAAGCTGTAGAGCTCTTAGACCTTACCAAGCCTGGTCTTGACAATTTCGATAGGCTGCTAGTTGATGGGGATGGGCTTATCCCGATCTTGATCCCAGCTTTGTTGTTAGAAAGAGACTCAGAAGACCCAGTAGGATCAAGAGAGGGATCTAAAAACTTATAAAGCCCAGTGTCTGGGTCTGCTTCGGGAGCAGCTTGAATCAACGTTTGCAGGGGAAACCCAGCCGAGGCAACAAAATCATTCCCAGAAAATTTGTCTCGATCCATAACGGTGAAGCTGATGGTGTAGGACTGCTCATGCTTCATGACTTGGAAGACCATTTTCTCGTTGTAAGTTGGGTTTAGATTGTGGCGAACAACCGGAGTGCGAAGCGTCTTTCTGCCGAGTGAAGTCACCACAAACGGATCCATATCAAAGGATGTACGGGTCACTTTAGAGATTGTTAGCAGAGACATGCTGTCTAGAGGTTGGTAAAGCTATACCGTTTCGTTCCGGTGGCAGATCGGTCACCTTGACAATCTCCATGAACACGATGCCCTGTACTCCATTGCCCGCACCAGAGAATTGATAAGCCCTCGCTGCAAGCGACTTCCGCTTGAGTCGAGCGAGACGCAGCCTTCTCCGACGCTTTTCATTGACCTCGGGCCTCCCGAGATCATCGGCCTCATCGGATGTCTCTTCATCTCTATCGGCTTCATCTGATATGGTCGCTGGAATCTGTGGGTAATCATCGTCTTCATCCCCGGCACCGATCAGGGTTTTGAACTTCTGGAAGGTCTCGCTCGGAGGGGCCGTTGGGTTTGCGGTATCAACAAGGGAAAACTGAAGTAGAATCTCTCCCGAGATGTCGTTGTCCTTTTTCTTGCCGGATTTCCGTTTCGACGTGAGAGTGTACCATTTGGGCTTGGGCGATTCATCAGCCTTGTGCCCGATCTCTCCCGTAAATCTAGCCAATACTAACCTGTTGATGTATTTGCCCTTCGGCGAATATTTCTTCCAGAGGAATGTCAAACTCGCCCATATAATCTTTCCCAAACCGGTCATGATCCCAACAAATACACTCGAGCAATGGCACCCCAACGATCGGCATTTCGAAAGTAACGTTCCATTCTGGGTTCAGTGTTTTCGGAATCGTCGGTGTTGATTGTCGCGCATCTCCAAGTGTGACTATGAGGTACTGGTGATTGGACCACGGTCAGTTACGACTCCAGTGGGCGGAGGCTCGGTTGTCAAGGAACCCACTTACTGGGTCGCTGGTTCCATTGCGATCTTTGGCTGCAAGATTCCTCCCCTAGTTATAACACGCAAAATATATTAGTCCTTTCAATCCGCAATGCGCAGAGCCGGGGTAACCCTGCCTGCCGGGTAGTCAGGGGAGGTGCTCACTCACCCGTAAGGCAACCACCTTGAGCACCAGCGGCTTGGCCTCTGGGATCCTCATGGGACTGGTACTTCTGCTTTGGCCAGGAGTGGGCGTATTACTCCGCGAAGTTAAATGAGTACTGAGCCGTTGCGGCAACGGTAACCGCACCATGATGGCCGTCGGGTGGGGGAAGTAGTGAGACGGAGATGGAAACGGGACACGTCGCGTCAACAGCAGGAGCTGACGGGTAAGAAGAGGACAAAGTCAAGATATACGAAGAGAATGAATCAAACAATGTAATTGAGGGTATTTAAAAAGGGTGAGAGTAGTATATGTGTGGTAAAGTAGGCAAGTGGTGGTTCAGAAAGTCGCTCCAGCACGGAGATGTCGCGCGGGAAGTGTGAAGTTTCCGGGTCGATCCAAGATCTACTCAGGGCGATCCAAAAAAAAAAAAAAAAAAAAAAAAAAACAAATGATAACAATCAGTCAGACCAAGACGGGTAAACTGCGCTTTTGAAAACTGGGGAACCAAAGACAGAGACAATTGCTTGTCCAGACTCTTTCACGATGGGGCGGATGGGGGGAAATGTGAAAGAGAGAGGGGGCAGATGAGTGAGGGAAGTGGGTGAACTAAGTCCAGAGTTCACTATGAGGTCTGATAATACCGATAGGCCCGGAGAACTAAGTATGGGCTTTTGAGGGGAGGGAATTTTAGAATTACTGGGGCGTTGCACTAGGCAGTTCTGGTTTTTTCTTCTTCTGTAAGAATATTTTTGATCCCCGGATCCGGTCCAAGATTTATATGGTGTAAGGTAAGTAGAGTAAGTATGCAGTGAAGTAATTTCCCACCTAAGCAAGTCATTCTGATGGGCACTGCATGAATTGCTGCCAACCAGACCACAAAAAAGCTTCTAAAATAAAATCGAATGGATTCCTACGGAACCTTCGGTTCGAGGACTTGGCACTGCTCCATCCCCAACGACGTCAATGATCCACTCACACCGTCTCCACTCGTTGAATTGAGTTGAATTGAAAGTCATGGACATCGAATGTGGCTGCCTAGTGTGGCTAAGGTGAAAAGTAACCCTTACCTCTCTTAGCAATAGTAGTAGTATTTGGTACGGAGTACTCTGTACCCTAGAGAGATATCACTGCAGTAGAAGTGGAGGTGAGGTAACGTGCATCTTGAAACTTTTCGGGAAAAAAGAAATCAAACCAGTCCAATGGAAAAACAATGAGTATCACAATAAAGAAATCTATACTGAGGGTCATCCCTTGCTCGACATTGGAATTGGTTTCATTCTACTAGCTTTTAGGTTAAAATCCCAACAAATGCCGCAGGTGAACTGAACTCTTCCCCTCACTTAATCTCTCATACTTCTTCCTTACTCTTACTCTACGTTACCCTCAATACATAAATATCTCACGGATACGGCGTACAATAATAATAATACCTGACCGATAGGACCGTACATAAGCGATTATTTGAAATCCTTACATGCTCCCAATACCTTATTTACAGCGCCTACAGTCCTACACACTCTACTATTACTTCTGAAGTTCCCAACCCCGCCCATTCACGACAACAGACCTAACTAATTTGTCTTGATAGATTAAAATGCACCGTACTAATCCATAGTGCATAGCCAAGAAGGCCAACATACCCTGTGCATGCATACTACCTGCATACTCCAATCATTTCAGTCTAGTTTGGGCAGTGGCCCTCTCTCAGCCTCTTCTCCTTATCGTTGAATGAGGGGTAGAAATGTAACAGAATTGCTTCAAAATTCAGGTCGTGACCGTTCTGTCTCCTTTTTTCATTTTGGCCCGGTGCCCCGCACTTATCATGCATTGAACGCATGGAGGTCACGTCGATCGACCCTCTTGTTATGGTTAAATTGAAGAATAGATATCTTGTGTATTCAGATTCTGGAGGGATCTTAGGGGTTAAGGATATATATAGCCAGATATATGCATACATACAGTGCATATGTAGGTATGTATCTTCGGATTTATTATGCGTCCCTCTTTGCTTCTACTTCCCCGCTCTTTGAAGTCTCCCCTTTTTTTTCTTCTTTTCACTACCGACGCTTTCCTAACCCCAAAATTTAACTCCGGCGTATGTCGTCAGGTGGACTAGGATACGCGAGCCGAGGCAACTCATTGTGAAAACTTCTAGCCTGAAATTGGAGTTCGAGGACCGGATGTTTCGTGTCAGACTGAGGATTTAGGCGTTGTTTCAAAAAAAAAGTTATCAGTGTCAGAGTGGGGTACAACACCGGGTGTATCTTCCACTCGTCGATATCGCCATTGGCAATTCGAGGATGTCTATGAGCGTCTAGAACATAGTTACGTGTCTATGACTCTCTCCTACTAGACTATGTGGATAGGGGGTGATGACTGCTATTCTCCTTTAGATATCTGTTAAATAGCGGGCCTTTTTTTTTTAAGCTAATACAACTTGGCCGGATACCTCAAGAGTGGTCAGTATTGACTGGGCGCCTGAAGGACATCCGAAAGAAACTAACTCCAGATAAATCAATCCCGTCTCCGCTCATTCGTTCGGCCCCACACTTCATCTGCATTGGCTTTCCCCTTCGTCTCTGGCACCCACCAGTAGACAAATCCTCCAAGGAGGCAGGCCATCATAGCAAAGATCCAGTAGATCTTGCCCCGTCCGCCCAGCAAATCGTTCAACATAGGGAAGAATTGGGCCACGAGAAACGTGGAAACCCAATTCGCTGCCAGCGCCCAGCTCTGCGCGGCACCGACGGCCTCTGGACCGACCAGCTCAGACGCCAGAATAAAGGGAACGGGGCCAAGACCGACGGCAAAGGAAGACACAAAGAGTAGCACGGCAATAGTAGACAAAGCCTTCAAGTTGAAGTAGATCCCTAGTGCCAATAGAGCGGAATTGAGACCCATGCCGCCGATGCTCAGGAGAAGGCACGGCCGCCTACCAATTTTGTCCGGTAGAGGTGAGCAGGCCAGTGTAATAATAAGATTGATGGCGGAGATGATCACGGTCAACAGGGCGGCCGTGGTGGGGAGGATGGTTTGCAAGAGTGAAACGCTGTACATGATAATGCTGTTAATACCGCTGAGCTGTTGGGAAACCATCACTCCCACCACAGCAATGATTGCAGGGCGGTAGAAAGGATCGGTAATAGCCCGTGTAATTGTAACGGGAGGCTGCTTGGAGGGCATGTTGCCTGACGGGGGCGAGAGCAGTGACTGCTCTTCCCCGGAGCTGTTCTCAGCTCCTGCAGAGGTTCTCCAGCCTTCAACCTCTGGCTCGATATCTGTGTTCTTTCCCCGTATGCGTTGTAGTACCTGTCTGGCAACATTCCCCTTCTGATGGTCTGCAAGCCAGATGGGACTTTCCGGAACCAAGAAGAGACCAAGAAGCTCCAAGCATCCGATAACACCCGCAATTGCAAGAATTACTCTCCACATATTTCCTCTGCTCAGGAAGTAACCAAGGGACTGCGTTAGCAGAATACCGACGTTCGTCATGATCTGAGTAAAAGCACCGAAAAACCCTCTAGCACTGGGAGGAGCAATCTCGGATATATAAATTGGACCCACGACGATGGAAGCGCCCGCGCCCACGCCAGACAAAAGCCTACCGAGACTCAACACGGGTATACTTGGTGCGAATGTTTCCGCTATAGGCCCCAGGATAAAGAAGATAGTGGTCGCTCGCAGGGCGAATAGGCGACCATGTTTGGTGGAGACTGGGCCTGCCAGCAGAGCTCCTATTAACCCACCAAGAGTGTAGATGGACGACACCAGGCCGAATTGGGATGGGTTCATAGGTATGCATTGCGGGAGGCTCGGTGCTGTCGTCGAATGAATACTTTTCCGCTCGCAGGTGATCACGGCCTGGGGGGCATTCAACTCAGCCTGTTATAACATGGTGTTAGTGAAGCACTGGAGCTGCCAGTTATGGACGGTTCTGCGATACCAGATGATATCCGAATTGGAGCGGCCCCAACGTAGTGATAAACACTAGGTATATCAGGTATGGAGTGACCTTCGACCCGCTTGACCCACTGAGGACCATGGTGCATATGCTGTCCTGCTTTCCGGGAGATCTCAAAGTTGGGTTACGATCATTGGTATGATTGAAGATTGATGATTCGATGCTGAGGTTGGAATCATTCCCCTTTATCTCACGCAGAGGGATGACGTTTACCTGGTTCCTTATCGGGCGGTATGTAATGTATGTATGTATGTATGTATGTATCGTATCGGGTTAAGGAAACTCCGGATAAAAAAATTAAACACTGAAACACATTCCAAGTCAAGTCTTGTTTCAAGCACCTTCATCTACTGGTAATATCACCCGCAAGTCGACGATAAGTAAATCGATCCTTTGTTATTAGTACTTTAATTATAGTTCCTCTAGGTGTATTAGATATATACCAGAGAACAATACCCGAAATGGAACCTTATTCATAAAGATAAGTCAGAGAACCATGGATGGATTCCAGGCTAGCATCTGATATCAAAGCTGGCTTTTGCCATAAAGTTGAAGACGCTATCTACACTATATCACAGAAGACAGGCAGATGATACCCCTGGACAATCCGTGTATATATGTCAACTTAGGGCTTGGATGATAAGTACTAATCTTTGTTCCTGACCTTGGACATCCACACTAAATAAGAACACGTGTTCATTACCTTATTCTACGGAGAATAAACCGCCCAAGCTTGTCTAACAAATCCATCAATTCGCTACTAGTGATTTGTAGGTAGACGTATTGGATCCATTCATCTACCGGATACGAGGATAGCACAACATGCAATACGACCCATACCTTCCCTCTCTAGGACTAAAAGAATAATAATACGAGGCAGCAGTAAAGGGCTTTGTCATGATTGTCTCGAGTATTAATATAAATATGACAGTATTCTCTTTCATTACTTCTAGGCACCAGCGTTCCCATTCATCTTTCCACCTGAGCAGCCAACACAATGGAATCCCGAGAATATATTTACAAAAAAGGCGGCGAAGGGGAGGATCTTCTGACTGATGTGCACTGGATGAGAAATTCCCCCAAGGGTGGCAGTCCAATCGGTTGGTGTGCTTCTCCATGAATGAAGATGCATCCCTCGTTGACTTTGACAATACAGCAATCATATACCATGCCGGCGGCTTTGTCAAATGGTCCAAAGAGGTCGTTCCAAAATCTGAAATATCTACTTTGGCAAGATTGGGATTCGTGGTAGTAGTACCAAACTACAGACTATGTCCGCAAATCTCTGTCGTCAATGGACCGATCGCCGATTCCAAGGACTGTTTAGTGTGGGCGGCCACGAAGTTGACCGAATTACTGCAGACCGAGTCTGTTGTTGTAGATTCAACACGAATTGTAACCATGGGACACTCTGCGGGCGGGACATTAGCTCTGCTGATGGTGCGTACATTTTCAAAGACATGCAGAGTCAAGGCACACGGTGTTTAACCAAAGAATAGGGCTCCGTACCGGAAGTCCCAGTAACAGCAGTCCTTGACTTCTACGGCCTCAAGTACCTTTCCGATCCGGTGTGGCAATTGCCTATCCCCGAATTTGAGGAATCACCCTCCTGGCCGCAGGAATACATCGACAAGATCTACGAAGGACCCCAGGTTTCCGCCGAGGTGCCTCACTTGGGTGACGACGCTTCTCCGAGGGAGGCATGGTTCGCTACCCATATGAAGCAGGGAACGTTGCTGGATAAGATAGTTGAAGGCGGAGATAAGAGTTATATAGATGGTACGAATCGGTTTTCAGCGTCATTCCCTCGGACCATGTTCATTCATGGGACGGCAGACAAAGTGACACATCATCGATTTAGCGTACGGGCACAGGAAGACTTGAAGAAGCTGGGAGTCGCAGCAGATCTCTTGCTGGCGGATGGTGAGAAGCATGTGTTTGATTTGACGTTGCAGGAAGATGATGTGAGCTTTGTCGAATATGTCTTACCAGGGCTGGAGTTCCTTGCCCGGGCAGTGGGTCTGCTGTAGTATTAGTTTTATACGGTTTAGGATGGCTTCGCGACTCCGTTGAAGTTTACGGCTACTTCTTATGAATCACTGAATTGATCACCTTGTATATTGGAAGTGGTCTCATATTACCCGATAGTCTTACTGTAGAGGGTCAATAGAAGACAAACAAAACTACAATTGGATCAGTCCAGAGAGGCTTGCTGACTAAACCGTTTGAGGCATTCGATGCAAACAAATGCTAGACAATCAGGCGATCGTCTCTCCAACTTCTCCTCATCCTCCAAACCATTTGATTTGATTCCTCCCTATCGCCATTACTCCTGCATCCTGCAGGTCTCATGGTCTTGGTGGAGCTGAACCCCCCGTACCTCCCTTTTCTCTTCGTGCACTGTTCGCACCACACCACCTAGCCCACTGAGTTCCATGGGCCGGAACGCTGTCTGTCTCCTGATTTATTGAAGCTAGCCCTCCGGCCATCTCCACATTCGCCTCTCACACTCCAATGAGTCTGACAAACCCGCCCTCATCATCCGGCCCGTTAACTGCTGCTTCATCCAGGCCCACTGCGGCCACCGTCAGCCAGAGTCTGTCTCTGAAAAAGAACCTGCAGGCCGCTGTTGATGGTAATACCAGTTATTATAATCTTCTATTATAATCCTTATCCTTTTGTTTTCTAAGAAAAAAACCTTATTTTGAGACACTTTCCCTTCCTCTTTGTTCGACCGGTTTGTTTCTTTTTCTTTATGATTTTATTTTCTTAGGGTTGTCCCGTCGCGATGTGCCCTGGCTGAGTGAAAGATATTCTTGTCTCCTTGCTCTTATGAACACCTATAATATTACTACTATATAAAACGCTCGCAAAGAGGACGATCAGCCTCAACCAGGATCTTCTTAGCGTTTTTCTTTCATCATGTTTGGAAGGAATTTCCCGTTTTTCAACTCTATCGGCGGGTTTTATCCACGTGGTAATGGCTTTCCCTGAACTGGTATTGGATTGAAAGAGCTCCATATCCCGTTTCCCCTTTGATTGCCTCTTTGTTTCCCTGGCACTTATCATCGGTACTATCTAGTATTTGAGCTGCTGGTTTACGTATAGCGCGGAGCGGAATCTGGAAGCTAACACCATCTGTTGTGCAAGAGCAACTAGACTCGAGAAAGTCGTCTGGAACTGGATATACCAGCAAAGTCCGTGTTCGCGACAAATATCACATTGTGGGATTCATCAGCAGCGGCACGTACGGACGGGTCTACAAAGCCCTTGGCAAAAATGGCCAAAAGGGCGAATTTGCGATTAAAAAGTTGGCAGGATCACTCCGCTATTCCGTTAGTCTCGGATTGCTGACCAGTCGTAGGTTTAAACCGGATAAAGAGGGTGAGATCATCCAGTACACCGGCCTCTCCCAGTCTGCGATTCGGGAGATGGCCCTGTGCTCCGAGCTAGATCACGCCAATGTTGTGCAGCTAGAAGAAATTATTTTAGAGGACAAGTGCATCTTCATGGTCTTTGAGTATACAGAACATGATCTACTTCAAATTATCCATCATCATACTCAACCGCACAGACATGCTATTCCGGCCCCAATGGTCAGGTCGATCCTGTTTCAGCTTCTCAATGGCTTACTCTACCTACATACAAACTGGGTGTTACATCGGGATCTGAAACCAGCCAACATTTTGGTTACGTCAGGTGGCGCCATCCGTATTGGGGATTTGGGTCTAGCTCGTCTGTTTTACAAGCCCCTCAACTCTCTCTTCTCAGGCGATAAAGTCGTGGTGACTATATGGTATCGTGCCCCAGAATTGCTAATGGGTAGTCGTCACTACACTCCAGCCGTTGACCTCTGGGCCGTTGGATGTATCTTCGCAGAACTCCTCTCTCTTCGCCCTATCTTCAAAGGCGAGGAGGCCAAGATGGACAGCAAGAAAACAGTACCCTTTCAACGAAACCAAATGATGAAGATCATCGAAATCATGGGCCTCCCCACCAAAGACACCTGGCCGGGTATAGTATCGATGCCCGAATATTCTCAACTTCAGTCATTAGCTATGTCACGCGCTCCAGGCCATTTCCCTCGCTCCTCGAATCTGGAAGGTTGGTATCAAAGCTGCTTAAAAAATGGCGGGTATGCTACCTCGTCCAATGCCGGGACTCCCGGTGCCGATGGATACGATTTGTTGTCGAGACTGCTGGAGTATGATCCTACCAAGAGGATAACTGCGCAAGAAGCCCTGGAGCACCCGTACTTTAAGAATGGTGGTCCTATTTCTGCCAACTGTTTCGAGGGCTTTGAGGGGAAATATCCTCACCGTCGTGTCACTCAGGACGATAATGATATCCGGTCTGGAAGCCTACCTGGCACCAAGCGAAGTGGGTTGCCGGATGATAGTTTGATGGGACGCGCCTCAAAACGGCTCAAAGAATAAAAAAAATAATAGTTTTCGATATCTTGAGAGGCTATTCATAGCGTTGCAGCGATGTCATTTACGAGCTCCTCGATCTGCATATACACCTATTACATCCTTTGGCATTTTGCAATTAGCGTTGGAGGGTTTTTTGTTGGAATGACAGTGAATTTAGCATATTTAGAGCAAATAAGAAGACATATATGGATCATTCAGTGAAGAGTTATTAATCGTTTCAGCGTCATTTTAGGTATCAATGGATATGCCGAGTGTTAGATGATTAGTACACATTCAAGATTCATTCCCACATTTGCGCCCCAGATACCCATCCGCCCAAACCCATTGCCCTATGTCAAAATAAGATGAGATGAAATAAAGAAATTACAATAAATGACTCTAGGAAAACATCGCTTAATACCCTGTTATCGCGTTAGTCATCTCCATGCAAAGAAGATTTCCGTGTACATACCGTTCTGCTCCCTTCTGCTGTCTCCGCCCTCATTGTCATGATCATCATCCCTACCAGAGAGGGCAGAAGCCTGACCAGCCGCATCACTGATGTGCTGCTCATCGCCGCGAAGTTTCTCGAAGTAGGCTTTGATATCTTCCGCACCAACAGCCCTTCCGGTCTCCGCAAACGGCTTCAGGAATTCCTTCACTTTGTCGCGCAGATGATTGTATACCATCGCGCCTTCAATCGCTCGTACACGGTCGATATTGCTCAACGCGGCTTCACCGCGGTCAAGAAGGCTACCGGTTCCGGTGCTGCCACCGCCATTAGCTTCCCCATCTTCGGAGATTGGGGGCTCATAGGTTTCTTCCTCTTCACGGAGTTGGGCATGTGGAGCGAGATTGGGATAACAGTCGCGACAGCGGCAGAAGTGATCCCGGAAGTCTTCTTTCAGGAACAGTGAGAACGTGTCTGAAGGAGGGTTGGGTAGGGAATCGTGCTTGTTCTTTGGAAGAGACGGTTGAGTAGACTCCTCTGTCGGTTCGGGATCGGACTGGGACTTAGTTTCTGAAATAGTATTCACCGTCTCTCCCTTAGTCCGCTTTGCAGCGGGCTCGCTTTCTTCGTCCTCCATTTTCCGTTTCTTGGAGTCGGTAGATTGCTCCCCAGCGGCATCTGTAGCTGTGGTCTTTGTTGTAGTTTCGGTCGCCTTGGGCAATCCGCCCTCCTTGTAAACAGGGGGGAGGAAACCTGCTGCCCCCGCATATCGCTTCAGCCAGGGATTCGAATCAACGCACTTGTAACAGAGGAATGTCTCGAAATCATCTTCTCTAGGAAATCCCGGAGGGAGTGGTGTCTCATCATCATCATCCTCAGTCTGACCATCTTTACCTGCCTCTTTCTTGATCTCCTTATACCAATCTCGCGGCAACCCGATGAGACACTCTGGATGCCACCAGTCTTCTCCACAGCCACCCGATTCGACGTCCCCAAGACCAAGACACTGAAACATGGTTCCCTTTTCTTGTTCGGCATCGTAATCTTCGGCACAACCACAGAACTTGTTCTGGAAATTGTGGTTGTATTTGTTCCCAGGATGCGGAATTTCAGAATGGACGCCCTTCGCGCCGGTCTTGGGATCGTTGCGCAGCGTGCATGGCGCAGTTGAAGGCATGCGAGTTGTACCGCAATCGCAGACAAAGTTTCTCTTGTTGAATAACTCAACCAGAGTGTGTTCGCCGTGGCAGGAAATGGAGCAGGAGTAGCATACGCCTGCTGCGGTGTACAGCGTGTCGGGGGTCTTAGGAGGAGGATTGCAGGTTAAGCAAGCGTAAAGCGTCTGTCGTAGTGGTCCTAAGGCTTGTGTGCAAGAATCGAATGACTAGGAAATTAGTTCTGTATGTCGCAGAATACCGAGGAGGGACGTGAGCTCACATAAGGAAGGATTTCGCGTGCATCCGCTTCGAGTTGCATCTGAGTCTCAATAAACCTGGAGCGCGCTGTTAGGGGTTATATTCTTTTAAATCTCTTAACCCATGGGCGTGTATATCTCCATAGAAGGAGGGATAGCGAAAGTACTTACTCCTTCGCAGTCTGCGAGTTCTGCGAGCTGAAGCTCTCGCGCCGGTTCCCAACATTGTTACCGTTCTTTGCCTGGTCGGCGTTCGGCAGCGCGGTATCGGACTTTTCCATATTTTATCGAGATATCACCGATTTAGAAATAAATATCTCAATCAACGATGATATGATGGTGAAAGATTGTTACACTCAACCCTCGTTTGCGCTCAGATACCGCGCGGCGCGAGAGCAAGTGGTGTTTGCTTTGTTTGCAGGTCTTGAGGCGAACACGGGATGCGATCTCTTCCATCTGGATTGTAGCTTCTTTATGTCAATGGTTAAGTCTTTTGGATTTATGGATAAAAGATTTTAATACAGTCCATCCTTGATAAGGTGGTCTACCTACTCTGTAGTCCGGGTCAGTCTTCAGGCGCATTGTAGACCATGTATCCATCTAGTACTATATCGACCAAGAATACCACACTACTCTCTAGACAATTGAGACTACTAGTATCCAAGTCAACAATAGTTACTTGAGATAGTGCCTCTAAGACTAAGAAAGGAATAGTGCATAGAATCTTGCTTGAGAACTTATAATACTAGCGCCACCAGGCAAAATCTGGGGCATAGATTCAGGCACCACTTTCCCAAAGCGGGTTTAATTGAAGCGACGCGTCAACTCGCGCTCCGACGCGCCCACGCGTATCACCGCCTCAGGCTCCGTCGTGATGGAGTCTCCCTTGCTTTCCTTCACAGCAGACGCAAAAAGACCCTCACTTAGCAACATTTGTGGGATTGGTTCACTGTATCATTCTTCCAAGTTGCCAACCCACATATTGCTATACACACACGATGAGGTATGTGCCGATTCAGATGCTGCTTTTGCGCATATCTACCCCACGAAATTCTTTTTTTTACTCTTTTGGGCTCTGTTGTCCAGCTTTTCGAGCCAGGCTAAGCGTCGTACAGTTCACCACTTCGCCCCAGCAATTCCGCCGCAAATCGCGGATTAGGAAGTTTGAACCGCCGCAAGAGAGACAGAGAGCCCGAAGATGAGACTTCTTCAATCGCTCCTCCCTCTAGTCGTAAGTTGAACGCTTTGAGGAAGAATCTGCTAGGTGCCCTTACTGACTTCGTAGCTCCCCCTTCTTCCCCTCCTATGCTTCCTTTTGATGACGAAGATGACGACCGCGATGAAGAAGCAGAGCTTCTAGCAGATATTGACGACCTTGAAGAAATGGCAGAAGATGGGGAAGGCATTGACCTGTTCGGCGACAACTTTGAAAGAGACTACCACAGCAGGAAAAACGATCGATACAGAGGAAATGATATTGATGACGAAGAGCAAGAAGAGTTGGATATCGCCACACGTCGCCAACTGGATTCTCGCATGAACAGGAGAGATCGGGAATTGGCACGGCGCCGTCGCATGCCTGCTGCTTTCTTGCAGGACGAGGATGATGATAACATAGATCTTGCCCGCCAGCCTCGGCGGCGGAGACACCATTACGATGAGGACCGTGAAGACATGGATATGGGCGAAGATGGCACAGAGGAGCTCTCCCTTGAAGAGATGATGGATATCAAGGCTGCTAATGTCACTGACTGGGTGTTGCAGCCTCAAGTCCTGCGCTCCATCTATCGGGAGTTTAAGACCTTCCTAACTGAGTACACTGACGACTCCGGTGCTTCAGTCTACGGAAACAAAATCAAGACTCTTGGCGAGGTGAACTCGGCCTCCCTTGAAGTTTCCTGGGTTCACCTGTCCAACACCAAGGCTGTGTTGGCATACTTCGTGGCCAACGAACCTACCGAGGTTCTGAAAGTATTCGACCAGGTCGCCCTTGATGTTACACTGTTCCATTACCCGCAATATCATGACATCCATAATGAGATCCACGTTCGCATCATCGATCTTCCAACCGTTAGCACACTGCGGCAATTGCGCCAGTCGCACCTCAACTCCTTGGTGCGCGTTACTGGAGTCGTCACCCGTCGCAGCGGTGTGTTCCCGCAATTGAAGTACATCATGTTCGTCTGTGGCAAATGTAACATCACACTGGGGCCATTCCAGCAGGAGGCTAGCCAGGAAGTGAAGATCTCCTACTGTCAAAACTGTCAATCCAGGGGCCCGTTCACCGTCAACTCGGAGAAGACCATCTACCGCAACTACCAGAAGCTGACTCTGCAAGAATCGCCTGGCTCTGTTCCTGCCGGACGACTCCCGCGCCAGCGTGAAGTCATTCTCCTTGCGGATCTCATCGATTCGGCCAAGCCCGGTGACGAGGTTGAGGTCACTGGTATCTACCGCAACAGCTACGACGCCCAGCTCAACAACAAGAATGGTTTCCCTGTGTTCGCCACAATCATCGAAGCAAACCATATCATCAAGTCGCACGACCAGATGGCTGGTTTCCACCTGACCGAGGAAGACGAGCGCGAAATCCGCGCCCTCTCGCGAGACCCGGATATCGTGGACAAGATTATCCGTTCCATTGCCCCTAGTATCTATGGCCACCATGACGTTAAGACGGCCATCGCCCTCTCACTTTTCGGTGGTGTCAGCAAAGAAGCCCAAGGCAAAATGTCCATCCGTGGAGACATCAACGTCCTACTCCTGGGTGACCCCGGTACCGCCAAATCCCAGGTCCTCAAGTACGTCGAGAAGACCGCTCACCGTGCTGTCTTCGCAACTGGTCAAGGTGCCAGTGCCGTCGGTTTGACAGCTAGCGTACGCCGCGACCCCCTGACCAGTGAATGGACACTGGAAGGCGGTGCCCTTGTGCTCGCAGACCGCGGTACATGCCTGATCGACGAATTCGACAAGATGAACGACCAGGACCGTACCTCCATCCACGAAGCCATGGAACAGCAAACCATCTCCATCTCCAAAGCCGGTATCGTCACCACACTGCAAGCGCGCTGTGCCGTCGTAGCCGCGGCAAACCCAATCGGAGGCCGCTACAACAGCACCGCACCCTTCAGCGCCAACGTCGAGCTCACCGAGCCTATCCTCTCCCGTTTCGACATCCTCTGCGTCGTCCGCGACCTCGTCGATCCCACGGAAGATGAGCGTCTCGCCAACTTCGTCGTGGAATCTCACCACCGCGCCAACCCAGCCCGTCCCATCCGCAATGTAAAGGGCGAACTAGTTGACAACGACAACAACCCCATCGACGAAGAAGGCTACCGCATCGACAAACAAGGCAACCGCCTCCCTCTCACTCAAGAAGAGACCGCCAGCCGTGAAGCCGCCCAGCGCAAAATGGAAGAAGAAAAAGAAGGCGAAATCCCTCAGGAACTCCTGAGAAAATACATCCTCTACGCCCGTGAACGCTGCCACCCGAAACTCTACCAGATCGACCAAGACAAGGTCGCCCGACTCTTCGCCGACATGCGTCGCGAATCCCTCGCAACAGGCGCATACCCAATTACCGTAAGTCTCCTCATATCCCAACCAAGAAAAGCAACCCAAGTCTAACGAAAAACCCCTACAGGTCCGTCATCTCGAAGCCATCATGCGTATCGCAGAATCCTTCTGCAAGATGCGTCTATCAGAATACTGCTCCAGCCAAGACATCGACCGCGCCATAGCAGTAACAGTGGAGTCCTTCATCGGAAGCCAAAAGGTTTCCTGCAAGAAGGCTCTCTCTCGGGCTTTTGCCAAGTATGTCATCTCTCCCCTATTCGTCTTTTCTTAAAGACGTTCTCTCCAGGAATCATATCTTAAAAAAGAAAAGAAAAGTCTTACTAACAATTGCATTCAGGTACACGTTGTCGAGACCTAAACCTCAGTCGAGACGGAGAGCGGGTGTTCCTGCGCCGAACCCATATCTTCCTAGGGCTGTGCCTCGGGCTTAGAGCATTGTGAATATGGACACGCGGGACTCAGGTAACGAATGGAGTTTTTCATTTTTCATTTTTTTTTGTTCGGATTGTTATGATATCAATCGATAATAGAAATAAGAAGAGGTACATTAATGTGCGTGGATTATGGATTTGATTTGCTTGCTTTCTGATTTGAGTTGATCACATTCGGGGTATATTCGGTGTGTATTTCGATCGATGGTCGGATGATTTTCCTTTATTCTTTTCTTTACTGAGATATCTTACATCGAGGTCATATGGAGTTTTCTGGATGTTGGCATTATTTAGTTCTGTGGATTTGGGGAAGAGTTGTGTTGATACTCCGAGTCCAGGGATCAGTCAGATAAGACATACAGTATGTGATTTGAGACAACTACTGGATGGGGTAGAGAAAGAAAGAAAAGAAAAAATTGAAACTACAAACAGAAAACCAGACCCAAGGCATCCGTTCCCAGTCCCAGAGTAACCATCAACTAACGCCATCCTTTTTCATCCCGCGCTGCGAAGTAAATAAAAGGGAAACCATATCCACCATAGACAGTCCCGGGCTATCCTCTTTCCGCATGTTCCTGCCACTCCGACGCCGGAATGGGACTTCGCCACTAGACTCATGGTGCACCATTGAGCCATGATGCGCCGACATCAGTCGATAAGAAGTTTTCCTGAGATACCAGACCAGGCCGCATTGCTTTCTGCCTTGAGAAAATGTCCTGGTGGTTTATCAAATGATACATTCCAGTGTTCTTCCATTTGTCTCTCCCCAACATTCAGTCGCATGGTCCCAGCGAAAGGGGTACCGAATAAAAATGGGAAAAAGGACATGTCAAGTTCTTCAGTCGTCACTGATTCGTCTCTCCGGGCGAGCCTTGCGTAAGCTCTTCATCCGATTAATAAAGCCACCCCCACCGCCACCCCCATTGGCATTACGACCTTCGTCGAGACCGTATGATCGGTCTTCTGTGTGTCTCCGCTCCAAACCGGAGCCTTGCTTCGGACTGCTGGAAGAACGAGCCCGTCCCAACCCTTGCGACTCCTCGGCAATGCGCACACCTTTCTTGTCCCACGCATCATCGTAGTCTTGGAAGAACGGGTTCTTCTCATTGGCCCGAATGGTTCCAATATGGCCAGAGCCCGTGGGTGCCATATAGGACGCTTCCGGAGATACCACACGGCCGTTAGACGGACGGCCGCCCACCCCGCGGAGTCTCTGGGCCAGACTCTTCTTCCGCTGCAGGCCACTGGCACCCTTGCTGATTTGCTGATCATTCTCACTCTCGCGGCGTTGAATGGCGGCGCGGCTGGCGGGAGCCCCATCCAGGAAGGTACTGGTTCCCAATCCCATGCTCTCGGAGCCGTGGACGGGTTCAATACGCGCGGTAGGATCGAAGTTCACACCTTCAGTCCTCCGTGAGTCGGTTGAACCAAAATCATTATATCCTTGCTCCGATCGACCGTGGAACAGGTCCAGATTAATGTTCTGATTAACGGGCCCGGAGCCTCCGAGAGCCATGTTAGTGGAATCCGCTGGGAACGCTTGCATGGGGGCGGTGCGTAAGCCTTTGCGGTTACGGTTCGGGTTGCACGCATCGAACGGTCCATCGTGATGGAACACTGTCCCAAAGTCAGTCGACTGCTTCCAGCGGAGATAGATTGCTTTTGCCCGGGGGGGCTCACTCACTTCCTGTACCGTAGATGCTCGTCACATCCAGCTTGTCAATGATGTCAAGTTGGTAATTGGTCTTCTTCGAAGAACGAGATTTGCCATCCCTATGACGAGCCTCGCGTTCCCGCCGCCGTCTCTCCCGTCGGCGCCGCTCATCCTCCGGGTCGAGCACCTTGGGGCGCTCCATGATGGATGACTCCGAATTCCGACGAGGTCGGCGGTCGCGATCGCGGGGCCTGGGCGGATTTGCGCTGGGTGGGTCGGCGAAGATATCTAGCGGATCTTTTCCTCGACGCTCCGGGCGTTCCCTTGCGGTGGTTGGGCGATAGCTGCTGAAGCCACCACCATTCTGAAGCGGCCGGTCGGGACGAGGCGGAGCGGGTCGGTAGCCCGTCGGTTGAGGAGCCGGGTTGGAGCTGAGCGACAGGTTTTCCTGGGGGGGGGAAAAAAAGAATACAGTTAGACTCAAAATGGGGCTGTGTGGCATTCCGTCGGGGAGAGACAGGACGTACAAAGAGATCGCGCGCGTTATTCGTGAAGTCCTGCCGATCAACGGGAGACACCATCGTTCCAGTGGGCGCGGACTGTGGTGACAGCGGGTCGTAATCGTCGAGGAAAGGGTTCGTCGAGGTCGGTCGTTCCGGGCGACTGGAAGCAATCGAGCTCGAGGGGGAGAGGGCACGGTTTCTGAAGGGATTGTTGGAGCCTAGATTCGCACCGGGGATTTGTGGTGACGGCTGATGGACCGGAGAGACTGGACAAGAAATAGAAAGGCCATGTTAGTTTGTTCTCGCAGTCCAGACACGGTCTGAAATGAGGACGGGGTGACGCAACGTGGATAGGAGGAGCGAGGCCCCGCTACATTGTGAAACGTTCTGCGAACGAGCCCAGCGGGACAAAGGAAAGCAAGAACAGGAGGATGACGAACCTTGCGGGCCCAGCACCATGCCGGGTGGATAAGCGTAAGAGAGCGTGGGAGGTTGCTGAGAGGCATTCATGTTGGCGGAACACGCAATGCGTCCACGAGGATGGGCGAGTGAAAAGCGATGATTGGGGAAGACAGGGGAAGCATAAAACACAATCACGGGGGATTAAAGGAGGGCTGTAAGAACGCGATGATCGATCGCAAGCGCCAGACTAGCAAACAAGGAAGGTAATAGTAAATTCGCAGCTGGTTGTGTTTGTGAAACAGCGATGCCTCGGGAGTCGGTCAGGGGGCCGTTGACGATTGGAGGGGGGATTTTATTGCAGGGGATTTCGGAGATGCAGTTCAGTTATGGAGACTGAACTGATTGAAACCGTTGGAACTATTTTAGTTTCGTTCCTTTTTCTCTCTCTCTCTCTCTCTCTCTTTTGATAATCGACTACAGGAGTGGAAGGAGAATAAAAAAAAAGAAGGAATAAAAAAAAAGAAGGAAGGAGACAAAACGTGTGAAAGGGAGAAGAAAGAACGAGAGGGAAAAGAGAAAAGGGAAATGGGCGGAGGGAAGGAGTGGAAAGAGAGTGGTGAGTGAGTGTAGAGAGAGAATAAAGTAAAGTAATTGATTGATTGACGGGAAACCAAGCGGCGCGCCCCTTGGGAAGTGTGAAGGGATCGTCGGAGGGAATTAATAAAAAAAGGGGGGGGGAAGAACGAGGTGGATTGATTACATTGAACAGGCACACACCACTTTATCTGATTATTTATTTTACTGTAAATTTTCTTTGCCATTCTTCTGGTTATCAAAGAAAAGAATAAAAAGTAATAAGGATCAATTTTCTAGAGCATAGTCCGAGTTGTTAATATAAATAGACCCCCAATACCACAATACAACAATAGAGAGTTTTCTCGGTATACACTAACTGCACCGAGGTACTGGAGAGTACCTCCAAGTACCTCCAAGTACCTACTACGATGGGGGGACATGGTAATAAAACATACTCCAGCAGATCGACATCCTCTCCTTCAAGTGCCGGATTTTGGGGGGAGGGGAAAATCAATTAATCATTTAATCCATCAATACTATATCTATGATCTCCTCCAACTTTCTTCTTTTGTCCAATTCATCCGAAAGCCAGTCAAATGAACCAGATCCATTCGTAGGGCCACCCATGGAGATGCACGAATAGCTTACCTTTAGGTACTGACTAACCTGACTAACTCTACTACTTACTAACTAGTATGTACTTAGTAACTCGGTGCCCCGAGGTCACTAACGGTAGTCCTGGTAATTACCAGCGGTTTGACAGCAACCACGTCCCCTGATTGACTGACGTCTCTCCACAATCAGTTAGTCATGGTATGGTCTTGTTCACCCCTGAATCCTTTTCCCCTTCCATTTATTACCCCAGAAATCAGTCACCAGCCCGAGTTCACACTAAAGGACTAGGTTACAGGTACAGTACATGATAGCTCTGCAGGGGGGTTCTTTTCTTTTTTTGCTTAAAGGTAGATAATATATAAATAAATAAGTAAGTAAATAAGTAAAAAAAGAAAGAACAGAAATAAAAATAAAAAAGAGAAGGGAAAAAAATAGTAAAAAAAAATTAAAGAAATAAAAAATAAAAAAAAAAACTCCTATTGACCATTTTAATTCCTTGTTTTGATCTCCTCTCAATTCCAGCCAGTTTTCCTGACCAATTCCGTCCTGTGTATTTATCTCGATCACAGTGCAATGGATCTCAATTCTATTTTGAGAAAACGCCACCGCCATCACCATCACCATTCATTTCACTGGCACTCATTCCACCAAATAAACATTCCGCAAAGAATGGAAAGCTAAGGAACACACGCAATTCCGCTCCAATCTCTCCTTCCTTTCCCCATCATGGACTTGACTGTCTATCAGGAATCGCTCAAAGACAAGACAACCAAACAGCTTCCTACCGATCGACAGTCGATTTGGCTTTTCGTCCCTCAATGATCGACGCGGTTAGTCATGTCCTACGTTATCCTTTCTCTTGGCAACTATCCACCGGAAACCCTTACATCGGGTCGTCCTGGAAGATAACAGTATCGTTGGAATGTTGTTGGATGCTTGATGACGGAATCTTGTTTGTACACATCACTGTACTACTTACTATACAGGGTCACTGCAGGACACCTCGCATCACTACGGCGTCGAGGCGCTGACGTCGGAGGAATCACCCAACATGCGTCAACATTCCAATGGGCCGAAAGAACGGAGAAATACAAGTTTAATCCATTCATCAGGAAGCTCTCATTATTAAGAGTTTTTTTACTGTACAGGGCCCATGCAACCAACAATCACCAACCCGCTCCCGAAAGCAACAACCATAACAACAAAAAAGGAAAACCATCGACGTTTCCGTTCTTTAATTCTTTCCGTGGTCGGCTAGACCAAGACACTCGGCCATGTTGAAGAAGATATCAACCGAGCTGTAAACGCCGCCAAACAGCTCCTGGCAAGGACCCTGAGCGAACACCGGTACATCCGTCAATGAGTGCACACCCTGGTCGGCGCTGACGGGTAGAGTGCCGTTGATGAGGAATCCGGTCACCGCGTCCTTGTAATTGGAATAATAGCCGTTAGATCCACTGCGTTTTACCGCGGGCTTCCGGGGTCCCTCCTTATGCACTGCATAGTTCTCTTGGTGGTCGGGGAAGGCCACCACGCCCGCGTGTAGGGTGTAGCGCGGGTCCCAGCGGGCCGGGAAATGGACCCCTTCCGAGTACCGCAAGGCGTTAGGGCCGCGCACGGTGTACTGCGAGAGACCGGAGTTTTGGTAAGTTCCGATGGCTTGCCGCTTATCCCGATCATCTTCATGTGCATTCAGATACTCCGTATCGACCGAGCCGGTGACATCAAATCCGTGGCCGTGGTCCGCGGTGACGATGATCAGCGTGTCGTCCAGCTGTCCAAGGGCTTTGAGCTTCTCGATCGTGGCGCGCACGGTATCATCTAGCTCCAGGAGCTCACCCAGAGACCGGTCGTAATCCAAGGTGTGCATCTGCTTGTCGATACTGGCAGCCTCCGACATGAGGAACCAGCCGTCGTCCTCATGCCGGGCGTTCAGGACGTCGATCGCCTTAAGGGTCATCTCCTTCAATCCAGGGAGGTCGTCCGCGTCCCTTCCCGAGCCATCCGGATAGTTGCTTTGATTCCGGAGGTTCTCCTGGTACACGTTACGGTCGAGCCAAGTGGCCAGATTGGAAACAGAGAACACACCCAGGGCTTTGGTATCGTTCGGGGCAGCCTGGAGTGCGGTCTTGTTCCAGCTGACACTATAGCCCTTCTCCGCAAACAGTTTATAGTAGTCCCGAGGCGCATCCTTACTGGTGACGAAGTTTTCCGCCCCGGCGCCAAAGAGGACATCCGGGCCGTCCCAATCCGTCCACTCGTATTTAGTCAGCCCTTCGAAGTAAGCACCGATGACATGGTCGTACTCGCCACGGTCCCGAGTATGAGCAGCCAAGGCAGCCGGGGTGGCGTCCGCCAGAAACGCAGTCGAGACGATGCCAACACCACCATCGGGGTACCGGCGACGGAAGATCTCTGAGATGGTTTCGAATTTCGGGTCATCGAACGGGTCTTTCGACGAGTCCACATAGACGTTCAAAGCATTCACGGTGGTCTTCTGGCCTGAATAGAGCGCCGTGGCCGAGTTGGCCGAGTCCGTGATGAAGGAGTCCATCGAGTGGGTCATCTGGTGACCCAAGACGGGGAACTTGTCCAGCTGTAACTTGGTCAAGTACTTGCCATTGACGCTTCGGTGAGCGATCAGACGAGCTGCCGTGATCATGTTGGTCGTCATGCCGTCTCCGATGAAGAGGACGACATTCTTTGCCCGTCGCTTCTCCGGGAGGTCGCGCACCAACCAATTGGCAACCGTCTTCTCTTGGCCGTAATAGCTCAGTGTCGCCTCGTACTCACCAGGCTCGTGGAGAGCGACTCTTCTGTAGGCCTTCGCGGTAACGTTGACGAGTGAGGGCTTGTGCGCATCCTTCGCGAATAGGTCTACATCAATTAGCCCGATGTTTCACTGACATCCACGAGGGGTGTCCCGATCATACCTTCATACCAGGTGAAGTTCCATCGCTCAAGCTCTGGCTCGTCGATCTCAAAGTACTCTGACGCTGCAACCGCCTCTTCACCCTTCTTCGCGATGGTGAATTTGAAGTCGGGATCAGGTTGACCCTGGCGAGCTTCAGAACCGTTGACAGGCGAGTGGACCTCCAGACGGATATCGAAGTATTGACCGGGAAGTAAATCCGCCCTAATAGAATCATATCGATTAGTGTCACGGGCCCAGCATTCTCAATTACGTCATGCCAGCTTAAAGTTGAGTATTGCTAAGAAGAAGAGAAAGAAAGGAGATAACTTACTGATCAGGAGGGAAAACACAACCCAGAGTTGGACAGCCACCCAAGCGCTGATAAGTTTGGGCTACGGCGCACGAGGCAAACAGTGCCACACCTGCAAAGGAGAGGGGCCTCATCGTGATGCAGATGATGTGAGTTCAAGGCACAAGGGGAACTCGAGACCTGCAGCTAGAGAAGGAGGAAGATCAATTCCCATGCGGGAGAAACACGAGCCTTTTAAGATGCGGGAAGCCAAGGGGGTGGGATGGCCAGATGCCACCCTCGCATCTAAACTACTGTACACAGTGCATGGCTCTCTGACTGGGTGGAACGATTCCGGCTGAGTGCGGTTTACAAGTGAGATTATCTGATTCGAAAGCCAGTAACCCTTGTCCAACATGCTTGGCAGATGCTACTAAGGGACCATTTACCAGGATCCCGTGGGCAAATCGGAATCCGCCATCTTCTACACGTGCAGAAGCTGGGCGTTCAATGGAAAGCTCGGATGGTGGCCCTTGTCCCCCGCCAAGCCAAGAGCGGCTTGGCAAGGTGTTCCATGCCAAGGCTCTGGCGAGGCACGTGGGCTGTTCCTGGGGAAGGTAATGGAATGGTTCACTTTGACTATGTTCAAAGTGAGGGGACTTGGATGGTGCCATTCGCCGTTCATGGTTCGTAGACCGTGGATGAGAGAGAGGAAGTGGGCAAGAAGTGTGTGGGTTTACGAGTTCCATTACCCAAGTGGCCCCATCGAAGCGAAAAGGCCTTTGCAGAGATAGTGGCTTCAATATTTTTTTTTCGAGGATTGAGAAAACGAAATTTGTATTGGTTGTCCTAGGGCTACGGTAGAAACTACTAGGAGACTCAGCCATTCCAAAGCGCGATATATATGTACCTCGTCGGGCATTGGGAAAGCTTGGTGCTTGTGGCGTCAGACGTACTGCATTGCCTATTTAGGCATTTAGGGCTATTAGTATCAGACAGTAGGGGCTTTCTTTGTCTATAATTAATCAAGCTAGGCGACTAGACGTCAACTTCGAGAATCGATTCTGATTAGTGGCCTCTGAATATATACCTAGTTGCACTGTCGTATATCATCACGGCCCTCCCCCTCTCTTCTAAATATATATATATATATATATATACTGGGGGGAAATAAAATATAATGCATCTTGAAAAAAAGTAAATACTTTGAGGATACCCAGTATCGTCGTTGATCTTCCTCGGCGTATTTACTTGCTTGTCAATTCTTCACCATATTAATGAAGGCAACCCCCGACTACGAGGTACATACAGTAAATATGTTTTTACGGGGTACAGACCAAACAAATAAACCTCCCCACCTAAATATTAAGCATGGTTAGATCAAGCTCATGCAGGGACCATGAAAACTCGGCTTACGAAATCATTTACTTTCAGTCCTGCATATGTCTCTATGGTATATGATCTCCCAATGGATAAATTCCAAACAGATCTGGAGAAAGTATGGAGGAGTGGAGATGGAACGGGAATCAATATGAAACAATGACACTCTATTCCCTTCACAGCTTAGCCTCACTTTCAGCAACCACATCAATACATTTCTGATACCGTACCCTTACCGCCCATACAATTTCCCTGAACCTTTTATTATTCTTCCACGATAAGCCCATATATCGCTCGCAGCTCTGATCAGCTCTGGTCACGCTCTCTCAACTGCCTCCGCTCAGCTTGCACGATCCATCTTATTCATCGGTACACCATGGACCAGCCACAACCACCCACCGACCAACCTCAGCAACCCCCGCCGGCGACCCTGACAAACCCCCGCTTTACCCTCGAGCTCGAATTTGTCTCGTCGTTGGCGAACCCATACTACCTCTCTCACCTCGCTGTTACATACCCTCACCTACTGGGCATTTCTAACTCCGGCGATGAAGTTGACGCGACCAAGGACACCGTGGATCCCGACGCGCAGGCCTTCGCCGCATACCTTGCCTACCTCTACTCCTACTGGAAAACCCCCGAATATGCCCAATTCCTGACCCATCCTGGCGCCACTCTACGCGCACTACGGCTTCTCCAGGAAGAAGCATTCCGCCGCGACATCATCCGCCCACAGGTCATCGAAGGACTCGCGGGGATGGGTATCAATGCTGAAGAAGGCGGCATAACCGCGGAGCAGGAAGGAGAACAAGACAGGGAGGGGCAGGGAAAACAGGAAGAAGTGGGGAATAATAACACTTCAAAGACCTGAGGGTCGTTTCCCCGAAACTGCGAGGAAGAGGCCCGGCGTCTTCGCTCGACCTCTACGATAGGCTTGCTCGGCTACAACCTAAAAAGGAAAGCGTTGCGGGCGGCGGAGAAGATTCAGGGGATCTACATCGGGGGACAGAATTGGGTTTCTTCAAACCTATTTGGCTACCCTCTCCCCGCAAAGTTGCTTCGATTGAGGTTCCGGACGCACTGATGCTCTTTGGTTCACGACGGCGTGGAGCGTCATGTGTGACCGAGGCACTCCCGCTTTTCCTTGAATGGTTCGTTGCGGTCGGCTATTCTTGGAAGCGGTGCCCTATGAGGTGACATGTAGCGCTTTGTTTTTGGGTTCTCGCCGTGTCTGTGCTGCATAGCTCGGAATGTACTGGTAGCTTGATTCTTGCTCGGCATCTCCCCTACATGCGGGGGAGCGCTTTCTACTACTCGATTATGCACCGAGAGAATATGTGCATGCGGTTGATAGACTGTGTCTTGTGACCAGCGAGAGTAAGATGGAATATTGAATGGGTGTTTATTCAAATTGTAAGATCTGTCAGAGTTCTCCTCTTGAATGTTGAGTACAACTTGTCCTACTTCCCCAATTACGAGTTCCAGCTATGACGTTGGCCGCGATTTGTTTATTTCTCGCTCTCTTCCTCTGTGGCGGAATGGGCAGTAATTGGAACTGGAGGGTATGAGAGTGATTTAAATTAATAAAGAGAATAAAATAAAATACATAATCGTAAAAGCCACAATTATAATCTACTGGTAATCTCGTTAAGTCGACGATCGCCAAGTCTCACGGGGCCAGAGGAGAAACAGACCAATTTTCCTTTTCTTAACTCCGTTGCTCCAACCTAAACCTCCCATCTTCTTTCTCTCCATTCTCTCTTCCTTTCTTAAAACACGCGACCCCCCACCGTGATCTATGTTGTGCACTCCTTGAAGGCCGTTGAATCCCCGACTTCCTGCTGCGTCACTCCTTACTTTCCATTCGTTCCTGGTGCAGACGACCCGCTTGACATAGCTGGCGAGTGCTACCTAATATATCCGATGGACAGACCCCACCCCTTGGAGACTTGACTATTTTGCCCTGGACAGCCTTTCCAATCGGTCGCTGTGGCCGTGACGCGTACACTAAACCATTCAATCAGCCCGACTCCATGTCCGCTTCCAGAATCCTTTGCTGACCCACTAAAATCTGCTAACCCCCAGCCACTACCCGTGGCATTTTCCGGGATCGCACCTAACATCCTATACCGCTGAATCCTTCGACACGGACGCCGAATAGCCTCTTCCGGGCACCCGAACCGATGGAGGGCGTCCGCCAGAAATGCAGGCCGAAACATCAGGTCCTGGTCTTGAAATGCTACCCACAGTATCAGAAAGGAGTGCAGGTGGTCAAACCGAACTCGAGTGAACTCTCATATCTACTCTACTATGTGAGCACCCGCCGCAGCAAGCTGACCAAGGTCGGCGCCTTCTTGGAGAAAAGAGCCGCTCGGGATGTGTGGCGCCGCAAGATAGGGTGAGTTTACAATGGAGAAAAATGACAAGAGGCAGTGGTCATGGAATTAAAAATTGGTCTGCGGAAAGCTGCGGTGTATGACTAGCTGACATTGAAATCGTGCTCTATAGAAATGTACAGGTTACGCTTCAGATCTTGAGCGCGCTCATCGAAAAAGTTCCCCGCGACTTGCCTATTTACGCACGGTCGGTTATGACGGTCCTCGAAACGGTCATACGCTCTCAGGAAATCTCCATGGTCGAAGATTCTATTGAGACCTTTGAGACTTTCTGCCGGCATCAGGATATGGCGGCACTATCAGCCGAACAGGATTTTGCTACACAGTACCGGGAAGTCGTGCGGACGTATGCGGGTTTTGCGGACGCTGATCCTTCCACGCAGCCGAAGATCGCCCCGAGCCCGCCGTTCACGGTTCGATGGAAGATGGCGGGACTGCGGGCAATCAAGGGGGTGGTTAGTTCCGAAGCGGGTTTGGCTGCAGATGGTGGAGATTCGATACGCGTCATACTGCCCGTTATCCTGGAGAACCTCTACAGCCCGGAAGACAATCTGGTTAGGTCACTCGAACTGAAGCTTCTTGAAACGGAGAAAGATGAAGCAGAGCTCGGGCACCGACGGAGGGTTAGCACTGCTACGGTGGAAACGGTCGACGCGGTGGAGGGGGATGCGGAAATGGCAGCTCAGAATACCGCTGACGTGGACCGACAAGCGGAATTGAACATGAGGCTGCTTGCTCTGCGGTGCCTGGAACAGATCGTCGTCAATGGCAGCAGCCGCGGTCAGATCCGCGTCACGACCAAAGTCGTACTGGACTTCATCCTGCGCAAAAGCCGAAGTGGTAGTGGGCTAGCGCTGGACTCCAAGGACAGTTGGGCCCCGTCGCTGGTTGAACTGATCGCAAAGTGGTGCCCTGTTCAGGTTCGCTTTATCATTCTGGTTGCCGCTATGGAACTTCTGCACGACATTCCGCCAACAGAAGAGTCGTTGGACGAATCGTTCGCCATCATCTATCTTATTGATCGACTGCTGAAGTCTCCGGTCAATATGATCGGACTCAGCATTATTGATGTCTTGCTAGGCCTCCTGCGGCACATGTCCCTCCTGGTGTCTCCCTCAAGAGCTGGAAAATCGACGCCTGGGGCTTCTGATGAGAAGCAAAACCAGCCTTCAAGCGTTCTAGACGTCTCCACGAAAAGAGCAGAGGTGCTCTCACTCCTGCAGCATTGCATCGGCAACCTCGCCACACATATTTACTATGGCGAACAAGTTGTGGACATGGTCCGGACGATCTTGACTCGCTTTAAACCGTCAACAGCCAATGAGCAGGCGCTAACATCGTCTCCAACTCAGTCTGATGCTTTGGGAGGCGCCAACCCTACGACTTCTTCTGGAGATGGGGGCTTGATAGCAATGTCTCTGCCCAGTGCAAAAATCACTGCTCTTCGAGCCATCAAGAATATTCTGCTTGTTGCCAACGCGAAGCGGCCAGGAGCGACTGTAAGCGCTGAGACCAGACACCAGGTGGGCCTTTATGTATGGGAAGGTACACAGTGGCTCTTAAGTGAACCCGACAGAGATGTTCGCTATGCATACGTGGATGCTTTTCTTACCTGGCTGAATCTGGAAACCACTACAGACGACCTCAAGGTCAAGGAGAGGACTGGGAGGCCCGCAAGTCAACCCGGAAAGAATGATCTGTCAGACTTCACCGAGAAGCCTGGAAAGCGAACCACCGGCTTGAGCGGGAATCAGCGTGAAAGAGTGATTATAATTGCACAGTCGAATTTCCTTCGCTTACTTCATATGACTATCTACGACCTTGCACTTGATCGCCCAACCTCCGCGTCCGAAGTTATGCTGCTTCATTTGCTCCTAGTAAGCCTGATTAAGCATCTCGGGGTGAATGCGGTCAGATTCGGGCTCCCTATGGTTCTGAAACTTCAGGACAGCATGGCTACCACTGATTTTCAGTCCTTCCCTGCTCTAGTGAACATTGGAAGTTTGGTCCATGGCTATCTGTGGGCGTTATTGGAGAAATTCGACTTGGATACCTCCAAGGTCGGTAATGGAGTCCAGAGAGAAGTCCAGAAAAGGCAACAGCTCGGCGTATGGCTTGAAGGCATACGCTTGCCACCTGTCAGACTTGACAATATCATCCAAAGCAGCAATGTCCAGGCCAGCGGCCGTGGTGTACAGGACGTGAGCCTCCTGATCCCGTTCGATGGTACTGATGAACTTGTCCAGCGAATCGAAGCCGCCTATGGTTCCTTCATCGCTTTGCTTACTCACAGCCCTCCAAGTTCTCCGGGGACTGTCGGATCACCAGGGCGAAACATCACTGCTCCTGTTCTGCCGCATGTGTCAGCCTCCCTCGGCACACAAATGGCTAACGTTCTTCCTCCCGTTGTCAGGGAGCAGATGTCATCCCCATGGTCAAGAGAAGCCTGCCTGGCAGCTGCTGAGAACGAGAAAGCGGAGGCCAAATCCTTGAGTGGATCGCGAACAGGCACCCTTGTCATGCGCAATCATGCCCACCAAAACGGAACTAGCTCTCCGTCTGCAAGTTCAAACGTATCCGTGCCGCAGCCTGCAGCGGGCCTGCAGAACAACCGAAGGACGAGCGTGCCAAACTTATCAGGCTCACACCTCGTCAGCACCAGTCGAGAGTCTCCGGTCCACGTCAATGAATTGAGGCGAGTCCTCTCTGTTAACGAGGAAGGCAAGGCCCGACGGATGAGTCCGCTGCGGGGCCGACTTGACGGCTCAAACCGCAGCGTTATATCTTCCAGTAGCGAGAGCATGGTTAGTGGCTATTCACTGAGTGAGTTCGACGATGGTGCCTCGGTCAAGCCCCGATCTACTAAAGGTGGACGAGTTTCTCTCGATGGTGAGGAGACCCCTAGGGCCTCCGCCCTGTCCTTCATGGTAGACGCGGAGGATATTCCGCCGGTACCGCCCATACCCCCATCTATATCTATTCAAGGAGGACTTCAGGATGGTTCGCAGCGCTCAATGTCGTTTAGTCGTCCCTCGACTGCCCCCGGACCTCGCCGACAATCTGTCACGAACGGCAAGCCAGGAGCGCCCTGTACATCACCTGGCAAGTCTCTCAGCAGACATAAAAGTCGATCCAGCACTGGCCTTGCCGCTGCGGCCGCTGACGGTGCTGAGCCGTACTCAGCCAATGCTGATAGTGCCCGTCTTGACGTACAAAAGCTACTGGATGGGTTCTTGTCGCCAGCCGACGCCGAGACTAGGGGCAGCAGACGAAAGGCTCGAAGCAACGCTGGCCGACGAGGCGTTTCTGGAGGAATCGGGCGCCCTCCCTATTAATGGCACACTTATGAAGGCCATATCGATGAACTTCACTTTTCGGATTATCTCTTCTCTTCCCTTCCATTCGTTACATCTCATTTGTTACGGTTGCGCAGCAGCCGCACATCTACCTTTCTGTTGATCCTGCACATATACAGTTCTATCTTATACCTTTTACACTGTTACGTTCCTTTTTTTGTGCCGCACTGCACCTTCGGGTTTCTTTTGTCCAAATCTTGTCCTTCTTCTTGCCATTTCAAATATTTCTGTCGATAATGGCGTATGATCTGATAGACTTTCTTACTGGTTACCCACCCAAGCTGTGCCTTTTTTTTTCATTTTGTCCGAACCAAAAGGTCTCGCGTGTTTCTACGTGGTTTGTTTTAGTTTCTGTGAATATATACAATTTATTGTCTCATAGCATTGTGATATTTGCATGTATGTAGCCTGCGTTAGCTTACTAGATATCATCCAATTGAAATTCAAGCTAATAAGATCAAACCGACGTATATATGGAAAGTCACTAAAGGTTACCGCTTGTTATCTACACACTGCTTTTTCTCCCGTAATTCCAAATTCTGCTACATATACAATACCAAACTGTGACGGAGTTCAAGACTGCCTCAAGCGCCATATTAATCGGGTCTTCCAACAGTTGCGCATATTCGGACACAAAAATTATACCTTTATCCGCAGCTTGCCTTTGGCCAAGTGCATCCTGGCTGTAATATAGAAGATGGTCCCCACTGCCAACATTGTCCCCGTGAAAACTTGCAGTTTCCAATAACTTCCCCCGGCAGCCGAGATGAGAGCGCCTCCAATAGGGCTCCCTGTTAATGCTGCCACGGACATGCAAGCATACATCGTACCCGATCGGGTGCCAATCTCCCGTATATCGGAAATCTGTGCCACCAGAGCCGGGCTGATGGCTGTATAGGTGCCAGAGCTTAGACCGAAGAGAGCAGCAAATGCAATTGCCGTCGCTTGAGATTGTCCAGGGAGCCACAGAGCCAGTACGAAAATACTCGAGAAACATGCCGCACAAAGAGAGACATTATAGTTCCCTAGCTTATCCGCTGCATATCCAGGGAGAATACGGCCGATGCCACTATTACTGCCTGGTTAATCGGGTTCTGACCCATAAGGCTGATGAAGATGTTGTGTGGTGGTATGTACATACCTCGCCGCATTGAAAATCGGTACTAAATACCCGGCAAGTTCAACCGACATGCCCCTATATTTGCCGTAGGTCACCAGAAATGTGATCGGTATGAACATCCCCATAGAATAGAAGAAACTGGCAAGTGCTGTTACAAGAAATGGAAGGTCTTTGAAAGGCCGGATAAATGCCATTATACCGGTGTTTGTTGGTTGCGAAGGTAGCCTTGGCCGCACAGTGAGATTTGTCACGATTAATAGCGCCAACATCAAAAAGGCGCATGTTCGCATAGTCCACGCGAAACCTATCTGAGGCATCAAGCGATCTACTAGGATAGGTAGAACCACTCCACCGAGGCTCGATCCGCTGGCAACTATACCCATGACCAAGGCACGCTTCTTCATGAACCATGTTGTGACACAGCTGAAGCAAGGGTACATGACCATGCCCGCGCCAATGGGACTGCATATAGCTTGGGTAAGGATAAACTGGTAGTACTGGGATGAGATGGAAGTCATCATGAGACCGAACACATGTAGGAAGGCCCCTATCAAGAGTAGATAACGCGGCCCAAAATTGTCATATAGCCTTCCAACCACAGGCCCCTACGGTTGAGGGTCTTAGTGTCATTTGAGAAGTCTAAGGATTGGGTGTAGAGATTTGAGCTATCTGTTTAGCTTTTCACTCACGGTAATAAAAATCACGAACATTGATGTTGCAGGGATCCACGACACTGTACTTGGGGAGTTTGACTGTAACTGATGAGTCTGATAGTAGGCCTGAAATACGCCGACACCTGTGCGATGAAGGGTTAATCTTCTCTCTCTTCCCCCGGGGTCTTGCTTTGGGTTCATACAATTTGTCCAGCCAAAACTAATAAAAAGGCCGAAGAAGGCCCCCAGAACCACCAACCAAGCCCGTAAGCCCCCATCAGGAAATGCCTGAGGTGCGTTTACTTTAGCACATTCAAAAGTTGGTCGTTTCTCTCCCGCATTCTGACTTGTTCTAGTTGAGTGGCGTGCGTCGTCCATCCTCGCAGTCGGCAAACATTAAGTGAAGGTATAAGCAAAGTAGCTTTTTCAAAGTGAGCTCAGGAGTAGCACTGGGAGTCCACCAAAAGAAAAAGGGTGTACGAAGGAAAATGAAGTTTGTAAGACTGGCGATCAAGGACGGGGTTGAATTGGCAACTATAAATACACAGAGAAACAGGACAGTCTCCAACGAACCCCTCTAACTCGGTCTGCAAAACGCCGATTCCATTGACTCATAATTTTGCTGTTTATGCCTCTCACTAAACCAACTGGTCTTATTTAGCACCACAACCCACTGGCAGGGCGTGCTGAAGGCCATGCGGAGCCCCGCGGAGGTCCGAGTAGGCCAATCACGGCGCGAGGCACGGAGACAGTCATACCGTTGTGACTTTAAGCCAATCCTGCATTCGTATCTCTGCTCAAGGGAGCTTGAAAATGGACACTCAAAACACCCTCAATGTGATGAAGCGTTCAGCTTCAGAAGCCGGACCAGTTTCCAAGCGCAGTGCTTGGCAACAACCCGTGTCCTGTGAGTTCTGCCGTTTGAAAAAGGTTCGATGCGACAAGAAAAGACCGTGTTATAACTGTACCTCCAGAGGCTTTGCATGCGAATATGCTTCAGGTAAGATACGCTCCCTTTTCTCATATCACAGCGAGATGCTCTTCTCTAACTCCTAATTGATTTTGTCTAACGCGAGAGGAATTACGCACTTTGAAAGTAATCAAACCTGTACAGTCTTCCTTAGATTCGAACAAGGACCCAACAGAGAGGCAACACCATACTCTTATCCTAGATCACAAGCTTGTATCTCTGGAACGGTACGAGGCCCTAAGGCTAATACTATGACATTACTAAGACGCGTGCCAAAGAAATGTTCGGGAAATCAACGATCGTCTTAAGAGAGTAGAAAGCGCTCTCCTTTCCACTCCTGGGCTAGGACAGGAGTTCCATAGAACGGCCCAATTTACTCCCTCATCTCGCAGTCTAGCAGAAAGCCATCATGGAGCAGACAGTCCCAAGACATGGGACAATCTTGAGACCATTGCTTCTAATCCACACTCTGCTACCGAGTCGAGCTTTCGACGACACCCACCAGTAGGGGGAATATCTATGAGTGATCCCAAATTTATCCAATTGAATGACTGCAAGGCTTCTGGAGAGGCATCACCCGAAATACCCCAGCGTCATGATATGCCAGCTACTGATATACCGAATAATCTCAGGTGGGGAAACTTGCAAAATCTTCTGCCTGATATTCATCTTGCTCGGCTACTCTTCGAACATTATGTTCAGACTTCAGACTGTCTGCACCGCGAGATCCATGTTCCTTCCACGCGCGCCCTCCTGGAGGCTACTTATAATGAACTATCGGGATCAATCAAAGGGTTAGATGAAACGATCGCCTTCTTCCTATGCATCTTCGCGTCCAGTGCATTTTATGTCTGCCATTCACACTCTCACTCAATTTCTGACCAACTGAAGGATGCGTCGAAGTGGCACAATGCATGGAAGGAGGCAGTCATATTGGCACTATTGCAGCCAGATGCAATACGCTCGTCGTCACTAGTATCTCTGCAGACAATATCGATTATGACATATTTAATATGGGATACCGAAGGCCAATCATCCATGTTTCATGCCCTAAGAAGTATCGCACATACGAAGGCGATTCAAATGAAGATCCATCGCCTCGACGCGCATCCTCCAACGGAAAATGACGACGTTATTGTAACGGAACTCAAGCGCCGTCTCTGGTGGCATCTTGCGTCTACTGACTGGTGTGTTCGATCCCTTCATCTCAATTGCACGTCGGTTAATACTAATGATGCGTCTCGAGGCTTGTTGCCAGTGTCCCGGGAAGCCAGGAGGGAACATATAGCATCAACCCAAAGCTCATGGCGGTCAAATATCCCCTCAACATAGACGATACCGATATTCGTGCAGGCGGACCACTCCCAAATTCTCTACCCGAGGACCAGCCAACATCAATGTCATTTTTCCTGCAACGTATTAAGCTTGCTGAGCTATGTCGAGATATGATAGATTCTATGCAAAACGCCCATCAACGAACAGATACACCAGATCACGAGCACCTCCGCCGGGTTGTCGCATGGTTTAACTCATTCGAAGAAAACCTGCCATGGTTCTTCCAAATGGATGAAGAAAGTATAAGTAAAACAACAGTATTGGCTGCCCGCCGCCCCTATATTCTCCGGCAAAGGCATGTGTTATTGTTGGGGCTATACTCACGACTTGGCCGTCTGCTAAGGCCTCTTCTTCTTCGAGGAGACAGCCATCCATCGTGCTCTGATTTGGACGCTCTTGGAATAAGCTGCGCCGAGAAGTTATTGAATATTCGTCATAGAGTCGAGCCGGAAGATCTTTGCCCTTACTTCCATTCACACAGTATAGACCAGCACTCGTTTGGTGCCCTGCTTCTCTTAACCATTGATATTATGCGGGATAACGATGAGCCTCGTGCACAAAACAGAAGGAAGAACTTGATTCGCGCATGCGAAATGCTGAGAGGAAAGCAGAGATCCTTGGAAAAGCCTACAAACAGTATGACCCGAGCGCTCGACCAATTGATAGATATCATTCAGAAACCATGTCTATCCTTCCAGCGAGAATTTGTGGATGTGAATGGTAACCATTCTTGTCCAACGTTGCCTTCAACACCACATGATAGTATCGAGCTTCCGACACAACCCGTCTTATCTGAAGAGACCGGGATCCCAGGAAGTCAAACAGCGACTACTGGGAAAGCAGATGGCCCAGAGGAACATGCCCATATGCCTTTTACGTCGGCGGATAACTTTCCGTGTGCTCCTGAGCATCCAGCCAACAGCCTTGCGGGCCAAGATATCGCCGAGTTATGGGAGGAACTGCTGAATAGTTTTCCTAGCCCGCCAGGGTTCACCTGGGAAGAGGCATTTGACTGGAAGTGGCCTTGATGCCACCGGGATAGGACATGAATGCCCTGGTGAAGATAATATAAGCAATGGTACATAGGGTGTCACATGAGGCTTGTTTGATAGAGACCTAAGGAGGGTGGCGGGAATCAGGCTCTATCTTATGCTGTTAGTGACTTGATAATGGTTGGGCTGCTAGTAGATGTAGTATTTAAATACGAGAAGTATACATTTTCATCTAAGTCCTGTACCACTGGCAGTCTTTCCTTTGTCTCATTTCGGTGACCGCCAATAGAAGTAATAATATTATAGTATTAATACTTTCGGAAATATTGTTATGCCTATTTTGACTACTTCCACCTGACGAGGTGATAGGGGTATCCACTTCCTCTAAACCAGACCTTTGTTCTTTTAAGGGGCATAGTTCTTAGCCCTAACCACCAAGAGGTTCGTACCTGTGTATATGTCGATAAAGTCAAGGAGAGGAAGAGGGTCGGTTTGCTGTCCAAAGAAAAAGGAAAAAATTGTAAGTTACTTCCAGGATAAACGAACAGGTGCTGTCCAAGCACTCACCTGCTGCACACGCCAGTAATACTGAGAGGCAACAGTGGCACACCGTGAAGGGCAGAGAGCCAGCACCATAAGCGCAGGGAGCAGGTTTATCATCTACAGTTCTTATCGGTGAGCAGTATATGTTTCAGGGGCGCAGTAGTGCCATTTTGACAGTATCATCCCGGTGTTTTCCTCACAGCAGCCGACGAATCCTTCCTCTCAATGTAGAGCATGGTTTCGTCCTAGTTTAACTTCATTTCACGGGGTTCAGATCATGGCTATTGGTGGCTTATAATCTTGGATATTGCATGTCCTTGCCGGTGGTAAGTTAAATGAACTATACGTTGCATATCAAACAGTGGGGATAATTCACACATCGAATACTAGTATGGCGTTCTCTATGGCTCATTTAGCCGCAGGAGCATACTCCTGAGGCTTATGCTCTGTTTACTTGGGATGTGTTGTTTGGTAGAATAATATTCTATGTCCCCTTACCTATACATTATACCAACAGAATATTTGGAATAGTGGTATACTATTATTTAGCTGATCCTCGGGTGATTGATCACTGGGATTAGCGGACGAGAGATGATCTCTCTTGTGTCCATTATTATGTCGGAGAGGCTGATGCCTCGCGATCCCTTCTTAAGAGATCGTCGGCTCAAGAACTGCCCAATAAACGTCACAAAGACAGTGACATACGCGAGTTCAATTGTCTTCGCTAATAATGCAGCCATGAATTTGGCAGTTGAGGCCGAAAGCACTCCACTGTCTCCAATAAAGTTGCCGTACCACGGCTTCCAACAGGCCACAGCAAGATATGCCCCTGACCCTACAGTGGCGTAGACCGCAAGGATCAAAATAGTTATTGGAACCCATCGATTCCATCGCTGAGCGATTGGATACTTGCTAGGGCATCTAAACTGACCAGGTTCATGGTCTAGTCGGGACGTTTCGACATGCGACCGCGGCGTTTGCTCTGACTGACCCGGGGGATGTAGTGTGTCACTAGTGGTTGTCTCGTCCAGCACTTCGTTGAGATCAACAGAGGGCATTTTGGATATTGAACGAGTGTTATAGAAACCCACGGCCGGAGGCGCTTCATCGTGGGATGTCAATTCCTGCCCCATCTGAGAAGTAGGTGCGCGCTCATAACGAATGTAGGAGCGGTCGGATGGAAGGCTCGGATCAGATGAACTCAAGGAGGTTTCTGACTGGTCGAAATAAAGATTGTGTATACTAGACACTGGGAACAGAGGATGTGTTTCATCTTGAGCTGAGGGCATGGTGTCCAACAATCGGGGTACAGGTCAATGAGGACCTGCACTGGAATGCAAAGGGTACACGAACTTCTTCCCCCGGGTATGTCGCTGTTATATGAGCTGACTAGCCCCGGCGAATAGGCTGTGTAAGGTTTAATGAAAAGCTCAGTCTGATGTTTTTCAAACGACGACGTTTGTGTGGCCGACAGGGTTCACGTTGGATTTCTGCCCAAAGCGTTTAGTGTTCTCATATCCCTGTTGTTCTCCGCCAACTCCACTGACTTATGAGATGAACACCGGCTAAAGATAACCAGACTATACCAGACTATTCTTATTATTGTCTACTACCTACCAATCATGTCGTTGATGGCCAAGCAGCTTGAAGAAAGCTGTCCAATCAGCACTATCTAACTAGAACTTTTGTATGACGAAGGGAAGAGTTATGGTCTATGGTGCAGAATGGGATCAACCAGGCAAGGGAATTGAAGATGTACTAGAGAATAACTAAGAATCGAGAGCGGGAGAGGAATCGAATCCTATTGCAGCAAAACTAAACCTTGAAGCAGAAAACTAGATACCATTGTTTGCGATTCTTTCATCTCCTGCCGTCCTTGAGGGCCCGGAAAAACATCTTGTAAGAAAGGCCCCATTGGCTCGGCAACTAGTGCCTTGGCATGATATGCCTCCCATCGACTCCAAGTGGTATAGGAGTCTTTAGTTTAGATACCAAGCTTGTTAAGCACTCTTTCTAGATCAAATAGAACTATACCAGCTCCTGCAAAGCTATTTTGAATAGACTCTGATTTAAATGACAGCGCCGGAGGCACCGCTTAAGATATTCCAAGGCCATCAAGGTTGTGTCACCGCAGTGGCCTACGCACCAGATGGGAGGAAGTTAGCTTCTGCATCAAGTGATAGAACAATCCAAATTTGGAATACAGCCTCTGGAACGTCAGTTAGGGTCCTTCATGGTCATTTCCTCGACTGTTAATTCAGTTACTTTCGCCCCGTATAACGATATTGCTGGCCTCCGCATCAAACGACAAAACAATCCGGATTTGGGACATATCTCACGGTAAGGTTGTTCATACACTCGACGGTCTAGACTGGTACACATCGGTGTCATTCTCAACAGACGGGAAGCAATTAGCATCAGGTTCATTGGATGAATTTGTGCAACTTTGGAACACATCCACTGCAGAAGAGCTGCAGAAGCTCAGAGTGCCACTTGTCCCGTGTGGATTCGGTAGTGTTCTCGCCTGATAATAAGCAGCTAGCATCAGTGTCATGTGACAAGACTGTGCACCTATGGAGTAATACTTCCAAGTCAATGCTGCGCACACACAAATACCGGTTTATCTATGTGACTGATATAGTGTTCTCCCCTGATGGAAAGCAAATGGCGTCCTTGACAGAAGGCGGAGTTGTGTACTTGTGAGACGTGGCTTCAAGGACTGAGATGCAGGCTATCACAGCCTATTAGACGCCTGACTTAGCTATTGCTTCGCCAGATAATCAGTTGGCTTGGGTATCGCGAGACAGTACCTTCTGGCTATGGAACACAGAAACCGTGATTGCCTTTTCGCCAGATAGCAAGAAAATAGCCTTCGGAGTGATTGAAAAGTTGATATGGCCTTGGGACATAGGGGCGAGCCTGTAGGCACTTAGGGGCCATTTTGATCTTGTCTCTACGGTGGCCTTCTCCTCTAGTGGTACACACCTAGCCTCTGTATCAAGAGATAAGACTGTCAGGCTGCGGCAATTGGCCTATGGTACCAGCCGAGTACTGCTCTCACTTTCATCACAGATTCTATCAGACTATGGATTCTCTTGTGTTCCCCCATCCACAAAGGTCACTGGCAGATACGGACAATGGGAACGAGCTTGTATTATTCATAAGCTAGATGAGAGTAGTCCAGTATATCTCTGTCCACTGTCATTTGCTGGCCTTACGCTCTAGGACTCTGTCGAAGTTACATCCACCGTTGATCGTATGCTAAGGGTCTTGACGCCCAAGCCTTACATGTATATGGTGTCGTTGATTCATCATCTCCTTAATCACCCGGTTGGCGATAACTTTAGCGCGTAAAAGATGATCTACTGTCATTGATATCCTTTTATATTCTGTGCGACAAGCCGCTGAATACAAAGGAGGGTAAGTACGACGATAGTGAGAGCGAAGAAGATCTTCAGAAAAGAGTTGGAGATGCAGTGAGAGAGACAAAAACTTGGGATTGGGACGCATGTGGAATGATTATCTATATATAGCTGAATCTGTTGTTTGCGACTGTCGGTCTATTGAGCAGCTATCTAATTATTGATAAATGTAAAATCCTCTGCTTTCCATGTGGTCTCAAGCAAAGGGAGAATTGTAGCATGTATTTGGTATAATTTGGTATAACCTGCGAACCCCAGTGAGCAGATCCTGCTTCGTTTTTTCTGGGTAGCCCTCAAAATCAATATAAAGATTATTTTGAACAAACTAATGCAAGAGCACCTCAATATCCTGAAAATCTCTCTCAGCCTTTCTGATACGTTGGGAACGGGTGGATTCAGCCAAGAACGACCGTCTCTTGAGCTTCATGAGGACAAGAACGGAGGATGTAACGATAGGAACTGAAACCTGATAATTAGCGAAAATTCACTCTAGTAGAGAATACAAGGCAAAAAAAGTCACTAACTTGGAGTATTGTCAATACGTCCTGGCCGGTCGATAGCAGTAACAGAGAGAATAGAAACTGTATTTGCGTCGGGTAATTTCAACTGTCGATTTCTGCCGCCACGAAGAAGCTCAATCGCAATGTTCTCATCATCCTCTATAAAGATAAGTTTATTGCTCTGGGACAGTCTGAATCCGGAATGAGCCTGAAATAGCAGGTTTCGGGTATCATTTGGGTCTGCATTAACGATAACATCGAGGTCCTAAGTTAAATCAGCTGGAGAAATTGTGACAAAGATCGAAGAGATATAGGGAAGGCATACACTTGTCATCCTCACTCCACCAATAAGGGACGTCGCATATCTGCCAATAAAGCCATGGCGAATATTGGCGCGAGCGAGAGCAAGTTGTTGTTTTCTTGGCTGCTACATTGAGGGAGCGGAAGGGGTTCTGGAGCACCTGCTCCTGGATCTGCTCTATAACTAGAGCAAGCTCATAGATTAGTGCCAGAAATATAGTAAGGAGGGCAGGATCAAAAGGTACTGGATTGGAAATATTGAGAATTGGAAAGAGAGAACTGGAGAGAAAAGCTCACAAGGTTGTTGAAGCGCGGTCAACGTCACCGTGGTACGATCGAGAAAGAAAGCCTAGAAGGCCAAAAAAAGTGAAGGAAAGGTTCGTGATGGGGAGTTGAGTAAGAGAGCAAACAGTCAGAAAGCCCATCTAGATGGAAGATACGCCCTATGTCCATTCATTCTGCGTTGACAAATATAGATCCAATGTTGACGTGCCATTCAAGCAGACACTTCATCGCTATAAGCTGAATCCAAACAGATTAGATCGCTAGTTTCCAACCGTTCAGGGTTGGGATGCATAGCAAGGAACAAAGATGCAGTCGACAGTGATTGTATACGTTCTTTTATCTATCCTTAACCACCTCTTATCCTTCTCTACCCGACGTCAAGCGGCTGCTCCTCCCTCCCAGTCCCACGGTCGGTTTCCGATTTCGGGTTCTTCTGCCGAAAGATCCCACTGTTCAGTCCTACCGTGGGAAACTTCGACTTCATTAAAAAGTCGTTGCTAATTCGTGACTTCATCGGCTTTCCCGAGTCTGTCACTGGGAGAGGATGTCCCTCGGGAATCGTTCGTAGCAATGTCGGCAGCTTGAAGGCCGGGATCCCTCGCTCTATTGCAAGCCATCGGCGCAAATCCAACAGACAGAATCGTGGAGAACCCAATCTTTCGACAAGCAGAGCAGCAAGACGCTGATCGACTCCCGGTTCAGCGACACCAACCACAAGGGCTCGAGAAACGTGAGGGTGCTCACACAACGCATCTTCGATTTCGGGACCGTATATTTTCCTCCCAAGGAATCGAATGACTGCATAGGCTCAGCTCTGGTAACAAATTAATTTTGATTGGCGCACTTACCATCCTGCGATCTCCTACCGAGGACAAAGACCTTGCCGTCCTCGATGCGCCCAAAATCCCCGGTTTTGAAGAACCCCTGGCCATCGAAAGCGTCATCCATCGCATGCGGATTACCTGATATATATCTATGGCCTGGTTAACCGAGATCATTTGATTCACGAGGATAAAATACCTCTTCATCAGCTGTGGACCCCTAACACATATCTCGCCGTTGTCATCCACTTTCAGCTCCAAAGGCGGCACACCGGTCCCACAACAATCCTAGATCATCAGCACTGTTGCTAAACAATACAATGTAATTGACTTACAGGGGGGCACGGACGCATTGGATTTCCAATCGGTCATCGAAAGTAATCCCGCCACCTCCGTTGTACCATATAATATGACCAGGGGACGCCCTCTGCGTAGAGCCCGCCAGGTATCTTTAGTTGATTGGGGAACCCGCATTGATCCCGAGCCCAGGAATCGCACGTTCTGTAACCCATTTAAAGCTTCTTCATATTGCATATGGAGCCAATTCTGCTGAATCGTCTTGAGACTTTCGACCAATGAGTCTAGAAGCATTGGTGCCATATATACAATTGTCACGCCCCCTTGCCGCATGCGCCACCAGAACCACGTCGGGTTATAGACCTGGTTACACAGTTCGACACACGCCCCAGAGAATATGCACACAAGGAAGAAATCAAATCCTCTTTTCCAATGCAAGGGCTGGTTGTGAAGCCATGTATCTCTCGATGAGAGGCCCATGAGATCAGCGTAGGCTTTGAACCCAATGCAGGCGCTTCTGCGAGAATAAAGGACACCTTTGGGAAGACCAGTCGTTCCAGAGGTGTATAGGAGAGAAAATCCTTTCTCTGGGTTGCTTTTCTTCTTGTCACGACACAGCACAAACTGAGGGTCGGTTTCTTTCATTGGCTGTGGCTCAAGCACGTATGCATTGACTCGAGAGACGTAGATATGTCCACTGCTCGACCCCCCATAGCGGAACTGGCGGTTAGCAGCATCGCATTGCTGGAGTCTAAAAAATACTTTACTTCTTCGGCAAAAAGCCGTGGTGCTGGACTGGCATTAGCTATATAACAAGATACGGTACGGTCATTCCCACCTTTGGGCAAGGATTTATTCAGACTCACCAAGAGGTACGGCTACAGCGCCGAGACCATAGTTCGCGAAGAAGAGGACAGCAAATTCATATCCAGGCCTGGCCAGAAGAGCAATGAAGACATCATGGGTTGATTTCTGGAGCTGGCTATGGATCTCGCTGTCAAGTCTCTCGGAAATGAACTGACATTGAAATAGAATATCTTGGAGAAATTCTGAGACAGTCGCCTCCTTCTCATAGTTTCGATCGCGGATTAATATGTGTTGAGGAGATTCCCGCCAGTGATGGAACAGCTCAATGAGGAAAGGTTCTTGGGGGACTTGGAACGATTTTCCCGTCATTTTTTATGCGTACAGATTGAGTCTCTGCTGTGCCATAAAAATTAATATCATATCAGAAACCAGCCGATTGATATCCTGCTTATTTACGTTGTTCGTCGGGTACTGGGCCATTCCTGGTCTCATATAACCCACGCCGTCCCGCCCTTATGTCATTGACTTTCCGCACTCAAAGCCCACTTGCTGCGAATGTAGTATTAGGTGCCAGTAAGCTTACATGGTTTTTAATATACTCCAGACCAAATGAAGACATATCTTAAACATGTCCCATTCAATACCTCCGATAGCTCCTGTAAGTATTGAGGAGCCCAATGTTCATCGCGAATGGCCCGTTTTGTCCACGCTGATGGTAATGCATCCAATTCAACCCCTTATAGGTAATTCTCATCGACCTGAACAACGGAGACAGCGGGGTTATAGCCATCAATTGTACTATTAGAAAGCACTATCTCGTCTGCGTTCCGCGTGCGGTTGACAAACTTTAGACTAACAGGTGATTCTCTTTGCTGTCTGACTAAATACTACTAACAGATTGCTCTCTACATAGAGTGCGATGAAATGGCCTGCCCTGTATATTAACAGCGTCATCGAAAGCATTGGCCTCCTCTGAGTGGCTTGGCTCTGTGCTCATACGTGTCTCGTGGAAGGGAGTAGGTTGCCGTTTCACTCGTCGTATGATAATGGGGCGGATCGTGATCCATGAGTGTAAAATCGCTTCTTTTCGACACGTTAGGACCCAGAAGAGCCGATTATGTTCGAGCATGAGGTGAGTGGCACCAAATTCAGGCGGGTGAAGGACTCTCTACTGTTACCGGTATTACCAATTCAGGTTTGTCTGACTTGCCATCCAATGTAAGAGCTCGGCTTTCTGAGTATAGGAAAGTGTTCCACTCGGCAAGGGTCGTTGCCACACCACGGGAGTCCTCAATACAGCATCTGAGGTAGAAACAGAACTGGAGAGGGCTTTAGATGCAAACAACCGGGGAACTACGATGAGTGGGACTCGGTCTGTTGGTGTGCAATTGAGCGCCAGCCATTCCACGCGGATTGGCGATCATCTTCCTGAAACTCTGGCCTTATCCGGTATACCTATAATCCCAACGTGTGGGTCATCAACTGGGACTAATGAAGTTGCTCACGCCGCTAACCCTAGCTTTCTACAGAGTGTGCTGAAAGAAGTGCAGAGAGGTCACTTCATCTGTCAATTACAGGGCTTACTCTAAGAGAATGTAATCACTGCGGAAATTTGTTAGTTTTGCCTGTAAGCACATTGCAGAAAACCATCTATCATCGTATTTCTAATCCTAATGGTATTAGAAACATCGTTGATTCCAGTGTCACGAATGCGGCAACAGCGCCAGGACCCACAAGACGCCTGGACAGAGATAATTGATCGAATAGAAGAATAGGAAACTATAGAATCGGATCTAGCTTAATTTCTTATTCAATGCTGTCGAGAATTTACGTCCGGGGCTATGTGTAAGAGCTCCGCAACCAGTTAGGTGTCTTGGGTAGTGCGAATACAAATCTGAATACCCTAATTAGCTGATATCCACTGACGACGGGTCCACCTAAGAAAACGACAAGCCCGGAGTTAAAGGCACGACTAGTGGCAAGGCAAACTCAAGTATAAAGGGCCCGGGTTTATCAAGTGCATATGCGCGATATTTGAGAGAGTACGAACGAGTTGATCTAGTTAGGTTCTAAGAAGTAACTCTATAGTAACAAGGTGTATTGATCACGAAGAACCAAACTGTTAGGAATGCGGGATTCCATTACCTAGTAACCTACCGCTAAATCCTAAGGCATGCAATCCTGAAATGAAGAGGTCTGATTTCTGATCTAATGATAAAATGAGCAATATTTATAGGTCTTAGAATGATCGTTCAACCATACGATATCATAGTGTTGTGGCCTGATAATGGCCTGATATTGTGGTCAAGGCACTAATCTAAACTGAGTAGGATGGTGGCTGATAGCGGAGCTTTTGTGGTAATTTTGGTTGTCACAAACTAAGTACATGAATAAGTGTCCTTGTATACTTCTCCCATATACTCTTGGTATACTCCCTCAGGAGTAGTGACTATGATGTACCTTATCACCCGTGTTCTCCCCTGTACTCCCTGTCTACCCGTTTAAGATCCAGGAGTAGCCACTATAGAATTGCCTGTGGAGCAAGGAAAGGCTATGTAGGTAATATCAAAGGCATCATTGGGTACGACGGCCACTTATTTCCATCGCGCTGCTAGTTGGGCTCAATCGTGTAAAAGCCGAATTGGCAAGTGTTCATCGGTTGGATTCCATTGCCGTAATAATAAATTCACTACATGAACCAAAAGCACTATGATTTAATTTAAACTGGCATGCAAATTGACGAGGAATTAAAAGATAAATACATCAATCGAGTAGCCAGAGGGAGGTGGCTTCGTTTGCACTTTGCGCGAGAAACAGTCAGGGCTAAACCCGGAAGCCCGAACTAGAGTAGGAAGCGAGCGACTGGCAGCTCAATTCGCAATGAGACAACCTGCTCCCTAGCGGAGGTTCGCCCTGAAGAATTGAGTGAGCTTACCGAAGGGGATGAGACCCACGCGATCGTACAAGTCGACATGACCGGCGCCTGCCACCCAGTACAGCTCCTTTGGTTCGCTTGCACGCGCATAAGCGTCCTCGCTGAACTCACGCGAGTGCGCTTGCTCACCTGTAATGAACAGAAGAGGACGGGGCGAAATCGAATCGATATCGTTGAATGGGTAGAAGTTCATGAATTTCACGTTACTCGAGGTCGTTGGCCGTGTTGTGAGCTCCGGTCTCGTATCTTTAGGAGTGAACTCGCCACGGGAGGTGCGATAAAAGTCGTAGAACTCGCGGTCGACCACGCTCGAGTTTGCTGTAATTTGGTTCGGAGTGCCGCCGGAATACTGAACTTCTCCCCCATCCACCTCGGCCCACCGCTGCTTTGCTGCCGCGGCGATAACCGCTTTGCGCTGCTCAATGTTCTGCGACTTCCGCAGCCCGTTGCGGTTGACAGCGCCCATGTCGTACATGCTTGCTGTTGCTATGGCCTTCAGGCGCGGGTCAATCTTCGCCGCACTGATCACGAAGCCACCGCTTCCACAAATGCCGAGAGCGCCGATCCGCTCACGATCGACAAAGTCCTGTGTGCCGAGATAGTCGACTGCGGCACTGTATGCTTCTGCATATAGATCCGGCGATACCCCGTTGCGTGGATCACCCTCGCTGGTGCCCCAGAAAGGGAGGTCCAACGAGACGGTGACAAAGCCTTGCTCAGCTAGCTTAGTGGCATAGAGGTTCGCGCTCTGCTCCTTCACTGCACCCATTGGATGGCCGACGATAATGGCCGGGGAGTCGATGCTACGACTCAGGTTGTTACGGGTAAAAAGATTGCCCCCGATGGTCATCCGGTACTGATCCTGGAAGGTAATCGGCGTAATCGTCACGATATCGCTGCGGTAGAAGTTGTCGGCTCCGTACGACAAGTTCTGTGCCCATGCTGACACTGTATGAATGGGAATCATTATGCCGAAGGCGGCGATAGTTTTTCCTATCAACTTCATAATGTTTGCTCTCCGTTGTAAAGTCTTGGATAAGTATAGTGACTTGGAAAGGGAGTGATGAAGAGCTTCTATCTCCCGTGATGTGTCATGGGCTTTATAGTCAACGCCTGGGTAGTGGACCTCGGGTCACTACTGCTTGTATTACTGTTAATGCTGTGTCACTCCTATCCATATCTCCAACGGAATCCGAGACTGATTTCATCAAGGTACCAACAATACCAGGGCCGCGCGTCGCCAATGCTATTTCGCCGTGACACTACCGTCATGCCGAGATGCTTGGTTAAAAATACTTGAATCCATTAAGTTCGGATCTGTCTGCCTAACAAAGGTGAAGAAATACCCTCATAGACAGAGGCACAACCCATTCCCGTCACCAAATCGTCTGTTGGTATGGATGCGCTTCGCCAAGAAGAGTCCCACTCGCTTCGCCCCATGCATCAGCAACTTGCATTAGCGTTGTTCTATACCGTGGTACCATGGCTCCACAACTGCAACTTGCTTATGCTGGGCTATGACTGCAAACACCGAGGTTTGGCACCTTGCAGTATGGGGAGACAGGCAGTGACCTCACTTTACTGTGCCTAAGATCCTTTTTGTAGCCTGGGCAGTAAAAAAAGAGTGTTATTTGGCAGGCTGAAACCTTTCCCATGTAACCCAAGTGATTCGGTTTAGTTTACTCTATATGGAGACTACAGATAACGCAGTTCCTACGGTATGAGGCCTCGCAGATCTCTCGCACCAAAGCCGAATCTGGCAAGCCCAAGGAGAACAGGACAGGCTTGCAGATTGAAAATATTCCCGATCACTAGTCTTGGCTACTAACTCCCGCTGCCAAGTACTTACTCGTCAAACTACCAAGGTCTTCGTCGGTCTGTGGATCACATCGAACAGATGTAAAAGACTACTTTGTATGCCACCCAAGTTTAGTACTAAATACACTCGGTCGAAAGTCTTTCCGTTTTGGGCGAGAGATCTTTCCACAACTTTTCAGTATTACGATTTATACACGGTTGGCCCTATCCAGATGAATCATGGCTTAATTCCTTACAGAGTTGTACTTGCGGATCTACACAATATTGGGCCGGAAAGGCCGACGATACGCCACTCATAGAGTACCTCTGTATACTCCCACAATTTGTCCCGTGATTCACTAGCTTTAGATACTCCCCAGCGTATCGCCTGAGCCTTTCTCAAGCTGTGATATAGTAATACTCCAGCCTCTATTGTTGTTACGTCCACTATCATCTGACGCTACTTGAACGGGAATGTTTTCCCAATAGATCTGGAGTTGAAGGCGTGTATGATTCGAGTCATTGCAAGCTATCAATTTAGAAAAAAGGGAAAGGAAAACGGCTCCTACAAGCAATGTCTTTCCACCGCTGATTTTACCAAAATTTCAGAACCTTGCCTAGCATTGCCATGCTCTGGCAACCTATAAAATGTTAGTCTTTAATCTACCACAATTGCCGGCCAACTATATCGCATAACACAAGCTGCAGCCTATATCCGAAGGATATCTCTAACAGGGATGGCCAATTCAGACCTAGCTAGAACGCGCTCTGACTTCAGCCTCGTATATCGATTGGTTTTGAACAAAATCGTGATATTCGTCTCTCACCGCATTTTTTTGGATATTGCAGTACCTAAGTCCCCCGCTGACGACCATTGACCTTGTCGTTTATATCTGGAAAATAAACTAATTCCGTCTCATGAACCCTGTCACTCTCCTATTTATCTGTTTAGGTGTTAGTCTCCTGCCTTGCACTTCTGTCAGCTCACAATCGAATGACCGAGCAATTCTATGAACAGCTACCCTCGTTGGTTCCGAATATTAACACACTTGTTGCCTATGATTTATGGGGTTGGTGATAAGCATGTCCGAAATGCTAGAGCGAAAAGAATTACGACCGATTCTGAACGTTGTTCAGTCGCGTCTCAAAGCGAGCTGTGCGAACCTATGGCAGGTCCTTATACACCTGGGAGGCGATATATTCTCGGGAAGTAATTACCGTAATTACCCTACTGTGAGGTTAGTGCCCCCTTACCCTATGTCTTTGGCCTTGTAGACGACCACTTGTCTTGATTTATTTGTTTTCAGCAGGGAGAAGAAAAAGGTGAGATCCGGGGCTCTATAGTTGATTCTCGCACCTTTGAGCTGTCAACAATCCTGGTATGGTTGGGCCGCCTTGCTTTTCATTTTAGGGCGGGGTAATTGAAACCAAAGAAAGCCATGTCCTACCTATAATGTGTCTGCTGCTTCCGAGAGAAGCTGGTTCAGAAAGTTGGCCTGGGCTTTATTTTTATAGCATCCTTTTTCCATTGACACATACTCTCTATTGTCTTAACTAGTCTTCCAACTGCCTTCTCATTTCTTTGTTCAAGATGGCGCCACGATCAAAGCTCCATCAATATACAAAGTAAGACTTTTCCCTTTCTAGCCATACATTTAGCTGAATGCGATGAAGAATCTTCCGGGAGCACCCAGTCCAGATCTTTGTGGGAAGTAGCAAGAAGCCCTACTTTGTTCACCCTGGAGCTTTGTCATGGTGCAACACATCAGCATTGAATGCCCGAATTAACGGACCATGGAGGGAGAACGGGGCCAATGAACCAATCGACTGGACCGACTTTGACGAGCGGACTGTGGAATGCGTTTTAAGCTATCTTTACACGCAGGACTATCATGTACCCAGCTCTGAGTCTGAGCCAAACAGTATATGTGAGAACGCTGACGGTGCCAGTGGTAGGTGAAGCATAAATGTATAAAGGGTCCAATTAGCTAATGAAAGCCACACACAGCCACTATCGGGGTCGAATCTTTAGCCAATGATGCAGAATCCTCCACCTCTAGCCCTGTACTGGCTGACGAACTAGAATTTAACAGACCGTTAACTCCCCTGAGCCGGTGTCTCCGAGTCGGTCTACCGCCAGAGACTATTCAAACTGCCGCAGGCGGTTTGACCCAGCGAACACTTCAAGACTGTGATAATAACCTTGCCGAAGAAATTCTGATCCACGCCAAAGTGTATTGTTTTGCACATCGCTTTCTCATCTCTGATCTTGAGACCTTTGCTCTGCAACGTCTTACTCAAGTTCTCCTGACTATCGATGCACGGAATGACACACTGTTTCCGTACCTCGCAGATGCTATCCGCTTCGTTTACGATTCGACCCCCAGCGCACAGCTACAGGACAATCAAGCTCGGAAATTGCTATCTCAATATGTTGGGCTGAAGTATACTATACTTGCAAACAAAAACCTCACGCAGCTCTTAGAGGAAGGGGGAGAATTCATGACCGATTTGTCGCACAAGCTAAGTAGACGACTTGCTGTGAGTGAAACTGGTGCCCAGTCTTTGGAGGAACAGATAGATGAGCTTCAGACAAGGCTCAATGAGTTGGAGGCTAGCTATCAGGACAAAGAAAGCCAACTACAGAGCGCCAGAGGCGAACTGGCGGAGTGGGAGAGCTCGAATCGTGGAATATCTGGGAAGTATAGGAAAGCAAGGAGAAATGGTGGATGACTCACAACTACGCCGGGTGTGATCTAGATCCAGGTGCGTAGTATCGCCGAGTATACTGTCACTCTCTTAGGGTACTCCGAATCGGCTGGTTGCTGGTTAGTTGCTCTTGTTCGCACCCGAATGCAACATTCACCAAAGATGATGCTAGCTTCTACGCATGACTCGCGATGGATCCAGAACTACGTCGTTCATTGAGTAGATAGAACTAAGCAAAATTGCTTCCAAGGACGGGAATTAGTGGCATACGCATTGCACTACTTCGTTTTGCATAACTCACAAGAAGCACCCAAAAGCCAGAATAGTAAGTGAACTAAGAACTGTTCCAAATTGGAAAATGAAAATCCGCACAAATCCTCAGGTAGATCAAGTGATCTAATCCGGAAACACTTCCTCTAGAGAGTAGCCAACGTACTATTGACGGCGAGATTCACGGTTGCTATCTCGGGGTATTGTGCCTTGGGATTGAAGTTCAGCCGTCTTGCATATTCACGCTCAAAGAGAAGGCAGTGGGTTGAACCACCACTGTGGAAAGCCCCAATGAGATCCCCCTGGGCAATGGATTTGCCTTCGGCTGTACTATCCTCCCATCGGCAGGTTGATACCTCTGACATTCCTACGGGTATGAAGCCCACTAATCCAATCTGTGAACCATTCTCAACATTCGTGTCAATGATAAGAACACCTCGTGCCGCTATGTGAGTGATATAACGCTGCGACACGTCCGGACCAGCTGGATCAGGGCCACTTGAGCCACCAAATCCGGCAGCGGCTGTTTCGGCGAAGTATGTTCCATCGATGAGGGATCGGTATACCACCCTGCCTGTGACGGGTGCATTCCAGCAATGGTAAGAATCTGCACTCAAGAAAGCCTGATAGACAGTACCACCGACAAATTTATCAACATACTCGCTGACTCTGGTGTCTTGCGTCGCTCCCAGCATATCGTAAAGCGAATACGGTGTTCCCTTAAGCCAGAAGGTAGTGCGGCCTGAGACGTCAGTGTCGAATGAAAGAGGGAAAGATTCGCAGGCGTTGACAAGGGCCGCATTGCCGACGGGGCGGACACCGGCCTTAAACTTGCGCGTAAAGAATGCATCCCAATGTGGATAGTTGAAGAAGTTCTTCTGAGTGCCTCCAGCGGGGTGTTCGAATAGATCTGTGAACTTTTTTGTACTACCAGGTGTGGCGTCGTTTGCCTTATTCTCCAATTGTCTTATTGCTGCGTCTGAGCTCCAACCAGCATCAATCAGTGCTTCGTTGCCAGCATTCGGGCCAATACCCCCTGCCGTAGGGTCACTGAGGAACTCATTCCATTTATTCAAGATCACTTTGAGACATTCGTTCACTCTGGGATCGAGGAAGAATTGACGCCCGCTCTCTGTACCCATCGGCCAGTCAACAATGATATTGAACGGAAACCCAATAAGACCGCTGGGTACGTCTGGATTGTCGACCAAGAAGTACTCCGGCACTTCGGTCAAGAGGGTGTTGAAAAGATATAACATGGTTTTATAATTTCGGACTTGTTTCTTGAGCGTGGTTGGATCTCTGTCGTACGGGGCCTTTTCGGGGACCTCATCAAACATGGAATGCGCAAGCATGTAGAGGGTTGAATTATTTTCAATCAGCTGCCTCAATTTCTCCACTGGGTTTGCTTTGCCGTCTCTCAACTTTCGGGGAATTTCTGGCTTGACCTTGTCAAGGAGATGAGATAGCCAGGCTCGGCGAAGCCCGACATTCTCCGGCATCCAATGGCCATAGCCATGAGTGGCACTCCCGGTTGCCAGTCCACCTAGGTTAGGCTTCGCGTAAGCGGATAGGTAGAATTTCTGCATCTTTTGAGGAATGGGGATTGAATCTGTATCTGAATGAGTAGTGTAAAGAAGATTGTCTCTGTTTGAGACGTAGGATGAACAAGATTGTTCGATTTAGCTTGGATGGTTCTTATACTTCAATCTCCCAATATAGCGTAGGGATTACCTTTATTCAAACTCATGGCTACACGTACATTTAGAACTTGGACACCGTGTGATCAATGACGTTTACATGCAGAACACGTAACCTCATATGCACGAAATAGCATCTTCCCTGCATTTCAGCTGAAAGAAAACGCACGACCCACCTGTGAACCATGTATAGGTACGGGAGTAGCAGGAGCTCGATTAACAGCAGATCACCCGGGGTCTTCCATGAGTTCCGAACCATGGTTGTTTCTGTACGAAATGCACCCCAGTTGAATTCAACTCTACCATGAGCCTAGGATTTCACCTTCACTTTTATCTTTTATACTTTCCCTGGGGGTGCGGAGATCTAACACCCTTAGCCTGTAATCAATGTGTCTAGAACAAGACTACAAACCTCACTCCCACTCGAAGTAGGGTTTCCCCGCAGCGGACACTTTTCCTGCAATAGCTAATTGGTGACTAGCGAGGTGGTCGCCACCTCATGCATGCCTCCCGACATATGCCATATCAAATTTTCCAGTTCAGTTCCCAGTTAATGTGATGGGAACTGGCGTTTTGACAGTAGACTTGGGAGGTCCGCCAGGTGGGGTTGGGTGGGGGAAGAGGGGTATACACACCATTGTAACTGCTTTCGACATGGTAATGGCTCAGGATGCCCTGTCGAACTTCGCTAAGTACTGCGAGTTTACCTGAAAGGGCTTTTAAAAAGCGACTGGGGGGGTGAAGCATGGTACTTTTTGACATTGCGACGCTACAGCGACTCACCTTTAGCTGAAAAAAGGTGGCATCAAAGACATTGACCGATTTTCAGGGAAGTCGACCAGGGTTAAAACATACACCACATTACTCGACAGCACCTCGCATAACTCTCTATTCTACGGTGCAAAATGGCACGAGAATAGTGCCTTTTGCCAGGGGCGGTATTGTCATGCTTCCCATAACCTCACAACTGGGCGTTCACAACTGGGCGTCTACTTTTACCCATATTTCCAACGATCGATGCCGAGAACACACGATCCATATTGCATTTGCTTGACAGGAAAGTAGCGTGAGATAATTGATCATACCATGCAATGTCAAAAGAATGCGGGATTTCCTTACCTACAGCGATAAGGGAGGGGACGATCCAACTCTTCCAGCTCCGCCACCGTATGCAGATTCTCTAGCAAAGCTATGTAGCATCTAGGAGCTGCAGGTGCTTTCATCATGCATAGCTATGGCACTAGTTACCAATGACGAGTCTAGAATAACACCACCATATTTGTCTGCTGGTTCCTCAGGCCGCCACCGATCTCTACATTGCTGTAGGTCTTAGACTGGTGAGAATAGTGGTCTCAATGCTCTCGCGACCGGTGGTTTTCGGTTGACTCTCAGAGTAAGACTTAGGATCCTCAATCGTACTTTCGATTATATTGCAATATTCGATATTTCCCTCCATCCCCGGAACATATCCGGCTTACTGGCGACTTACTGACGACCCTAGACTAGACGTAAAGGCGTGGATACTGTTGTGTAACATCATACATATATAGCATTACAAATCAGCCGGAACCGGTTACACAATCACATACCTTGGATCACAGCAATACCGATGAGCCATCAAACGGTGTGGCTGGAAAATGTAATTGGTAGGTCTTTCCTATCGGGGAAGCTATCCTCGATGTCAATTACCTCACCACTCCTCTTTTCGATTCCGATTTCACGCAATTTCATATTGTTTTCTAATAATTTCCTATTTAGGTCAATAGCATCATGTGATATAGGGCTTAGGTCTGGATGATGCAATTCAGTTTTGCTTCTAGTTATGGTCAAGGTGACAAGGCCTAGATCCAGTCCTAAATTTCTATATATGTCCCAACCCCTGGCTATACTTACAGATTCAGATTATTCTTGATCCAGCCTTTTGTTTACTTGCTTAAGTCAAGTATTCGAAGCCAGGACGGTGATGTATGGGTTCTCCGGTGGTGCATACGCTACCGAATGGGCCTCCAAAATGTAGCCCACTTATGCACCGGAACTTACCCAGACTGTGGGTGCTGCCATGGGCGGCCCTCCGCCAACAGCACGAATATATTTATTTATTGTGATGGGGAAGAATGGGCGGAGTTGAACGTTTGAGCAGTGCTGGGTATGATGAATGCTGTGCCTGAGAGGAAAGAATACACGGGCAAGGATCTGCTGGACGAGCACCGCGATGAACTTTACAGCCCGGTGAGACGCTGCAGTCGCCACTTTGGCGTGGAGGAGGCTCCCCCACCTCTGGTGTTCAGGAATATCTCATCCTTCTTCAAGCACGGAGACCATATTTCTTGTACAAGTTTCGGGATACACTGGATGATCTTGGCGTTATGGGGAGACGTGGTGCTCCTAAATTTCCAATGTACATTCACCAAGGAACGAAGGATGAGATCGTGGATCTGACCGGAGTTACAAGTCAACTTGTATGTGACCTCCGCGCCAAGGATGGTGATGTACGATATGTTCAATACCCTTGCACGAATCATATGAATATCTTAATCAAAGTAGGAAATGCTGTTTGGATTTGGATTGGGAATCTCTTGTCAGACCGGCGTACGATACCGGGATGTCGCTATGAGGACTCGAACCCGCCAATCGATGGATCCGACGACGGCTGTGCGAAGGATGGGGAAGAAGCTCTTGTGGTGGATGAATATTATTCAAATCTTGAAACTCGGGTCGAGCTAAGTTGACCTGGTGGGCTTTTTGATGGTGCGGTGTGACTTGTTACATGTTCGTTCTAGACATCTGAAGTATCATAGAGTGATCTGGCTATGCGAAAAACGAACGTGGTCTTAATAATAGGCGCGTCAGGGAGAATAGTAAAAGTGCCTTCACATTTTAGAAACACCTCTTGACAAATGTAATGGGATATCGGAATTATGATTGTCACTCTCTACTTCCGCCAATTCCTGAGATAGTAGACGCTCAGACAAGGATATCACTAGGCCCAATGTGAAATGATTCCTTTTTGAAAACAGTTCTCCGTACCTACTCTGGAGTCGACCTCCACCCCAGATGACGAATAGAGCCATTGGGCGTTCCTTACATTATTCTACCGCAGGTAATTGCACTTTTTTTTTTTTTTTTTTTTTTTTTTTTTTTTTTTTTTTTCAACAGTTTTGTCACATCTTATGCTGTGGAAGGTGCACTGCACTCATCAACCAGAACGAATGACAGACATCATGTAGAGTACTTAGCATTATAGTGGAATCTAAAATAAGGAAAAGAGGGTGGCAGCAAAGCAGGACAATACATGTGTCTTCAAATCCAACTGGCCCGCGCTTTCACCATTATCGTCATCACCCAAAACATACCGAACTTTCGACTGATCGCCAGTATTCCGAATACCAATTTCTAACCACTGGCTATAAAGGACTTACAGATGAGAGTGAATATTATGTTGATTTTTAAGCCTCTATGGCCATAGAAGACACTTCTCACATAAACCGCCATAATAGTTTATCCGATACTCTAGACACTTAAAAGATTGTAATGGTTCTTATTTGCTCATCTTTTTCCGTAATCTCATTGATTGATCAAGCCGGATGCTCGGCTGATTTCAAGATATGGACTTTTTCATCATTGAGTAATCGCAATTGCTAAAGATGGCCAATAACAGTGACACCCATTCCAGCTGTTCCTTTTGAATATTCTTTGAAATATTTATCAAGACAGCAATTATACTCTTTTGAGAGCTGTTCTATATAAACCGAGCATCCCAACAAGGACTATCCTCAAGTCCTACCAGCACATCCCCGAAACTAATACTCTATTCGGTGTCCCATTGTCGTCACATCTAGCTCTATCCGTGTTACAACTCTAGCATCCCACTCAACGGTGATTATGCTCAGATTTAGACAAGGATTCTAACCGTCATATTGGAACAAAACCCGTCCAGAGTATTTAGAAACGTAAGATATATAATCTATCAATAAACCCACTCGTACATACGACCATAGGGTGTGGAGAACAGGGCTTCCCGTCCGCTCAGCCGTACTTAAGCCAGTATTATCAACGTGGTCAGAAGTTATATGCGCCCTTGAAGGCCTGCTGCTTTACGGGTGAGAGACGCTAAACCATAGGGTGAGTGTGGGTGAGTGTGGGTGAGTGAAGGTGAGCTGAGTGATGCTATCCAACAACATGGGTGAGCATGGGTGATCAGTGGGTGACAGAGTGATTCTATAATGACTAGTCTCCCTCTATCGCTAGCTTAAATATGAGGGCCTCCTCTCTGCTTAACCATTGTCTCATTTCCTATCTACGAGCAGTTTTTTTTTTGTGATTTACTTTCTCTCAGCTTTTCCTTCTATCCTTTAATCATGTCACGTGACTCATTTTCCAATGATTTTGAAAATCTTAGAAAAGCGGAGGAGCTCCGCAAGTTTGCTGAATTACGAGGGTTCACAACAGAGTACCAGAAAGAACAAAAAAGCAAACCAAACAAGATCAGTCATAAGAAAAGGGCTCCGGCTACTGATAAAAAATATGGCGATTCAGCGGCGTTTTGGAAAGTGTACGAATACATATTTGTTCATTAACTTAATGTTGCGCTTAGTTGTTGACGGCATATAGATGGATGCTTTCTCAAAATGAACCAGGTGATCGATATTTCATGAAGGAACAGCCTGATCCCCCTATTCAAATCTTGAAGCTGTATTCAGAGGCGTTTATTACTTTGCGCAAAGGAGACTTGCCTACTCAGCAGACTATCTGTTCTAACCTCTCTTGCTTTATCGCTGAATGGCAGCAAAAGACCTGCAGAAAGCTCCCAGATACAGTGAAGAAGGATCTTTATAATGTGAGTTACCCTAGGCAAGTATGCTACAATATACTGCTGATTCCTTACATAGCATATCCGGAACGAACTTACTCAGAAATATGGACTTGAGACCAAACATCGAGAGAAGTTTCCGGTGACTAGCAGGGATCTCGATATACTTCTTCGACATTTATTTGAAGATGATGACCATGATTACATACATGAGCGTGCCAGATTTCAAGATGTGTTCTCGCTCTCATTGTTCTCCGGTTCCGGTGCGAGAGCAGGTGCAATTGTTGAATCAAGTTCTTATAGAGATACCAATGAGTGTCTCTACTATAGAGTTTGTCCATCACCCTACTATCTGAGAGTCCTATACTAATTAGTATATAGCATCTTTCCTTCAATCTACAATGGGACTCAAAAAATATGGAAGTCAAGTACTGGGTCACTATAGATCCAGAGTTCCTCAAAGGTCATCGCTATAATGATGAGGCTGTCATGTACGATTGTCTTCTCTGTCCCCAACGCTACACAGCTAATTGCGGCGATATAGTCCCAAAAACTGGATACCAGAGCAAGAAATACTTGGAAGAAATTTCATATTCTATGTTATGGTTACAGGTATCGCAGATAAGGCATTCAGGGGCATCCGCACAGCCGACGAGTTATTAGATAAAAGACCACCGAAAGGAAGAGAGTCATGGACCCTTGAATGGGAAACCCACATACAAACCCTACCAGTGCTTCGCATGGTGACTACTGATGGACCACATCCCACCCGTGTGTTGACATTTTCTTCAATACGGCACCATTTCACGACGCTTGCTCAACGGGCGTGTTTCCGACACCAGTTGAGAATCCACGGTATTAAAGGGGGCGTTGTAAATGCAATTGACCGTGGGTCATTTCCTCTATTATACGAACTTCCAGCACACACTAATAGGCTCATAGCAAATGCTTCCCAAGCGGCGAGAAGCCAAGCACTGGATCATCAGAACCCTGACACCTTCCTTAAGTATCAATCCAAATTCAAGCGTGTTGACGTCCAGGCCAGCTTCTGGAACCTAAAGCCAGACTATGAATGTCTGGAAATGGAAGAAAGTATGGCTCATCAACGCGACACTAATGTTCCGCAACGTCTTGATGCTGCTGCCACTGCGCAGGTTGAGAATGATGATGAAATGAAAGAGATCTACCACAGGATTGATGAGATTACTCAACAAATCGGAGGAAAGCCTGCTGAGCACAAAGAATTAGCACGTGAGAGGGAAAAGCTCTACACAAAAGCAGCTAAGAAGCGCCGTGCCAAGAAGGCTGAGTTCATTGACAACTGGTGGAGATCTTCTTACGATGAATATATTGCAGGGAATGAGTTTGGCGAGCAAGATCCAACATGCCTCTTTGATATCTGCCGCAAGTATATGCCTGAGAGAGCTCGTTTACGCGACAATCTCTTCACCAAAGCCTCGATTGGTAGTAAGATTGGAAGACAGTGTCTACAGGATATGGTGAATATCTGCGTCTCCAAAGAGAGAGTGGCATATTATCCTGGTGAATGGCCAATTGATGGGAGATGTCCAGTATGCTCCAGAGAAATGTCTAGGTTCGTTCAGACACCCTATAACTGTTTCGGTAGCTAAACTTCGGCAGTATTGATTTATCGAGCCGATCGAAACACATCCTACAGTGTAGAAGAAAGTCCCTAAATGCTGCACCGTACCAGCAGCTCTATACAAATGGCAAGAGAGCGCATCGGCGAGCGAAGCGATCTTTTCTTGAATAGTGCTACTTATGCGCCAAATGGTTCGATACAGAGGATGCTTGGACTGAACACTGCCGATTCCATTTGGACAGCCTACAACCTCGGTGTGGACTATTGAGGTTCCGCTTCACCCTGGTTTCTCCTGGGTTCTGTCCTTTCTGCTTGGGTGACCATACTAAAACGCCCGCGGAACGATTCCAACAATGGCGGGAGAAATCTACACTGATAAACCACATTGACAATAAACATTTGGCTGGCAGAGGAAAGGAGGAGGCTATTCAATGCCCTCATCCCTGCTGCAAGAACAGGTTTTACAACGGTACCTTGCTCCTACGACGACATTTTTTTGACGCCCATTCTATTGAAGAACCTCGTCGAAACTGTGTATCTCGGAAGAGGAAGTGGGTTTGCGAGCTCGAGGCTTGCGATGAGCCATCTTCAAAAAGAGCAGCTTTGGATGAAGAATGTGAAGAAGCCTCTTAAGTCATCTAGTCGAAAGGGGCTTCCTTATCATAGCTGGTCCTGACGGTCAGGAAAGCGCCGAGAATTAGTGGGACAGTGAATCATTATCTTCTTCGGCTAGGGAATTGATAGATCTGCCAAGGGTAATAGAATGAATGTTTCTCATGTGGCTAGTGGAGACTTGATTGTTTTGATCAGAAGGTAACTGTATTCTTATTGCTATAAATGTAGTCGCCGAAAGTGACGCAGTGTAATGCATTAGTTACCCAGTTGGATGGACTAGTCAAGGTGCTCTGCCAGACTTGGCGAGCACTATTTACGAAGAACTGTCATGATCAAAACAGCTCAAGTACTATCCTGTCAAAAGGTAGGCTATCAGCTTGCACCCTTATCTTCTCCTCCCTGTGTCACTGCGATGCTCCATATACTAGACAAGATTCCCCATCCTAGGACTAAAATGTATTTTAGTTTGACTAGTTCTGTCTCCTTTCGTTCTGTAGTGGAAGGGATCTGCGGTAATGGTATCTCGTTATTTTAGTTCAACATAAGAACCATGACGAGCCCCACTCGGCAATGCGCGCCAAATCTGGCGTGGCTCTTTCCAGCTAATGTAGCGGAGAGTGCTATCTACAATCCATGGCTGAGCAAACAAAGGCTAATAATATATAGATTTAGAGCAGAGGCTTAGTATCCCCTACAGGTCCTTGATCCGGAATTACGCGTCCAAGTTTAACCATCAACATGTTGACCATTTCGACCATAGTTAATTATATACTGGCCTTTACAACAACACTGCGCACAGAAACAGTATGTCTTTATCACGATCTTAGATGTGCAGCCACAGGCTGATAGCAAGAATAGCCTCAGATATTATGCAAATCTGCCGATACAGATATCAACGGGTCCCACCTCAAGATAATCATGTCCTTCCTAGAGGGACACGGCTTCCAACATATGTACCCAGAAGGATGCAGCAACGTAGCAACATTGCAAAGAACTGTAATCTACCTGCAAAACATGGTGGACTACTAATTCCTCTGTCAGGATAATACCCTGATGCGGCTTACAGGCTTCCACTCCAAAATCTGTCTATACTGTTGAGATGTTGGACCTACTGGCTCCAGCTCTCAGGGCCTGCAGTGCTAAGAGTAGCATGTCTATCATAACAGGATCCATTATAGTTCATGTGGCAGATCCAGTGAGTCTCCTCCCCCTGTGTTTCTTTGTATCATGATGGAGCTGGTGTAGCTCACGTGTATCGGATTGATTGTCTTAAGGTCTAAATCTATCATACAGAGATTCCTTGGTGTTGTGGTCAGGTCACGTGGTTGCTGCCTTAGGCTCCCATAGGCTCTGACATATCATACATCTAATACAGCCGAACTTAGTTCCAAAATTGTGTCAGTCTGTGACAGCGTTACCCTTTAGATAATGGCGAATGCGCCCTGATCGCAAAAGGAGCATTTGAATTCTGTAGGATCGATCATATGTGTCTTCCGTTGTCTTCATCTGTGGCTTTGAAGGGCACAATAATCGGACCAGTGTCTTATTCAGTTTAAGGTATGCCTAGAGTGGGAAACGGCTATTCACCCTCAAAAATGTGGCATATATGAGCTACTATGTCCGTTATATAGCCCCTGTTGGTTACAACAGCACGGAATAACTTGCACAATGCATATCTTCTATCATAAGCCTAGTTCATTGTGATTTCATTACGGGTTGGCCTCCTGGTCCCGAAACTACCACCACTAGGTCGCACCCAACAGTCATTTACATTCAATATGGGTGAGGAATCTCATTTGTGACAGTAAATTATAAGCGCTCGAAGATTTTACAAGCATGTACTGTTGAACAATAAGGCTACAGCTGTACAGGAAAATACTAAGAAAGTAATACAATAGAATGATGCCCGGTTATTATAATCCAGATCCTAAAAAGTATAACCTAAAATCACTCGCTGGGAGGCTGTAAATCATGCTCTTACTAGGTAGAGATAATAAGCATGATTGGACAAGCAATTGCGGAATATTTTCGGAATTCTCTCCTGCGAAACCAAAGAACTTTCCCAAGACAACTATGTAATCAAGTTGATATAATCGCCTTCTCATGCTCTCTTCAGTACTATAGTACCCTGCGCCTACGTAATCCATAGAACTGGAAGACACAGGGAGTTCACAGGCACGGTACCACCATGTCACAGGCAGCAGGCGCCCAACACTGAAATAAGAGAAGCCCCCAAAGAGAAAGTGCTCCCTAGCCACGTTACGGCCAACATATGTGGCCCGAGTTGAGAATAAACCCCAATGTCACCTAGAAAGGTTTGGATGCCTCCAGCTATCAAGCTATACAGGATCGTCACTGTAACTGATACAGCAACAGTGAATATTAAAGCAATCTGCCAACAGGTTAGTTTTCTGCTCTTTCATCCCTCAGGTACTTGGCTCACAAGCGAGCATATAAGTGCTGGGGCTGTTCCCTATTTAAGTATAATTATAAAGAGCTCCACCATAACAGTCAGGGTAGTTACGGCCATTCCAGTGATATGTGCTGCAATAGCCAATCTGGAAGGTTTCAAGAGTCCGGAAAGCACAGCTTTACTTGCCTCTGGCAGTAGCGAAGCTGCACCTGGGACATTAGACTCCAATATTACCACCAAGTCAAAAGAAAACAATAATATAGGTATAGAGTAACTTGAATACTTAGATATACTTTCCTTACCGCTATAATATTCCTAGAGTCCCACTGCATAATAGTCAGGTATAGTTAACTGAAACTTGCTCCACAAGTCTGATAGACTGCTACTGGCATAGGTTAATATATCATGGGCTAAGTCTACGAGATCAGATACCTGGTCAGATAGACTAAAGAACTGAATGATTCTCTATTATATCAAGTTTATCCAATCTATCTAAAGGTTAAAATCTGTCAGTAATTAGCTCTAAGAATTAGCGCGCTTCCTTACCTTTAGAAAGAATAGATATTAGGGTAATAAGATAGATCTATATCTCTCAAAGACAATAGCTAAATATATCAAGGCGGCTATAGATAATACTAAGGGGATTAGCTTCAAAGTATTTCATAGCATTGCGAAATGGATAAACAACAGGTGCAATCAAACAGCCGGTGCAATTACCATCAGAAAACAGATATTCTTTATATACCTCTGTTTTACTAAGTACTGCCGCGCCGATTGTGGACAGAGGACAGAGCAGTGGTTCAGACAACGCCATGGTCTCTAGCACTATGGAAAGTAATCATTTTCATAGGGTCGGCGCTAAATATAAGCTCTATGAGGGCCGGCCTTCCTCAGCCAATAGCTACCAATAGCTACCAACTAGCAAGTGGCCGCGCCAGAAGCAGCGTGCACAAGGGGTTCTTTTACTGTAACATCACATATAGTGACTGTATTGTGCACAGCTATAAAGAAGACATGTACTCAGTAGTTGTTGGTTCAGTTTTCCAAAACCGAAAATGAGGCTACCGACATTAATTGCAACTGTTGTGGCTTACGTTCCAGCGATGGCTCGCCAAGATCAACAAAGAGATTCTTATCCAGTATGTTATGCAGCTGTTTAACTCTGTGCTCTGCACTTACACATTTTCAGGATTATTATGAGCATGACCAACTAAAACTTAGAACTTGGACTGAAAGCAACTGCCAAGGGGAAATAGGCTTCAGCACCTTTGACAATATCAGTTTTGCGCGAAATATCTCCAATAAATTTATTCCCGCAGTTTTGAGATCTCCTGACCACTGCTAGGTCAGGAGTAGCTGGATTTTTCCGTGGCACGCGACTTGGAAACCTGGTTCTCTAATAAGGATCAGCTGTCTTTCAACAGTTTATCATGTGATTATTTCTAACAAAGCTATTTTGCTCTTAATGGAAGCACAGGTTGTCATAATATACCCATTTTTACCTGCCATCGATTATGGATCAATCCTGGCCTCTAAACAAAGTCAATGCTCTCGCAGAGAGATACATATAATTGTCTAAAGTACTGCATCTTCCTGTCAGGTAATATATAACATGCAAGACCACTTGTCGCTCATATCTCTGGTATGGATACTGAAACTCCAGGCAGGAACCACCAAACACTTTTGATCTGTCTGCTGTACTTCATTTCTAAGTTAAAATAGAAGGGTGGCTCTTGCACATCTTTCTGAAGTCACAGTTTCCGATCTTTATTGTCGCGGAAACGAGCTGGGTTCTGGGTAAGATCAGAAGTTACCCCGTCTCTATTTGGTCGGCCGAGCCTTGAATGGCAACAGACACCTGCGAGAGCTTGGAGAGCTTGGAGCCCCTGAATGCGTTTTCTTCTTCTTCTTCTTCTTCTTCTTCTGTTTTTAGCAATACCTGTAGCCATAACATAAAATGTGAAAGCCCTTCGAGGTATAACTTGATCTGGTATCCAGTTTCCGCGACTATATCGCCAAAAGAGTTTGCATATGCAGATACCCTGGGTAGCGCTTCTAGAACATACATGTAGTCGTACCATACATGCATTTCTTCCTTGAACTAGAGCATCGGCCGTCTGATGGAAAAGCGCAGAAGCACGAAGCCAGCTAATATGGACGGGTACCCACTCATAGTCGGCTGGAGAGTCTTGGTGATCTGTGGGCAGATAATCGTTTGCTTCAGAATCGGGCACTGTCCTTATCTGACTTCATAGTCGTTAGAAGAATCTCACCAAGACGTCTTAATGCAGAGGTAACAGAATGAGCCCAGTGCAACGATGTTATCTGTCCAGCACCAGTCCTCATCCCAGATCCTGAGCCAAAAAAAACGTTGCATTGTCTACCTCCTGATTCTTTTTACGGCCGTCTAATAATTCGTAAAAGCTCCTCTGGCACCGAATCCGCTTGCCCTATCCTGATAGAAATATATGACTCTGCTTCGGGTCGTATTGCCGATGTCACTTTAGACCTTCTTTGTCCTTTGAATCAGCATCCTCAGAGATTCCTGGGAAGATGGGCCTTTTCGCTCATTGTTGACCCTTCTTGACAACCAAGGTCTTTCCTCTCTTCTGTTTCGCCCTCTGCACAGTTACCGCTGCCTCGGAAAGCCCGCAGGATTCAGATTCCATAGGAAAGCTATCCACTAATGTGTGCAGCGTCCTTGCTGGCGTCTCAGGGTACACACAAGTGCGCATAGAGATACTGAATAATGGACTGACAGAGACTTACACATGGTCAACAACACTCGCGGAGGGTTGTGAAGCTTACCTGGGCAGGGTTCTCACTGCTTGTAAGGATGGCAAGCTTCTACATTGAGGAAATTAGCTGACAACGGATCAGGCCAGACGGAATCGTCGTCTACCAGTTGCGACGAACTCCATTTATCATTTGGCCGCTCTTCGTCCTCGACGACGATAAGTCTGAAATCGGTTAATAGCGCTGAGCCCGGGGCAGCAACGATTGAGTCGCGCACGGTCGCTACAGTGCCTAACATGACAATCGCCAGTAAGGAGACGGAGTCTACTCCGGCTCAGCAAGCTACTGAGGAACACCAGACTCCACCGGCCTCGCATACATCAGACAGCCAGAAAGCAACTCAGGGCTCAGAAACATCTTCTGATGCACCGATACCATCGAGGCAAATAGCCATCCTCACTGTCTTAAAGCCCGCTTACATAACTTTGAAATCAGTACTTTCCCTAAGTCTGCACCTTGTTTGGAAAGTGAAGCAGCAGATACTCCTAGTTCGTCTATGCTGTCAGCTACCTCGACTGCGCCTTACTGTGTTATAAAGTAAGTCCAGTGTTCTGCCATACCTCTCTATACGGCTAGCCATCAAGATGGCGTCATTGCTCTCGCAGCTGTTTGCACCAGCCCGCTTCTGGTTGAAGTCTACTTTCCTCTCCGGCGACTGAAACAGAATAAGTGCGCCGCCGTGGAAATAGTAGGGGAATGATTTATCTGAGCCCAAATATCTTGGGCCATTCTATCCCAATATGCTCTGTTGTATGTCTATTTTGGCTTACTGTCCTGTTGTGTCTAGGTTGTAGATCCCATTCCGAGAGTGTGCCACGGTTGTCGTGGTAAGCTAATCTGGGAAGTCTCACAGGGTCGTCGGTCACTGTGAGGTCTACGCTGGAGGATTGGCCTTGGATTGTGTAGAGCCCAAAATGGCGGTATACCCTGTGGTAAGCACCACTCTAGTCAATGAAACTGAAAGAAGTTGAGGAGCCGGTCTGCAAGTTCAAAGAGGCGAGGGGTTACCAGCTAATGGCCCCATGCTTGGTCCAGGCTCAGTTGCCAACCCAGCAAACGTGACCTGATGCCCCTCACTCTTGGCAACCCGCACAATTTGACATACAATGCATCATAAAGGCTTTCAATCCCATCTATCATCAATCATGACACCTAACATCAATACACTCCCTGCTGAGATCATTTTGCTGATTCTAGAGAACCTTCCAACCTTAACTAGTCTGCTTGCGGCAGTTCTAAGCTGTCGCCATGTCTACGAATCGGTCAAACCTCACATCTTTCAAGTTCTACACGCAATAATAATTTCAAGCATAGATTCGTTGCACTGCTCCAGCAGCGTTCTCTATTCATTACTTAAGGATATCCACCCCAAATTACATTCTGTCCGGCGACTCCAAGATCAATCAAGATTTCTAATACGACCTTGGTTGACCTACGCGGCGTGGTACATGAATCTGACCGTGATTTTCTTATGCTAGAGCTGCCACTTCAACATTGTGAAATGCAATGCACGTCCATTGCCCTGGATGTCATCGAATATATCAAGCAGCCCAACAAAAATATTGCAGTCCTGGCCTGGGATGAATGGCCATACGTGATATCCCGTTACAAGTTAACGTTCAGAGTGGCTTTAGGAAAAGCAAGACTGTAAGCATCCCCCATTTCCATCATATGATGGTCTTATGATGGTCTTTTCTAACATATCTCGTAGTCAGAAATATTCTGTCCATAGCACCGTGTTTCAGTTTTATCAGCGTATGGTCGAGGAAGCTATAATTGATCTAGAGGAAGATGTGCAAAGTCCTACTGTTGCAGATCATTACCTTCAGGTAAAACAAAACGCTGTTGCGCAGGAAAGAAAATCCATACAACTATGCCTTAGCCTCTGCAATCGTGCTTTGGAGTTTACCAAGTCTGGGGATTTTCAAGCTGAAGAGGGTCGATCAGTCATATATTCTATCAAGGATTTTCTTCCTGAAGAACTGAGCTATAATGTATGGCTGCATGAGCGGTCCAAAAACTCTCATTTAGTTTAACAAACAAGACTTGAGATTACTAACTTCATTGTTTCTCCTTCAAACAAGATTAGATGGACCCAGCCCACATCACATACGTACAGTAGAGTGGTTTGCACAATCAGCTTGAAAACACCGTCACAACCAGAATGACTCATTGCAGATATGCCAAGACGCAGTACTCTATACATAGTATATGGATCGTCAACCCTACACAGTTGTGCAAGTATACATTTAAGGCAAGCCATAATTCCTAGATCTCGTGTTGTGGACAATCCCTGGCTACTTTAATAATATCCACTGCAACTTTATGAGAAAACAAAAAGAAATGATGGCATATCGACATTGATAGATGAGTCCAAATAATGGAGATAGTCGTAGATGAAATAGACCTTACATACAGTGCTAATAATATCAAGGCGAGCTGAAATCGTAGGCGAGCAGGAAGTCTTCCGGAATTGGGTTGCTGCCATCCAATCCCTGGATAGATGAATACTCATTTTGGACCCCGGAAAGCTCTTTCGTCTCGCATGACGCTCTCCCCAATGGTTCGTCCAACGAGGGAAGCTCGTCCTGTCCGTCATCCTCTCCCAAAACCGCCCGGATACCAGCCACCACCTGGTCCATGTCTGTGCCTTGCATTGGGCCTTCATGGGCCAAGATGCTGCGTACGCTGCTACTCAGAAGCTGGAAAACTTCAATAGCGTCTGGATACTGACTTGCTATCTCATCCAACAAAGCAACGAGATAACTATCACTCATACAAGTGTCATTTCTGCAGAGAGTTTAGTCTCCAGGCGATGAAAGCAAGTAATCATATGTACAAATGCGATTCCAGTCGTTTGCCAGCAACAAGAAGCACTCCAAAAGATAGCTTTGATACTGCTAAGAGCCAACATTTTGCATGTCGATTCTTCTTAAGGTAATAGCGTCAACGGTTACACTGTACCTCACTTTTTATATCATCCCAATCCGTGTAGATACGTCTCATCATGCTTTCAGTCACGGAAAAAATTCTGTTCTGAGCAGGAGAGTGTATTTGTTCTGCATTCTGTAATTTGTGAGAATTCTCCGAATGTATGGACTCAGTAAATCCCATGTAACGCATAAGCCTTATCAGACAGAACCGGACTCTCTGGGTCATTGCCAACAGCTCCAGATCGCAAACGTCTGTTAAGAGGCATGGATTATAGTCAACAACAGTGCCCACTGTCCCTTAAAAGAGAAATCCGTGCCTTTACCAAAAAGGTAAATATATTTGGAGAAATGAGGGGGAACAATAATAGATCAGTTCTGACTAATGATGGATCAAGCTCTGAACCTCTCCTAGCGGCCGCAAGCAAGGTTATTTTGCTCTGACAACCATGTCTAAGTAATGGTTGACAAGGCCTTCCAGGTGACCTGCTGCCGGTTTCTGCATTATCAAAGTTCAAGTGCTGTTGTCTTTGAATGTATAGGCAAAGAAATATGGGTTCGGAATCTCATCTTCCTCCACTATAACAGGAGAGAGTTCGATCATTTATTACAGCAAAGGGAATGTGCCTTTTGCCCACATATCTTAGTTCGGGTCGACATGATTGAAAGCTTTCCTAGTCCACAGAATTCTGCGTTTGTGAATGCCGCGCCGATTTTGGAGTGCGCCGGGTTCAAGATTGAAATAGCCAAGTAGAGGTTCGCCCAATCAGTGCTGTCATATTACAAGACGCAAAGGAAGTTAGACAAGGCAAAATATTCTGTATGGGCTATCTCTTGCAGACAATTCGGTCATACATAATTCAGATCAGGGTACAATTATCATGGGCGATAATCTGACCATTGATGCAAGGCATTGCGAAAATGATCTTGTCTCAGGATCCCAGCTACATGCAACGGCTCCCAACTGAGATTCTAATCATCATAGTCACAGAACTCTCATTACTTGACTCTGTCGAGACTCTCTCACTTGTTAACCAAAGACTTCGCATGATTTGCAGCCCGTATCTTTTCCAGAAGCTGAAAATCCCATTCTCCCTCGCTGGCCTAGAGCGCTTGCATCACATCTCCTCGTCACACCTAGCAGCGCATGTGAGAACTCTTTGCTACGAACCCACGGAGCTTATTGAGCCACGTTAGTCATCTGCAAGCTAATTTCCATACACTTGACTGACGTACCCAGTCGTTCAGCATCACGACTACTTCTGTAATTGTGTCTATACTCCTTCTGAGTACGCTCGTGATCAAAGAGATGCTTGCTAGAACTCTTATGGCACGCGTATCTCCTACACAACGACACAGAACTACTTCAGTCGCCTAGCTGACGAGCAACAATGAATACTTGAAAGGGGAAGAGACTTAGTCACCTTGCAGACATGCTTGCTACATTTAGTTAACTTAAAAACTATCCAACTATAGTTTGTTGAAGGGATAAAGGAGCCGTTCCGTTGGTTTGCTGGCCGTGTTTTTATGGACTGGAAAGATTCCTTTCCGGACCGTTTCAAGTCCGTCCTTCAAGCAATGGTCCGAGCTAAAGACAACGGCGTCACAATCCGTACCTTCCAAATCTCAGGATTCTATTCAAGGTTATTGGTATCTAACTCTGAGCTTCCCAGTTTAGCTTCGGACACTTTGAGCAGCGTTGAAGACCTGCAGCTTATCAACAGCCCAAGCAATGCCGGAATTCATGTCGCACGTACATTTACCCTCTTTGCGGAGATTCGCTCTGGAAAGCTGTTGGCTCTGGATACCAGAACTTAAACAATTTGTCTTCGCTCATGCAGGAATCCTTCAGGTTTTGCATTTACAGGACACATGGATTCAGTCCGAGATGATCCATGACTGGGGCATATCGTTAAGCTTAGGGAACACCAAAACCATAATTGAGGGGTTATCCAAGGTCCGCGCTGGAAAGGTCTTAAGCCAACTCACCATTAATCAGGAAGGAGTAGATCGGTACGAATATCAGGAGATCTTTGACAGTGTATTTACTAAATAGAAATTGGACCAAATACTTGACGGTGGCGTTGGCCCCGACGGACTCTTGGTTACTCGATCAACGGACCCTACTGATTTTTTACGATCAGGTACAGCTCATTGAATAACGAGCACTAGGTACAGGCAGCTCCATGAGTATGATAGTAGAGTATCCAGCGTCTGTTTGATATCTCCAGGTGGCTTTTACCTCCTCGTTGAGGCTTTTGGTAGGCAAGCCAAATCTCGAGTAGTGCTGTTGCCATGAAGGTTAACCTAATAGGAATAGTATCTATAGTTCCTAGTTTCGTCACTTCTTTATTGGCGTGGCAGACGTCCCGAAACTATGATAACGTGCAGTGTGCAAACTGGGGCGATTGATTTTCCCACTCCATCAATGAGCGTTGTCGTTTGCTGTTCTCATATGTACAAAATTGGTAATAAACTGGCATAGTAATGATAACCAATCAACCCAAAGATACCATTAATCCTTGGACCAATACGTCCGCACCCTTCATAAACCTTGTTAGACTATATCTGCACGCCATTTTTGGAGTGGCAAGGTCGCTCCCCGTAGAACTGTTGTTCTCCGCACTACTATCTTGGTGACTATCTTTCGGAATGACAGACAACACAATGATCAAGAAGCAAGTGGATATTCCATAAACCCTTTATTTTTTCGCCTTGGCCACCTGAGAGTGTTTTTTTTTTTTTTTTAATTCATACTCCCGTTTTCTAACTTTCAGTAACCACAAGGTGTCTTTATTGCGCCATCAGACACCCTTCTCGTACTACGGCTATATAAAACATTCTCATCATCCCTAGTTTAGTGAATGGAAAATTTTCTTGTGCAATGCAATCAATCATGGTCTATTACACAGCTGCTATTGCAGCAATTGCCGCAATATTGATATTCAAACAAGTCTTTCACGCTGTCTCTAATCTCTTCTTTTTCCATATACGCCCCTGGTGCCTCGTAAATTTGGAGTATGCGCATGCAAGCTTACAGCTTTTCAGCATAAAGATAGTGCTTCGATATTGACTTGTTTTTTCCATCACGTACTTCGCGGGCACCGCGGTCTACAATTCCGTGGGTGTGCACTCCATCTCTGAAGCAGGCGTGTGTGCCGCCCAAATCTCGATGATAACTCTTCTGTTGCTCTGCTGGACCGGGGATCATGAGATTGGAGCTTTTATTCTGGGCATAGAGCTTGCAATATATCATTTCATCCACCGCATCGCTGCTTTTATGGCGGTTATTGAAGCAGCCATCCATGTTGTCATTGCAGTTCAACAGACCCATTTCTCTACTTCTGACTCTTCTCAATTTTACGGTCTGCTTGTACGCTCGGTCCTCTCTAACCATTTTTGATTATGGACTAAGTCTCACAGGCTGGCTGTATGTTTCTGTCACTATTTTTCCTTCCAATGGTTAAGTGACGTATATATGAGCTTTTTTTAAGGACTTATCAAGGATGCGCCATCTTTGTGCTATATGCGATTTGGAAACATGTCTTATCTTCACAGGGCAAATGTTGGGTGCTCCTTCTGGCAATACTATCTGCTGTGACTGGTGCACTACAGTTCATCCGTATCATGTACCGCAACATCCCACATCACAGATCCGTGAAATTCCTAATAGAGAATTGTGGAACTGATGTGCTCCGGCTGACTTTGTCTTTACCGTGCCCTTGGAGAATTCGCGCTGGACAACGCGTCTATGTCAGTATACCCAGAGTAGGGTTACTATATATGTTCCAGCCGCATCCATTCACGATTGCCTGGTGGGAGGACAATGGAAATGGCAGCATGTCTTCAATCTTGTTAATTGTTTGAGCTCGATCTGGCTTTACTAAAAAGCTTCTTGACTGTACTGAATGTGGTTGCGAAGGCTGGGCCTGGATTGATGGATCCTATGAACCATCGTCTGCCTCCATCTTCGGCTATTCTCCCGAAGTCGGAGATTATGGCCACATACTTATGGTGGCAACGGGTATGGGCATCGTTGCCCAGCTTCCTTATATCAAGGAGCTCGTGGATGGGCAATGCCAAGGTCAGGTATGAACACGAAGGATATCGCTCGTTTGGCAACTCGAGCAGGAGGGTGACTATGAACTTGCTCGCGACTTGCTACAAGCTCTTGTTAAACATGATGACAGCTATGTCCGTAGCTCCTATGATCCGCCTTTTCTTACTCTGCCTCCATCCCTGCTCACACATTTCTCCCTTGATGATGTCACTTTCCCTCTCGCACCACATCCTTTCTGTCCCTCAAAGTCGTGACGCTAATAACAAGGCAGATGCTCAAGGTCACCGTCTATAACAAGATGGTATCTCCATCAGAGGCCCCAGGAGCAGTTGGTCAACACGATCTTATCGCGGTATATGGTGGGGACGTCAATTGGGAAGACGAGCTGTCAGCTGAGCTAGAGAAACAAATTGGCACACTTCTCATCACAGGTATTACTTCCGATGGGATTTGATCAATATTTTCACTGTACTGGACTGACATAGTACATCTATAAGTTTCCGCGCGGCACTCCGTTCGAGATAGCATGAGGAGTATTGTGAAAAAGTACATGCAGCGGAGGATAGAGTTCTATGAACTTGAATTCCAGCTGTGGGAGAAGAGCTGCGATTGTTTATCATTATTTTAGCCACAGAGTGACGGAGAAGTCGACCGTGTATATATAGTATAGTGCAGTTATTGGTTAACCAGCCAGTATATAGCAGCGACTGCCTTTCCGTTTCTTCCAATAACCTCAAGTAATACTGACCATAGACTTGCGTAGGGGCCATAGGACAAAGCATAGACAGCACAGCTAGGCTTGGACTAGGGTCGCCAAATGTTACTTTGTACACACTTCTTATAGTAGTGATAACGATCTTTATTAACAGCAGGTCCAAGTCATTAAACTTCATGTGGATATGATACAGCTCAGGTTTTTCCTGTTATCGCTAGTCGCCTCACTGGGGAAGGGACGTCTGTTGGGCAAATAGATTCAGGTGGCAACTGGACGATCCCAAATATCTGCCGCTGCTCTATCGTAATCTTTAACATATAGGCTTGTCTAGTAGCCGAGCGTTCTAACGATATTGGAGTGTCTTCGAAGAAGATATGGAAAGGATCTGCAATCGCAGGAGCTGCTCAGATCTTGATACGGGTTTGGGGCTGAAGATCCACTTTCAACACCATTAAAGTCGGCTGTGGAAGCCGCGCCAAAAATGGCGTGGCAACCTACACTCAACAAGAGGACCACCAACTGGCGTCTGTAGGAGGTGCAAGACCAATATGGTCATCATACATTGACTCCAGCTGGATACATTGGTCCGCGCGGAGCTTCTGTTCCAAGCGGGATCCTCACTCCGTAGGGAGGTTCGACTCCAGCTGGATGCATGGGTCCGCACGGCGTTTCTGTCCCAAGCGGGATCCTCACTCCGCAGGGAGGATTGACTCCAGCTGGATGCATTGGTCCGCACGGCGTTTCTGTTCTAACCAGATGCTAGACACTTACGGGACATTGTCTTCGATGACATTCCCACCGTTTCCAATAATCTCAACCAGTTGTACCCTGACTCATCAAGGTCTCCCGTAGCCCACATCACAGAAACACGCATTACTGGGCCCAGCCTCGCGTATAACAGCCGACTATGCTTTTAGGATTTCTACGAAGAGAACGCTCTCGGAGGCATAATTCACAATTGCAGAGACCTCTTAAGTTGAGCCACATATCCCGAGGTCCAGCCTTGTACACTTGCCTCGGATGAGTAGGGTTCGTCTGCGCCAGACCATTTGGTTTCCGTGAGAGCCACCAAAATACTTCGCGAACTCCACCGCTCCAGGTGTTTTCATTGAAGGAGCCAGAGTACGGACTCCCTATATCTTCTCACCCTATTATTTCCTTCTATAGCCGTTGTATATGCTCTTTCGTTCATCTAAAATCATCCGCTCCTTTAGTTCAGACAATGGATCAACGTGAGAAACGGTCCACCCGCTTGCCACACGAACTTCAGAAAGCCTCTCGTCCGGGAGATGCTAAAGGCACCTTACCAAACATATTAGAGGAAAAGCTGTCCTCTCTGCACGCCAGCGAAGCCCGATTGACGCAGCTTCAGGGTTCTACCGGACAAGAAAAGGCCAACAAGATTACTAAACCCTACCGTCACACACAAAATCAGTCTGCGCCAGAGCCCATCAAGAACAATGATTTCCTGAAGCGGGAACACCCCTCCGGGAAATATCTCATGACATGGGAGGTCAACCAGGCTGGTATAGGCCGTTTAGGCCTGGAAAATTGCGCTGGTTATAAATCAAGGGTGGTGGTCAAAAAAATAATGGCGGGCGCGCAGCAGCAATCCAAAAATCTGAGAGCTACCGATAATCAGTATTTGGTCAATTTACAAGAAGTATTTTTCGATCAGGGCTATTACTTCTTTGTCTATCCGTTTCAAGGGTTCGCAGTAGACCTGGCTGTTACATGCGCCACACCTCATGTCCAGTTCAGTGAAGCAGACATTGCAACAGTTTGTAGAAGCATTCTGAAAGGACTGGACTATATCCACGAGATTCTTCAAGTAAGTCACGGAAACCTGGACCTCAAGCACATTTTGCTCTCCGAGAACGGTTGCATTAAGATTGGTGTGTCTGCCACCTTTCTCCTTTTCCATTTTTTGCTCACACTACAGGTAGCCAACATTGGAAGAAGTCTGCTGGAACACCAAAGTCTTAAAGGCAGAAGAGACGACATCAAGAGTGTCGGGCTGTTTGTGGTCCATCTGAAGGAGCCGGCAACAATCCTGGAAGACAAAAGAACACATCTCTACAATCCAAAAAATGTTTCGGCCCAGGCAAAGGGATTCATCGAGGAGGCACATACTGCTTCCTGCAAACTTCTACTTCAGGTAGATTTCCCTTCTATTGAAAAAACTTGCGGTAATCACTAAATCCTAATTTCCTAGCATGATTTTCTCCTTCAAGCCAACCCCGATAATGAGACGTGGAGCCTCATACCTCATTATTACAACACCGTATGCTATGCACCATACACTCCGCAGACGATAGAAGGAAGTCGGAAATTCTAGGTTGACCGAGGAGTAAAAGAGGAAAGAGGTAAATAGAGAGGGTGGGGAACAGGGTATTGGACGAGGTCGCTTGTCCGTAAACTCATTGGGTTATGTGTAGCAACGGCGTTCTGTAAAGGAATAAATATATTTGATAATATTCAAAGGGTGAGACCAGGTGAAACTAGATAAATATGGTCACCGAGACTAAAAAAAAGTGAGGAGAGGATATTTAAGCCAGCCATCTCTCCTCTTTGTCTTTATACCACTCGTCAGATGCTGTGATTACTAGTAATGCAGTCCAATACAGATGCCTCGGAAGGAGGAAGCCCGGCCAATAGTCCCACAAACTACCTATATGGCTTTGCCAAAATAAAACTCCAGCACCTATCTGGAGAATATCGGAAGAAGAACATGATAAGGTTCAAGAGAGCTTTGATAGGAGGCCAATGCTCTCTGCTCGACCCAGAGCACCATATCACCGCCCTCATCGACATGAATACGCTCAATAAGGGTTTGGAGAAATCGGGCATAGATGCTACCACACTGCTTAATGCAATCGATCCACCACATCTTTCTCTGGAAAACGCCGTCGTCCTCGCGTGTTTACGAGGGCGAGATCTCCTGGAGGCAGCTAGGCGCGTACTACCACCGGGCCAAAGGTGGGTAGTTGTAAAATTATATGTTGACAGTATGTCCTCTCATGCTAGCTTGAGTCCCAGTCCTGATCGCTACTCTCAAGGTCTTCCTGTCATTTTATGCACCGAAATCACTGAAAGTTTCTCCTGTGTTGACAGAGTATCTAATGTGGAGATTTTCGGAACCCTTCTACGTGAATTTTCTGGAATAAAGTCAACTTTCTGGCGCAGCAGATTGCCTTCCGATTCGGATTTCCAATATGTCCAAAGAGTCGCTCAGACCCCCGAGTTACGGGAATCGTTCATCGCTCTGATTCCATTTCCTGGGCTTTGGAGAACGTTTACTTTTCGGAAGCTAGAGCATGTTGTGTCCCCTCGGTGCGATGAGGTTAGCCATCTTCCCAGCCTCTTCCATTCGTTACTTTGACTGGAATCCCGCTGAATGAAATGCAGGTAATGGTTCACTACCTGCGGGAGATCATTCGTATTTGGTCACTCCTATTGCCCGGTAGAGCGGGTGAGGCCGATACGCTGTCAGTAGAACTCATTGAAGGGAAGATGCCGAAATACTCAACCCAGGACCGCTCAGATATTATGCGTCTAATTAACGACGGCACGCTCTTCCCGGATATTTCTGATGTGGATGAGCGGGATAGAGTACTGCAGGTCCTGCTTGAAATTCCTGGCAGGGTCCCGTCCTTGACACTCTTCTTTGATGACGCAAAATGCTTCTCCGGGCCCTCCAAGGCTATGAGGGACCTATTCTCTGTTGGCCCTAAAACATCAATTTATAGCGCAGCTCTACACCGCTGGGACGGAGGTACCCAGGCTTACAACGTCCAATTAACCGACAGCGAGTACGAGACTGTCCCTATCAACGGTATAGTGCCACCAGATGAAGCAGAAAGAGCCATAGCATCGGTTAGCTTGCTACAATTATGGCTGACGGCCTTTCGACACTTCATCAATCCTCGGACAGGGAGAACAAGAAAAGTAAAGAACGTTCAGCCTTTGTTTGAATTACGGGGAGAGCCTGAGCTTGCCAAGTCGGCCAGCAGATTGGGTTTTACAATTCCAAAGAATGTTTCTACTGCAGTCGACTCGGTTTTGCCGGCTTTTCATTATACCTTCGAAACGCTCGCAGGTGCTTCTCACAAAGATCTTGCACGGAAAACCTTGTATATGTCAAAAGGGTTTCTACATATCTTCGGCGACGGACCCAGATCCCATCAGTCAGATCAGAAAATCCCTGAGCTTTCTGTGAAAACGGATAGCCGAAAGTCAAGTTTCCGAGCCGGACGACCACTCAAAGATGAGTACATAAATGACCGATCGTTCTTCTTTCTTCAACATATGGTTTTTAGTGAGGGAGAGATTTTCCTTTATCCAAGCTCATTTGCCGTCATAAAAGATATCTTCTGCTGTTTTTTCGGCCGACAACATCTTGGATCTCTCTTGGATCACGACGCCTCCGGAGCCTCCAACAAATTCACATTTGCCGAGGAAGCTCCGCAAGGAGCCATTACGCCTGGGGCCATGTTACCAGAAGAACCGCAAGCGTTGGCAGATAATACAGATCTTCATACTGACCCCGTTGAAAACGGTGATTCAATAGCGACAAGCCCAATAGAACTTGAAGTGCACCCAGATCCAGGGCCCTCTACTCAGATTATGGACGGTGTACAGCAGTCTATACCTTTAGCTGCAGGTTTTGAAGACGAGCATAGCAAAGCCCCAGTGTCTCGGAAAGTCCCAATATCACTCCATCGAAGCGCCATCCATGAGATACTACCATTGTGGTATCAGTCAGATATCACGAATGTCGTAGTCTTCTACCTGTTCAACTCAAGGGAGTACTACAAGTTTTTTGCCGAGGCAGAAATGGAAATGCGACTCGTCCTAAACGACCTCGCCCGTGCCCATTATTTCCTCATCGTCGATGAAGAAAAAGTCGTCTCTCCAAATATGGCAGATCTAGTCACTGAGGTTCAGCGGACACGACTGCTCTTCGTTGGAGCAAAATCAAAACCGGGGGAGCTGGAGACCAAGGCAGGGGGGATTAGCAAGGCTGCTTTGGAGGATTACATATCCAAATATGATGTTCATACAGGGAAACGACGGTTCGAATTCGCTCCGGGTGACACTGATGATGGAGAGCGACCACACTCAACTAAAAGAAGAAATTGACTTAAACCGTATGGTCGAGCATCATCGACCTATAAGGGTTTCTCGGAGTTCAGACAGTCTTGTCGGGTCTGGTTGTCATTTCATAGATTCCAAGCAGTGCCAATTCCATGTTTTTCACTAAAATAGACCTAACTGCAGTGTATTTAACGGTTCAATATCAGGCAACTCTTATCAAGCAACATCCTCTGGGACAAGAGAAAGACCTTTGGTAATACACCACAGCGCGACGGCTTTGCCGTATTCCACTCATTCTTATATAAGGGGCTCCGCTGGAATGTTTGAGAGTCTTATTAAGTGACTTCAGTGTTGGGATTCTGTTTTTGCTGATTGAGATCTGAAGCCGGATAGATAATCTAATATAGGTAGAAGATTTCTCTATTAACTCTGAATATGTTACCTGTTCTCGACACCGGCACTGATATCCTCAAATTTGGAAAAGAATTGAAAAGAATCTATAACTCCCCTTAAGGTTCTCTAAGAGAGTCAAAAAGAAATTGTAGTTCCTTAAGTCCTGCAGCAAAATGAACATTTAGAATTACAGGAAAACCAACTCATGTAATCATAATCTGTTGTGTTTATTGGCATGGAGTAAGAATAGTTATATAATAGATCACGGCCTCTAAATCTATATACAAGGTCTATCAGGATATTCTAATCTTCTTCTCAAGATCTAACGGCGCTGTTCTTCTCTAGATAGACTTCAGTTACTTTTACTTGATCTGTATGTGGACCTGCATGAATTAACCACAACAATAGAGTGGAATATATATTATTTGTGGAGTTAATTTCTACTCCGTGTTCCAAAAGAATCTTCACAGAATCTAAGGCACCATATTCTGCAGCCTAAGAGAGAGGAATACACTGGTTTTAGTCGTGATTATCCTTGGTAGTACCAGTCCTTAGGAGATGACGAAGAAGCTCAGGGCAATCTCCTATAGCCGCGTAGTGAATAAGAGATCTCTTATAGAGGCCTTGGGGATTTGAAGTGTCCTTTGACTCCATTGAGGAATGCGCATCGTTAAGAAAGTCCATGATATCATTGCTTAGCCTAATCTCCGTGATATTTTTCAAGCGTCGGAATTCGCCATCGATAACGGTTTTGGAGTTGCGGGGGATGCTCATTGCGATAGTTCCAGTTGAATGTTTGCAATGTGTAGCTGCACAAATTTATGACCGCAGAGGACCTTAAAAGTAGCGGATACTCCCGGCGAGTACAGCATGTAGTTCATGAGATTCTCTTCATTAGTGTTTTGGGCATGGAAGGCAATTTAATGTCAAATTCCACTGTGTATACACTTTGTTCCAAGATTTTTGACGAGTAAGTGGAAAATATACATGCCTCGTGCTAGATCAATGTATGAAAACACCCTGCGAATCACGTTTCGCGGATCTCCGGTAGGGAATAAAGAGCCTTCGGAGGTTCCAAGACTGGTAGTGATCAACAGAATCCGAGGGTCGAAGCCGCAGCGGGTCGATGGGTACTTGGGCCGTCTTAGACCCAAGGTGCCACGCCAGTTTTTGCCCCCATACGACTAAAAAGCGGCGCGGCACGTCTAGCATTAGATAAAAACAGGCGCGATGTACGGGGTCTAATCGTGCTGTCAAAAACAACCTTCTATTTCTTGCGAATATGTGAAACTTAGTGATATTGCTAAAAATGGTAGTGACTCCTAAGTTAGGATCTCCAATCGAATTGCCTGTTCGCGGAGTCCCGCGGCATATGACACTCCCCCAAACTATAGACATTCAGTCAGATTTTGTGAAGTCTGGGTCCCCTTACAACCAGCTAAACTGCTTCTTTATTAGCCTGTCACTGACTTGGGGACCAGTCAGCGCTATTAAGTTTTCAGAAGGCTTCAACTTAGCCTACATATACTAAGAATGGATTAAAGAAAGGGATTTACAGGCTAGGAACTTCAAAGAAATATCTTATCTAAATCTAGTTAACTTAAAAAAGATATTTATTATAAAGCAAAACATCTTTTTCCTTTATAATACCTGGGATATCTTGCTAGAGGAGATTTAACAATTATTATCAAAATTTTGCTTGGGCAAGGTGGAGATTGCAACTATCTTAAAAGAGGTATATAAACTTCAGACAGTCCTTTCAGAGAGGAACTACACTGACATCCCTAGATTCTGCAAGCCTTAAAGTACATGCATAAAGTGCTTGGTATCTGCTATAGGAATGTCATACTTTCTACAGTCTTAATTAACCAGAAAGGAGTAGTCAAATTAGGTCAGTATAGTCTAAAATATATATATTGAAAATAACCTTTTATTAACAGACTTTATAGCGGACGTTGGAAGCAGCCTAATTAGGGAACCAAGAAGACAGCAGAAAAATAAGGATCTTTAGGCTATTTATTTAATAGCTTACTTGCTCTTGAGACTGGATAAGATATCTGTAATTTATAGAATAATAGGACTGCTTATAAAGGACTTTACTAGGTTCTCTAGGAGAGCAACCACAGCTAATCTTCTAAAGATAAGTGACACCTTAAACAGATTACTGGCAGCCAAATTACTAAGATTAGCATCCTTTCCTATATATTAGCCTGGGACCGTGGTGTCTGTGTCCAGTAAGTATTCTCTGCGGGATCGCTCGATGACGAGTCCTAGGAAGGATGGTACTGGCCCACGGCAGGATGAAGATATGGAAGTATTTGAGATAGACCATGCATTGTTTCTTAGTTACAGATTCTTTGGAGTCTGTTTAATACACCCTTGATCATGCTATGTGTACTCTGAGAAGCACAATCAATTGAGTCAATAGAGTCTATAGATCTTTCTTAAGGAGAGGAAATTGGATAATTTCCTGTAGAAGCAAACTCTAGATTATGATATTGTATCCATAGCAGAATATTACAGGTCACCTTGGGTGAAACATGTATAATAAAGCAGGCTGCACGCCTATTTCGGAGTTATGACCGCCCTCCTATCCAGTAACATATAAGAAGGTCAGAAATTACATACGGGTTCTATCGCTATTGTTATTACTGGCCAGTATGGGTCATACACAGCTATTTGATGATTTTGAAAGGAACCTGTCCAAGGCTGAAAGTGCTTCAGTCATTGAGACTCGTTATGTGTGCATGCTTCTCAAGCTTGACTATATTTCATGGTTCTACAACACCTCAGCTAGCGCTGCGCACTGGGCACTACTTGCTGGATATCTGGTTGTTCCGGGAACATTTACTTCTCTTCAGAAGTCCGACTTTCTCACGGAAGGTCTGGAAACGAACCGCACCGGAAAAGCCATCCTCAGCATGATTCAGAATCCGCCCCTCCTTGCTATTGCTTGCTTTTTGATGGTTCTGGGCTCAGTATTGATTTCTTGGCTCACCTGGGAGCGAAAGGAGAATTACATATGGCTCGTAAACCGGTTGTTCATGTCAGTCTCAGCATCTCTTGTCAGTTCAGATGCTAATCGTTTGATAGACCAGTCCTCTTAAATGCGATAGCTGGGTTACTCACCACTTTCGTCAATGTGTATACGGCGCAAAATGGGGAATGGTCAATAATGGCTGTTTTGACTGTTGTCGTCACCCGGGCGTCTACGGCAGTCTCCTTGAGCTTGACCATAATATACAAGTTCGGGAAGCTAGAGAGGGTGAAGAGAGAGCATGAGATGGAAATAAAGGCTGGCTTCCATGTGGTTTCGCACAAGGCCAGCCATCCACCTACTGGCAAAGTGGGACCTGGCAATCTAGAGAAAAACAGTGGCTAGTTTCTCATCCCGACTTGTCAGGGAATCATCAGCAGGACTGTGCCGCACATCAACGTGCTAGGATTGCTGCGTGGCCATTGAAGGATTAGACTGGACCAGCCATTTACGAGCAGCTGCTTCGGGGCGGGTTTTACTACTAAAGCAAAGCCTGTGTTGGGTTAGTTCGTTAGTGATTAAGTAACAGACCATAGGACTCAATATAGCAACTACCGAGTATCAAGCAAGTGCCTTCCAAACCTTTCAATCCCTCCGCTCCAAGAGAAGCTTCAGGACCCCGGAGCCCACTTTGGCTTGATCTACCAGAAGGAAAATAGGTGGGCTCAACCGTGGCTTATGATACTAGGATATTACATCTAGCCAATTCCAACAGATATTAATTTGCTGTGAGGGGTCCTTTCGAAGAGGTACTCTGGAGAAAGCAGTCATTCCAAGTTTAGGTCTAATACTGCTCAGATTCCGACCCACGCCGGAATTTGCGCGGGGTCACTCAGCATCAGGACACCACCTCATGGTAGTGAGTATGGTATTAAACCTTTAAAAAGACGATTCGATCTCCCTAGGTCATAGGCCGAGACCATAATGATAAATTCTTCTTCGCGCTGCGGAATGGGGGGCAACCTGGAAAAGGTAAGTCTTAAACCCTTTATCAAAATAACGGATGCTAAGGGACCCATTTCTAGCATTGTGCATACGGACATGGTGACTATTTATATAGATGACGGTGATTTACCATTTTTTGTTCATTCAGGAGCGCTTCGGGCATTTCCACTGGCTATCAAGGAATCCATCAAGGTGTCTAAAAATAAAGAAAAGAATACTTTTATGCTTCTGGGTTGGATGGATGAGCTCATGTTTGAGCTCTGCTGTGAGTTTGCATACACAGGCGATTTTTTTGTGCCTGAACCATTCTTGGCAACGGTCGCTGGCTATGCGAAGGCGTCATCATCAGGAACAGTCATGTGGCCATGTTCAGGCAGTTTCATGGCACAGAATTACCCTCCTAGTTCGGAACAACAATCTCCGCTATTCGCATGGGGTGACATCGAACTAGGCGTTTCCTGCGATGATACTCTATCTAAGCTACACCAGGATGAAGTTTGCAACGAAATATTCCTGAGTCATGCTCGCCTCTACCGATTAGCTCTAAAATCAGGCTGGTCATCCTTAAGTGCAGCGGCCCTCCGATGTTTAACAATCGCATTGGCATGCTTTACTCGTTCTGAAGAGCGCATCTGCAGCATTGTGGAGCTGCTACATTTTGTGTTTGATGGAGATACTGAAGATATAGACAGCTTGCATCACTTGCTTCAAGCATATGTAGCGTGGAAATGTCTACCCTACAGCTAGACCCTGGCTTCCGGCGATTTCTGGAAGGTCAGACAGGTTGACTGTCCCAATGCAAAATCTGATGACAGACTAAATACAAATTTAGGGAAGAGTATGGCAATTTATCCTTTTCAGGCATATACTAATCTCTTATTCAAGTGATATCATAGTGGTAGAGCCGTCTCATCGGCCTTCTGTATACACTTGCCGGCATTCCACGAAATTTTGTAATCTATGTAAGGCCATTCCTTTCTTTAAGATCGGAATACAGACACTTCTAAACACATGGAATCCAGCTCGGATCTCATTTGCCCCTTCCTCCTTGTAACATTATGCGTGTCTCTTGCTACGGACGCTTAAAAGCCATCTTTTTGATGGCCCAATTACTTGGGATGAAAATCCCACTCCGTATAGGCATGACTTCTTAGCATTTCTTTATTCTTCATATTCGCTCCCATTGGTGTCCCATGCCCACTGATTTGCCCCCCTTGCCGCTAAGCAAAGCGACGGAGCTTCTTTTCGCGCGACCCCGTTTACCCGGATGTCTGGCCGGCTGGGGAGCAGCTCCCACCATCTCCACATCCCCGTGGTTAGCCGCCAGCCGAGCAGAGTCCATTTCTGGTGGTCGGCGACGTTGGATCAAGGGTCGTTGCCGCTAAAACCTTGCGGATGGTCTGCCCTGCGCGCCACTGGACTGCATGGTGGGTTGATGTTGATCAATCCCGTTCAGTTGACTCAAACTGCCCAACATCGCGGACATCGATATTCGGTCCTGCCAGTGATGCCCAACCACACAACCTCGACAGAATAGCGTGGCCCACCACGGCTGGCGGCCATGATTTTTGACACCCGCTTTTCAAATGGGTCACCTACAGAGACGATCAGAGATACAACAGGTTAATTCCTGTCATTGACATTGATGTTTATGTATGGCTTAGCCAGAAGCAGCTTGATTACCACTAAGTGCCCTCGCTTGGCGGTTTCGTGCAGATCGATTAACGGGTGGTTAGCAAGGACCTGGGCTACTGAATGATATCCTCTCTAAGCCACTAGATGCAAAGGCGTTCAGCCCCTGCATCCACCATGTTGACGTCCCATCTATGATCGAGCAACACCTGCACCATCTTGCTCTCACCGCGGCTCGGGCCATGGCAGCGGGAGTGAATCTAGATTTTAAAGACACAGCAATGCACAAACGGCTACCTAAGTTCACAGAAACGTTCCCTTCCAAACAGTTCTCGACAAAAGCACTGAAAACCAGACTGTTCCCGTTGTCAGCGTTTGTACCGCGGATGATGTCGATCGATCCGCGGGAGCCGCCAGCGTGCGATAAACCGATCTCTCAGGACCATATATACAAGGGCGACAAAAAGCTACCGATCAGACATCAACTTGTGGCAGCTGTTGGATTGTACAAAGAAACCTTCGTTATTGACCAGTTAATGCTCTGGCTCACCGTACTTGAAAGAGTTGGTTTGAAGATCAGAGCGGCTACTCCATGCGATATTATCAGGAAACTCGTACCCCTCCGGACTATTGCCAGTTTGATCCACCGTCTGCTCATCGCGACTGCACAGAGGTCACGATGGTAGGCCCTGAAGTCAAGCGAGAGGTCTCGAAGAGAATGGCACGCTGACTCTCTCTTCCTTTCCTTTCTTGCTAATAGTTCGGAAGGAAGCCTTCAATCAGGCTTTGGATGAGGCTCGGAAAGGCAACGACAGCGGGGGCAGAAACGTCAACGGCAGAGACTGTGTCTTGGACGCATTCGCATATGCCTCCTCATCCTTCAACGTCCTTCTAAGAGCATTGCGAGACTGACCTGATCAAGGCTCTGCGACCAATGACTCTTCATCCCCGATCGGCGTTAGAAGTCGGCTAGCCTCTCACAGCTTCTGCGTGGTATTGTGGACATTCTGGGCTCAGAAACCCAAGATAAGCGGCAGCGTTCTTCAGCTTATAATAGTAGGACGACTCGGAAAAAAAGAGCACCTCTTTCGCTCCCCTACCAGATACCACGGATTTTGGATCCTACGGACTCAATGGAGAGCAGTCCAGAGATATAGGACTGCTCGGATGGATGGGGAGGATGGATACCAGGCATCGTTGATGCAGAACCGATACAGGATTGCTGACACCGACATCACTAGCATAAATGCGCATAATTGTACGAGGAGAGCCATGACGTTTCCACTTGGCGGCTGTACGTCGTTGACCTCTATACGCAATTTATTACCTAACCTGATAGAGAATTACAATGCATTGCGATATCTTTACCAAAGCATACGTTTGCTATTAGGCTTCTTATTTAAGGACATTTTAGGTATCTTAACTATAGGCTTTAGGTAAAGCCAGGCAGCCCAGATAGGGGCTAATTCAGTTTTTTCGAGAGTTTTCCCATATGATAATGAGCTATGTCTACAGCATACCAGCTGTTAAACCACTGATCGCTGCCTAGAATGATTCATTGTGGATGTACTCTGTACTCGAGATGTTCGATAAACTCCGCCAACTGGCGGGCTGACAGACTTAGAATCTTTCAGTAAACCCAGCAAGAAGTGGACCCTAATGGCAACCCCACCAGCAGCACCCACCAACCAACACAAGCCGACTACGTTTCCACTCACTTTTACCACTGTTAGCAGAAAGCCTATTGTGGCGTACTCGTACAGAGATCAGATATCGCTTTCTCCATGATATAGCAATAACGTCACAGAACACAAAAGGAAAATGCACAGTGCTCTGTGCAAGGGTGGCTCCGGTAGAATGAAACTTTTGATTACCGCATACAGCGGCATTATGACACATTACTCCTATAACTTCCCTCTGTCTCCTCACCCCTTCTCCTTTACCCTTCCTGATTGAAAGGTGCCATTGTGCTAATAATATCATATATAAAAGCCCCTTTATTTTTCCACTCATCCTTTTGGATCACTCCAATATCATAATCAAACCTAGCGTTAGATCATCAAGCTTCTCAGAAATGGGAGGCAACTGGTCTGACAACAAGGGCACGGAAACTGTACGGTACCTTCCTTGCATTGCTGGTGGGTGTTTGTCCACTACTAATGTGCATTGTCTTTGCATCAGATTGACCCCACGAAGGTTTCGCGCAGGAATGATAACTCCCTAGACAGCCGGCTTGAGGATGAATACCATTACATGGTGAACACTGATAACACATTTACTACAGCTCAACGCTAATATTTCTAATCAATGTGAAATAATTCCAGGAAGTAAGTACATATCAGCAGTTCAAAAAACCGGCTCAATGTTGAAGCTGCTTATGTATATTCAATTCTAGAGAAGCTCTCTCGGTATGTACATATTTTCAAGAAGGCATACTAACCTACCCTGTGTATGCTGTATCCATATTTTCTGAGATGCTGATTCTAATCGCAGGACTACTTTCTCAGGGTGATTTAATTCAGGGCATGAATCGCCGATATAGGGAAGAGGAAGAACGAGCACGGCACCAGGGCAAGGACGCTCTGAAGGAATTCCACAAAAATGCGATCAGGCCCGACGAAGCTCAGCTGCTCGAGCTATTCAAAAAGTCTGACACAGATAACGATGGTTACGTTACTGTTGATGGTAGGACTGACTATTAAATTGCTCGGTACTACTCTTTGTTTGCTGATGACTGACATGGTGTCAAGAGTATGTCAAAGGTGTCAAGGCTTATCTTCACGAGCAGGAGTTGCAGGACTTTGAACGTCGGTATATCAGGTTAGCACGATACTGAGTACTCAAGACACCTTTTAGTATCGTGAATCGGTAAAGGCTAGTCCAGGATAAAATAGAAGCCAGAAATGGACGTTGGGGAAATTCAGTGGGATACAGTTGGGAATACTATTTGATATACCGGCGTATATGTATTATATGTGCTTTTCTATGTATTGAGGCCTTGGATATCTTTTCCATCAGTGCAAAATATCACATAGGGCGATCATTCTCAGCAAAGGTGGCATCTGGAAAACGAAATGTGTCTTGAGTACGCTTCAAGACATAGTGCTAATGGAGACATTATCCCTCTATATAGCATGCTGTATAGGATGGCTCGATAACTAGTTATAAATTGAACGCTAATTGGGCTTTTAAATATACCGGATACTGGATCATGCTGACCGCTGGATTAAATCCTATAATCCTACAGTTACATCGCTTTGCTTGTTGTTAACACCCGTTTAAGCTTGTTCTCTTCCGGATGATACGGTTCGTTGGCCTGACTGCGGGCCATATCATTGATCCACCCCTCATTTGGCCGGATCTTCTCTCCCTGTGACAATCTTGCTGCTAGGTACAGCCAAGACAACATGTTACCCACAGTGCTCACCTCATCACTAACACTCTTCGCAGCGTATCTGCTCATGCGGTCGTATAAATCTTGGTCTGCCCAGAGGTCAAAGAGATGCTCAGCTACCGCATTGGTGTCACCGGGCTCGACTAGGAACCCATTCTTGCCGTGTTGAACTTGTAATGGAATCCCACCAGCCAGCGTTGCGATCACGGGCTTTCCCTTATGTAACGCCTCCGAGACTTTTACTTCAAACCCTTCGCGAGTGGAGAGCTGCAGAGCAATCTTTGCCCTGGTGAGAAGAGTGTTGAGCATTTGGTCACTTGGATCGATACGCATTATGCAGACTAAAGACTTGATGTGCTTCAGATGTTGCTCAACAAACTGCAAGACAGAATTGTACACAATCGCAAGGTCGGGGTCGTCAACCGATCCATGGCTGCAAATGAGCAATTTTGGAGGTTTCAGGTCTGGACGAGATTCCGAAAGGCGCTTGTGGAAGGCATTGTACGAGGTGAGTACATCGCATATACCTTTGGAAGGGTCAAACCGAGCCACCTGCACAATATAGTCCTCTATATTACGTTAGTACACTTGGGAGTTCCGTAGAAAGAGAGCAAGGTATGCTCACCGCTGGGAAAATTAATGGTTGGCATAGACTGCTCTTTACATCTTGAATTAAAAATTCGGCAATAGTAGGAAATACTCCAATCATCCAAGGGTTTATTGAGTCCATCCAGCCTGCTATTTGTCAATTTCAAAAGATGCACATAAAAGCAGCGCCGACCATACCAATCAGTGGAGGCAGGCATATATCCAGTCCTCTCCGGGGCCACATTATTTGGAACGAACGCACGGACAGGGTGGCTGATAAAGACATCTGCTTGCTTAATACTCTCCCATAGAAGCTCCCAAGGCTCGGCCTGCGGAGTGCCTTGTGTAGCAATGAGATCACTTCGGATTTGTATATGGCTCCTGAAAATGACTGGCCTATCCGGGGTGCGCTCCTTGATTAACGGAATTAAAAACGGCAGCTGCGGGTCATCGATGATAATCACGTCGGCGCCGCCCTCGGTTGGGTGAACCAGTGGGCCATGTTTGTGCAACCAGGGAAGTTCATTCATACCAGGAAGCGATATGGCATACTTCCCGAGCCAAGACGCAGCTGGTGGCCCAGCCTTCCTAAACCAGAAGCGCTCGGCATTCTCAAGTACCCAGTCACGGAGGGTATCCCTATCTTGCGGGGTGAACCGTGTGTCGGGAGGTGCTACACCTTGCAGGATATTATGGTTGTTCTTGGTGATGCGAAAGATGCCAGGGCGTGGTTTAGGAACGTACCTATACAGAAATGAGCCCAAATGCGTGCATTCATGAACTTGCCGCTGCCCACGTGCGGCGGTATAAAACTTACCAGTTCAGTTCTACACCGAGCACCCTAGCGAACCGGACAAGGGCATGGCGCATCAGGGCAACCCCGCCTCCCTGTGGCGTTGCGCTGAAGAATGCTATCTTCACTTTTCGCTTCTTTATGTCACTGGCGGATTTATTTACTGCAGACCAGGTGGCCGCTCCAACGGTCTTCTCATAATCTGACAGCTTAGTCATTTTCACATGGAACGCAGCGTCAACTTCTACGAGGCCTTGGCTGCCGATCTGGGGAGAAGGAGCTTACTCTGCCTGTGTGCCATCAATTTCGTTCCCAAGAACCCATCCGCCAGATTCACATTGTGAGGGCATTTTCATACGGCAGTAGCCACAGGTGCCACAGGACGTGATGCAGGAGACAAGCACGGTCTGACCGACTGTGAAGTTCGTGACAGCGACGCCAAGGGAGTCAATGATGCCGACTCCTTCGTGGCCAAGAATGCGTCCTGGAGTGCAAGACGGGACGTGGCCTTCAAGGATATGGTGGTATAAAGAATCCTGATGACAGCGTCCGTGGGTTCCAGAATAGTTGGTTTCTGGCGATCTTCGACCGCGATCTTCTTGTTACCAGTGTAGACAACTGCTTTCATCTTTACGGATCAAGCCCAGATCGACTAGCTATGTCACGATTCCAAGGTTATATCTGAGGGAATGAGAGATGCAGGAATAGCGGTTAGGACCTACTGGGTCTTCTATTATAGATTAGATGCTTCGCTACCCAGCAAAATAAAAGCACTCCGAGCCCAGCAAGAAGATTTCACAGGGCCACAAGTGAGCCGAATACCAGAGACAGATCCAAGTCGTCATCCCTTCGTAAGGTTGAAGCGTAGGAGAGCATCGGCGTGTTTAAACTTCAGGACAATTATGGAAGAACAGGCCGTGTTGGAGAATTACGCAGTGAAAGCCGTTTTCAGACGTTAAGCTATGCCATGACTCTCATCATACGCTGTTGTTGTACGAGTCTGCACGGAAAATATTGGTGGAGCAGATCAATGGGAGATCCTTCCGCGGTTAGTTAGATTTCCAGAAATCTGACCTTATCTCTTTTGCATCCTGTGTATACGGCATCTACAATTACATATCTTTGTTGAGCTAACGTTAAAGTTTCCCTTTTATTTTCATTTTATTATTATTTGTTTTATTCCCTATTTTGTTTTAGACCAGAGGATACTGTGATGTTCTTGCAGGGAACCAGTAACGTAATCCACTGTCCAGTTGGCCACCATCAGCATTTCCAGTAGTGGCCACAAATTTCGGTGGCGTTGCGTACATACTTCACACTGAATTCTTCCTGCGACTTCAGAGGCATTGCTCTTAGATGTCCTTGAGTACGACGGTTACTGCATTATAGTACTTTCCGCGTAAAAAATTATTCTGCAGGAGGTGCTGTAAGTACTTTGGGGTATGGCTTCAGTAACCTGACTCGTGCTCTTTATAAACCAAACCCTTCTATAAGAAGATCGCTCTGCATTTCTTCCTCCACTGGTATCAAGGATCTCATAGTTTCGCTTCATATGGGTGTCAACTTAACAGAGTCTTAATGTACGGAGACCTACGATCAATGGCCGATTGTCTCATGATCACTTAAATATTCCTCAGGACCCCGCTTCTACAGTTTTTAAACAGTTCGGTCTGTTATGAAGAGATCTTCCCCCACAAAGGATAGCTTCTCTTTATTCTTTGCTGATTTGCATACACCCGGTGTAGCTCCTCCATTATGACTCATGAGTCAGATGTCATGCCACCGGTGTTGGCTAGCGACGAATACTACAATCTCGGCTCGTTCAGTCGGAAGATCACCACATCCAACCCAAATGCTCAGACTTGGTTCAATCGTGGCCTTAGGTGGGTTTACGCCTTTAACCATGTCGAGAGCGCCTATTGCTTTGAACAAGCTACTGTCCACGACCCTTCGTGCGCTATAGCATACTGGGGACTAGCATATGCTCTGGGTCCAAACTACAACAAACCATGGGAGCGTTTTGATGGAGAGGACTTGAAGGCATGCGTGAAACGGGGATACGAGGCATCACGCAAAGCTAAAGGGCTTGCAAAAGATGCGACTCCAATCGAGCAAGCGCTGATCGAAGCCATCCAATGGCGATTTCAGAGGTCATCTCCAGCCAATACTACGGAGCAGTCGGCGCTGAATCATGGATATGCGACGGCGATGAGATCTATCTACCGAGCGTTTAGCGATGACCTGGATGTTGCTGTCATCTACGCGGATGCGTTGATGAATCAGACTCCCTGGGCGCTCTGGGATTTGTTTACCGGCGAACCAAATCCAAAAGCCGCAACGATGGACGTCAAGAAGGTGCTCGAACGCGCTCTGACTCAAGAAGGGTCTGATAAGCATCCAGGACTGCTGCACATCTATATCCACTATATTGAAATGTCGCCTAATCCGGAATTGGGCGTCAATGTTGCTGACCAGCTGCGTGACTTGATGCCAGATGCAGGCCACATCCACCACATGCCCACTCACCTCGACGTTCTGATCGGTGATTGGCGACGTTCAATTACTTCCAATTACAAGGCTACTCTAGCTGATGACAAGTATGTGCGCCGCGCAGGCCCATACAACTTTTACACATTCTATCGACTTCATGACTATCATTCCCTCATCCATGCTGCTATGTTTGCGGGGAAGCTCAAAACAGCAATGGATGCCGTCGCTCGGATGGAAGCTTTAGTCCCCGAAAACGTGTTACGGATTCAATCCCCACCCATGGCTGATTGGCTGGAGAACTTTATGTCAATTCGCCTACATGTCATGGTGCGCTTTGGAATGTGGAAGGAGCTGAAACAGATGGGATTACCAAGTGATTCTGAACTTTACAAAGTCACAACGGCAACTGCTCATTACGCCAAGGGAATTGCCTGCGCAGCTACTGGGGATATGAATGGAGCCCTAAGGCAACGAGAGCTCTTCCAGCAGACCTATGCACTCGTCCCAGAGACCCGCCTTGCCTCCAATGGCAAGTGTCGGCAGACCCTGGCAGTGGCCGCGGCCATGCTGAATGGAGAAATCGAGTATCGCCGTCAAAACTATGCCGATGCCTTTGAATATCTGCGAATATCCATCGGCCTTGACGACAAGCTCCCATATAGCGAACCACGGTCGTGGATGCAACCAACTCGACATACCTACGCAGCGCTTCTCCTGGAACAGGGCCATCTCGAGGAAGCGGCCAACGTATACCGCGCAGATCTTGGACTTGATGATACACTAATCCGCCCCCGCCGCCATCCAAACAATGTTTGGTCGCTGCAAGGGTATTATGAGTGCTTGACACGGTTAGGAAGATGGGAGCAAGCGGCTGTTGTCGAGCCTGCAGTAAAGCTCGCGCTTGCTGTAGCAGATATTCCCATCAAAGCTTCATGTTTCTGCCGCCTGGGTACGTCTTAAGGGCCTCGCGTCATTTAACGGGTTGTAGGTCTACCCGGAGCTGTCTCTACAGTTATCATCTAAACATCAATACCTGCATCAACCAAAGAAAGAGGATTAATTATTTATTTAATCAATTCTGCAATGTACTACTTGAAGCATTTTCGTGTTTGGTAGAGCCTGTTATGGTAGAGATGAATGAAGAAGCATGTAGCACATGTATGGGATACCTTATCAGAACTACAATGTTAGCCTTCCATGGCTAGACTGAACATTCGACAGCAACAAGCATGGGCTGTTCTACAACCTCGGGCCGCATATTGTGAGTGTATCATTTGAGTCTTCGCGGGCTTGAAGTAGGTGGTCATAACGAAGGGCACTGTTTCAGAGGAGTCAAGGGGCTGCGCGTCTCCTGCCGAAGTGAATTTGTATGCTTGACTGTCCACGATCACAAGTTCTCCATCAAAATCCGCGAGTGTGCCAATGCCGTGGTCGCCTTTAGACAGTACATGTGCTGCTGGAAGGCCTCCCGAACACAGACCCTGTGCAAGAGCACTGATGACTGAGTACTGGTAGATTTTGTTGGACACTGCCATTGATTCTCTTTTTTGACTATTGACCTTATTGGATCTAGACAGGTTAGGACTAGCGGATGGCCTCAATGAATTCGTGAGACGGTTGTTGAGATGATATGTTGGACATGGAAAAATATACTGAAAAGACTTCCAACCTCGCGCATACTGACGTAAGGATCCATCTTTGAGTGCCGCAATCAAACCTATAGTAGCTCGTATGACACCGGTAATTAATGCATCCAATGTTGTGTATATCTTCAACAAGGGTTCTTTCGTTCTCAATAACAGATATTGCTAAAATACGGACCAGGTTTTCCTATCAACCAAAGTGGTTATTCTTGGTTGTGTATGATAACCACAATCAGCCAATAATATCAGGCCGTGTGGCCACTTTTGGTAGTTTAACCTTTATTGGTTATTGGCGGTTTTCGTCAAACTAAGAGGAGTGGATCTGGGGTGTTTCTCCTTTCCTATCCTTTTTTTTCCCCCCGTTTTCTCTACGTATCGCTCGTTTACAATCGAAATGAACGAGCGCTGTTGCGGTTTCAGGTAGCTGGATATAGCGTGATTAATGTTCCTTCCTTCTATAAGAGAGCGCATGCTGGGACAGGATTACCAACTCCTTGTAGTTACGGTTCAATGAGATGTTATATGTTCCTTACAAATTCACACCGTCACATGAAGACCAGAGTGTTTTCTACTTGTCGTTAAGGGCGAAAAGACGGTCCAGGAAAAATTGGCGGAAGAGCTTGTGCACAAAATGAACTTTGGGACAGATGCAGAGTTACCGTGGTGTCCTTTCGAAACCTTGTCCGGTTTCATAACTCGGACCAAAATCATTGATGTAACTTCCTGTAATCTCATTCAGTTTATGAAGATCTACAATTTAGAATGTTCTGGGCGTTTGTGAGGAAGTGCTTGGCCAGGCCTGTGGCACTATTCAGTGTAGTAATAGGGTACTGCGTGGCTGTAGAATCGTCAATTAACCGTCATACTTTTCGTATTCCTTCCCTGTTAAGCTTTATTACCAACCTTCCGTGCTATTAGGCGGCGGGTTCCACGATTTAGTAACTAATTATGCTTATCACATCTTGGGCCACTTCACGGTCTATGATCTCAGGGCGTCCAGAGTCCATTAAGTCAGTGTTTTGTGATACTGACTCTATCGAACACGACATCGAGGAGCAGGGTGACGTTCAGTAAGCGTGCCAGTATAAATGTGCCTGAACTTCTTGGTGTAGTCTTGTATACTAAGTGGCTCAATTCTTTGGCAAGACGTGAGACTTAAAATAAGCCCTAGCCTTTTCCAACATTGACCTGGTTTAGTTGTCCGCGGGAATCGGTGCTTGCCATCGAGGAAAAAGAGATGAATTTCGAGCACTTAATTGGGCTCAGAGGCGGTGACGTCTTTCATTCTCTGCTATCCACACCAAGTGTGGATAGCGCTTGTGAGTCTTAACGCAACGGTTGTCAAACACTTTCATTGGGGGCGTAATGTAACTTATTGTGGTACAGTTGGCTACCCTGGTGGTGCTGCCCTTCCTTGATTCGATGGAATATACAACACCGATAAGTTCCAGTTTATACTCACTTATCATGAGCAAGGTGCTGGCCATATGGCGGAAGGATATGCCCAGGCAACTCGCAAGCCAGGAGTCGTGCTTGTAACGTCCGGTCCAGGCACGTCTAATCTAGCGACTCCCATGCTGAACGCGCTGCTGGGTGGGAATCCAATAGTGGTTATCTGTGGCCAAGTTGCGACCACTGCACAAGGCATAAATACCTTTCAGGAAATAGACATTCAGGCCTTCGCCAAGCCATGCACAAAATGGCTTACTATTGTAAACTTAATTGAGGAGCTGCCCTTGTCCCTGGATTATGCCTTTGAGCAAGCTATGTGCGGTCAGCAAGGACCAGTACTAGTAGCCATCTCTAAAGATATCAGCTCGGCGATTTTTAGCCGTAAAGTATACAAAAAAGTTTTAGACTTTATACCGCAATATCATGATATTATTAGCACCCACACTACAGAAAATCTAGTATCTGATAAGACCACACAGATTATTTGCTGGTCAGCGCAGTTGATCGGTCGTGTAGAACAACCGGTAATCATTGCAGGCCATGGTATTCTCAGCAGTCGTGATAGGCTAGCACTACTTGCCCAATTGTCAGTAAAAGCTCATATCCCCATTGGTACCACACTTCTCGGTTCAGGAAGTTTCAATGAAAGCTGACCCGAGACTGTCCACATGATAGGGATATATAGAGCAGTATATATAAACTATACCGTGTAAAATACTGACTTGATTCTGGCATTATGTACTAGACTTGATGAACATGCAGTTGCTGATCCAGCAAGTTTCGCACTGAAGGCTCGAGCTGCAGAGAGAAGTAATAGTGGCAGAATTATTTAATTTAACATTGAGCCCAGAAATATAAACAAAGTTATTAAGGCCACCGGTGCGGTGTATGGGGATTTAACAGACACCCTACCCCTTCTAATATCAGAAATCCGACAGCAAACCAATCGGGTCTCCTGGTTGAGGCAAATCCAAACGTGGAAGAAGAACAACCCGTTCCCGCAACTCATGAATAAGCAGCACGGCGATGATAATAAAATGCGAATCTTGCCCCACCAAATTGTGAGTGAGCTTAATCGGCAGATCCGGATGCTGCCCACCAAGGCGATCATTACTACCGGGGTGGGTCAACACCAAATGTGGGCTGCGCGGTGCTATCGCTGGCGGTACCCGCGGACATTCATCACTTCGGGTAGCATGGGCACGATGGGATTTGGTCTCGCCGCTGCCATTGGAGCTCAACTGGGCCGCCCAGACTCGTTAGTAGTTGACCTGGATGGAGATGGTTCTTTTAACATGACAATGGAGGAGCTCCTGACAGCGTCACAACACGGGATACCAGTCAAAGTCATCATATTTGATAACCATGAGTAGAGAATGATCACGCAATTCCAGCAAACCTACTACAATGATCATTGTGCACATGTGTATCCTCAAAATGCTGACTTTATTCTTCTAGCGAAAAGTATGGGTTGCTTGGGACGTCGGTGCAAATCTCCAGAAGATCTGAAGGATAGAATACAATGGCTGCTAGAAGCTGCTGGGCCGGCTGTTCTGGATGTTGAGCTCTACAGTGAACCTCCTATGCTTCCCATCGTACGAATTGGGGCATCTTTGGATACCTTTTTGACAGAAGTAGATTGAATTGTTTAATATGATATGTGACATTTGTTACAGCATATTACACAGATTAACTCTTAAAAAATTCGTATAAATTCCTTTTTCTTTTTTTTTTTTTTTTTCCCATATTCAAGCTAGCTCTTTCCAGTAAATTTACCTCGGCGGCACACATGAGAGGGAATCTATCCCGGCATGCCAAACATCGTAACCAACACATTCGTTTTACTTGGGGCCGGGCGGGTACCGAGATAAAAGGATTGGCCATTGAATTCCGCGCTGAAGCCTCGCAACATAATCGTCTCTTATCAGTGTGTTGCTCCATTTGGAGCTCTAGATCATCTCTAGATGAATTTCCCCATCACTGTTAGGAATATCGCCCCTGTCTGAGGTGGAATTTACCAAATTGTCTTCCCCCACCTCCCTCGATCTGGGTCAATTGACGGGTGGTGTAAGTAGGTCCTTAAGAGATGACTCGAAAAGGATACTTATTGTAAGCAAAATTTATTGTACTACGGGCAGGTCCTCATGCAAGCAGTTGCTGCCAACTCCGCATTCTGCCACAGCTAATTATGCAAGGTAGATAGATATTATCAAGCTCGTTAGGAATGCTTCCTGGAAACTGATCTGACGATTCTTATTGTTCATATTTGGGTCACAAATAGGGGATTTATTGGATTTCTTCATTCCTTATTAGGTTGGAAGTGATTCGTAACAATTCCATGTAGGCGGAGTGGGCCGGTATGAACAGCTAAGGAAAGTAAGCCATTTCAACCTGCCCAGGACAGTACTGTGAGCGCAGTGCTGGATATTGCAGAAGCATTTTGGAGCCGCGCGCCAGAGGGGCTGCAGAACATGGAATGAGGCAGGTAGGCCAGAACCGACCTTGGAGCCCTAAGTTCGTCAGTATGTAGTTGGTTGCTTGTGTATAGCGGCTAAGGGATACTTTTATACATTTGTGATAGGCAGTCGACCTCCTACCCCTGCCGACTTTGTTGCAGGTCAAGTGGATTTAACTTGTGAAATACATTGAAGGGGTCGTATTTCTTTTTAATGTCCAATAGCCGATTCGCATTGATGCCAAACATGTCAGCTGGTGTTACGTTGTCCTCTAGCAATGGAATCAGTCTTGCATCCTATGGGAGAGACAATATTGTATCGACAGCAGACTTACCGCGTGTATACCCGATGAAGTTCGATACTAAGGCTGTTGATTCATGGCCTGCTCTTCGTATTTCTTCTTCACACATTACCTGAATGGACTTCCCCCACGAAAGAATGTCTTCGTCCCTGCCAGGGTCAGTCCACTGCAGAATCAGTGCACCATTCAGAATCTTCTTGCGAGCGGGGAAAGCGGTGTTATCTGTGGAAATACAGCAGATCTGGGATGGGTCAAAATAGTCGAACTCCAAGGCACTCTTAGCCATATCTGTCTCGATGGCGAGTTGATGAGTGAATTCTCCCATAAGTTTAGAGGCAAACTCAGACCGAACTGGTGGAGCCAGATGTACACCTAGTATTTTTTTCCGACCTCCTGCGGTCACTGCTGCATCAAGCATGGTGTTGGCATCCAAGTACGGTCTCATTCGGACGTCGTCGCTACTGCATTTAATATCAAGCAGCCTCGCAAAATGTTTCTTTCCTTCTGCTTCACAGCCGTTGAAGAATAATACCACATTGACGAGCGGAGACCCGTTCTCAGGTGACAAAGCCAAGACACACTGCGCCGCGGCCTTCCCTTGGGGATGAACAAGAGCCGCGTTGAGGGCCTGAATGACCTCCGGTAACCTGTCACAGGGGTAACTTCTTATGCCACTCCAGACCAGATTAGGTTGTGGGTGCGCCTGAAGGATGAATTTTTCCACGACCCCAACATTCTGTCCAGCACCTCGTAGAGCCCAGAATAAGTCTGGATTATTGTTTTCTGATGCCAGGACCTCCGCTCCCTCAGCTGTAACCACATTCGCCGAGAGAAGATTATCAATGACGAGTCCATATTGGGGAGTGAGATATCCGTAACCTCCGCGCAATGTGAGCCCTCCAACTCCTGTCTCACTGACAGTTCCCCCGACAACGGCTAGCTGGTATTGGGCGGCTGCTCGATTCACATCTGCCCACAATGCTCCCCCTTGGGCGGAGACTGTCTTGGTGACGGGATCAACATTCACCTGTTTTAGATGGTGTAGATCGACCAGGATTCCTCCGTTGCTGGACGCAGAGGTGTCAGTGGAGTGACCCCCACCCTTAACTGCAAGATCAATGTGGTGATCCATCGCAAACTTAACGGTCCTTGCTATGCCTTGCGCATCCGTTGGGCAAACGACCAGGCCCTACATGAGAAGGATATGTCATTAGCTCTCAGTTCCTCTCCACTATTAAGACGGCATTACCGGTCGTAGATAGCCGATAGCAGACCATCGCTGTAAGCACCTTTCATACTCCTCAGAGCCTGGATTGTGAGGAGTTGCATGATTCCCAAGCCTTGCTTTGAGATCCTCGATTTGGTTGAGCGTAATGATGGAATCGGACATCTTGAAGTTTCTACGACCGTAACTTATTTTAAAAATAGAACCCAATTAAGTGAGATATGAAACTGGCAGTAGTTGAAGAATGAGCCAGAGGCCTAAGGAGCGGGAACAATAAGTTTTTTGACCTTTTCTGTTTTTCTGCTAACCATTTCCCCATTCTCCCGCTATGATTTAGGTCAACTCGTATAGCTGGTTCCAGATCCTAGTATTGTCGCCACTTTGTCCATTTGCAGCGAGTCTCATCATCACAATGAGATCACTGAAGGGATCTCCCAGGGCACTTTCCAATAGCCAAAAGAACATTGAAGAACGGAAAAGGTTGGGTCTGTGTAACATGACAATGCTCATGGGACTTAACATATACATCGTTGTTCCTTAAGAAATAGAAAGGTTGTTGTCGCCCCATCGTGATTTCAGCTGAAGCACTCTTCGTCAGAGAGACCAACCCCACAATTTTCACTCTTTCTGCCACTTGGGAAGTTTCTGTAGTATGCGAAGAAGAGTACGGTTAGGGACTAAATTTCAACGCATGTAGAACAAGGTTAACCGAACCATGGAAATACACGGCGTAAAGATGTAAAACGCCACCACACTATACTTGATGCCGCACACTGTTACCGGCAATAACTTACTGCTGCATCTGCGTTTTATCCATTATGCTTCTTTTCTCTTGCCAATGCACAGTCAAGCATGAAGCTATATTCAAAGGGAGGGAGAAATTTTCCCTTCGATGGTGGGACCCTTTCAGAAATTCATTCGTAAGCTAACTGTCGAAAAATGCACTGCTTCGTAATGTCGTAGCCACACAACGTTAACTGTCGGGCAAAGCTCAATGATCATATGCGTCACATGGCTCTCATTCGTGTGTGGACTGAATTATGCAACTGACCAACAACCTCAAGTGAATGGAGTGCGTCACCTTACTCTCTTCCTTACAGCCTGTACGCTAGACCATAGACTATAAGAAGGGAAACGCTCGTCATTGACTTCATTTTCATCACAGGAAGATAATGCCCAGACTTTGTTTGTAGCATAGGATTCCAACCTCAGTCCGAACCTTACCAACATCCCCTACAATAATGGAGCAAATTCTGATTCAGCGTGCAAGGTCTGCCCCCGAGGCAACTGCATTTCTGGATGGCGATTTCAGCATTAGCTACCGGCAGCTGATTGCACGGGCGGACATACTAGCCCAAAATCTTAATAGTGCTGGCGTGAAGTGCGAGGAACCCGTTTGTATCTACCTCGAATCGGGCTATGAACAAGTCCTAGCTCAGGTTGCTGTCCTTCGCGCTGGGGGAACCTGTGTCCCAATTGAGCCATCCACCCCTGCTCTGCGCGTTGCAAGTATGCTGCATGATATAGAAGCACGGCACATAATCACCAAGAAAGGCATGGAAGAGAATTTACATGAGTTTAAAATCATTTACGCGAGAAGTGCCACTGAGGCGGAAATTACGGTCGACCAGGACAGCACTACCTCACGGGCTGATTGTCCGGTCACCCACCGGAGTCATATCATGTTCACCTCCGGCTCTACAGGCAAACCCAAGCCGATCCAAATACTGGCCGGTGGGATCCTCCATGTTTTGCATTCATTCCCATGTCTTCTACTTAACCCTTCGGAGCGCATGAGTCTCTTCATTAACCCGGGCTTTGACTTTTCGCTTTTTGAGATATGGGGGGCGCTACTGTCTGGTGCAACAATTGTCAGAGTGCCTAAAGTAATCATCACTGACCCGGTTACTCTGGGTAATTTCCTGGAAAATGCCAAGGTCAAAGCGATGATTATTCCGACAGCCTTGTTTAACGTTATTGCTCTTAATGCGCCAGCAAGCTTCGGTTCTCTACGGCATGTCCTCGTTGGTGGTGAGACCGTCAATACCGCTGCGATGAGGAAGGTCCTTGCCAATAACCCGCCTGAATACCTATGGGATGCATATGGTCCAGCAGAGGCAACCATCTACGTAACTCTATGTCGAGTGGATGAACAGGAGGCAAAGCATTCACGTATCAGCATTGGACGACCTCTTGGACAAACCAAGGTTTATCTATTAGATGAACAGGGCAGACGCATCACAGACACAGACAAATGGGGAGAAATCAGTGTTGCAGGACCTCAAGTGTCTCCAGGCTATTTGAATCGACCGAAAGAAACAGAAGAACATTTTATAATTGTTGACGCCTCCGTCATTGGCGAGGAATCACCAACTCGCTTGTACCGCACAGGTGATATAGGTCAGTGGAGAGACTCTGCCGGATTCCTCGATTTCATCGGCAGATCGGATAAACAGATTAAACGCGCGGGATACAGAGTGGAACTGGGCGATATTGAACGCACTTTGGAGGATTGCCCAGACGTGCATTCGTGCGCTGTTATATCACACCAAGAGGAGCTGTCAGAAACACTAGTTGCGTACGCCATTCCCACTTCCTGGGATAACCTGTTTGAGCCCAGTGGGATTACTCGTTGGGCAGAAGAAAGGTTACCTCCGTACATGGTACCTGACCAGGTCCAGCGTGTTCCCAAGTTTCCTTTGACTCCGAATGGCAAGGTAGACAGAGATGCTCTCCACCATAACACAAAGAACCAGACCACAGAAGAGTCTGGTGACAAGGAAACTCCTCACGCAAGCCCTACCGATGCCTGGCTGCAATCGACAATTGCAAAGCTTCTCAAAGTGCCTCATGTCAATCCCGACGATAACATCTTCCTCCGGGGCCTGACTTCTTTACAAGCAGCTCAACTGATTGCGCAGATCATGCACCATTACGGGAAAAGGGTAGCACTACAGGACGTGCATGCACATCCTACAGTGAGAAGACTTGAAGGGCTTATTCAAAACACCACAGATAAGAGGACCTGTGCTTCGGATACCGTGCGCTGGGAAATGGATGCCCATCTTGCGGACGATGCACTGAGACTTCCAGACTGGCAAAATGCCCAGGAAGGCAAAGTTTTTCTTACGGGAGCAACCGGGTTCGCTGGGGCGTATATGCTGGCCCGGCTTTTATCCATGCAGACTGTCAAAAAAGTAGCCTGCTTGGCTCGAGGGCGGGGCGAACAAACACCAGCGGATCGCATTCAGCAGGCCCTGGAGAAGTATCGGTTGTGGAATGGCAGCCTCGAGAGGACACAGAAAATCATCGTCATTGAAGGAGACCTGGCAGACGACACTCTGGGTATGACAGAAGATCACTACAAATGGCTCGCCGGGTGGGCCAGCGTTATCTTCCATGTGGGAGCAAAGGTCAATTGGTGCGAGCCCTACGAGGCTCACTTCGAATCTAATGTCCTAGGTACACGGAACGTTATTAAGCTCGCCAGCAACGGCCGACTAAAACCACTCCATTATCTCTCCTCTATTGACTCATGGAACGTAACTGGATTCATTAATAAAACCAAGCAAGTGCTTGAGGATGAGCCACTCAAACCCCATGCAACATCGTTGCCATATGACATGGGCTATGCACAGAGTCAATGGGTGGCAGACGAAATGGTTCAGAGAGCAAGAGCTCGTGGCCTGCCCACAGCTATTTACCGGCCAGGCTTCATACTTGGAGACAGCGAACGGGCCATTGGAAATCCCGACGACTTTTTTGCACGCTTTATTATGGCGTGCATCCAAATCCGATTATTTCCCCATCTTCCTCACCAACGTCTGGAGTACGTCACAGTCGATTACGTGTGCTCAGCCATGCTCCATATTGCGTCCAAGTTTGAAAATCTCGGCCGAGCCTACCATCTGCTTTCACCCGATCCCGCCCAATCTGTCAGCATCGAAGGAACATATGAGTTGCTGATCCGAGCGGGATTTCCAATGGAAAAAATTTCCTACCATGACTGGGTGAACAAGATCCAAGAGCACTCAGAAAGTCCCCTGCAGCCAATGCTCCCAATGCTGCAGGAGCCGGTATTTAAGGACTTCACCCGGATGCAGACAAGTACAGAGACACCCGTGTACAACACTCAGAATGCCGTGCAAGCACTGGCGGACCGGCCGGAGATCAAGTATATCCCATTAAGCCATGAGTTACTAAGACGATATGTGGACTTTTGGGTCGAGAGGCATTACTACAGCCTCTGACATGAGGTAATGGGTAAGCGAATGGGAGCACAACCGAGATTAGTTATTGAATTATATGACCGCTTGCCAGATTAGGAAGACTACGAATTAGTGCAACACTGCCACCCTTGGCAGAATATTCGGTAGCATTTGATCGTTCGAATAGCTTCAAATTCCACCGCTATCGAGAAGCATAAATAGTAGCTAGATAGTCATTCGTTTTAGAAGAATCAGACCTTCGTTGATTTTCAATTGGCCATATAAAGTTACTAGTGATCCATGAACGTTGCTAGCTTAGCGAATTCAACATTAGTTCTTGGTAGGAATTTTACAAGTATGCGTATGGTGTGGTCGGAAAGTAAAGCTCTCAAGACGAATACATACACTTTGGGTGACTGGCGGTACAGAAACTATTGATGCAGAACTTACCCCCGCTGGCTTCCTCTTATGTAACAGTAACTACTGATTGCGGTTGCTTTAGTATGGTGGGACAAAAGGACTGAAAGATTCAATTCCGAGACAAGCTGGGTAATGCGCTGTGGAAACCAATATACATCATATTGAGCGCTTCGATTTCCTTCTGTCAAAGAGGTATCCAAAGAAGCCCTACTCGTACGATAGGAAGCATATGAGGTTCACTGCCGAGCTCGACGTCCAGAACAGCCAGCTCAGCAGCTTCTAAAAGCCATTGTATACCATCCTCAGGACCTTGTAAGAGAGCCACATCGACATCCCAAGCAACCCATACTCTTTGCTAGAAGAACAAAGTCTGCATTCTGAGGACGCACACACGCCGGACGGCCAGTGTAGTGGGTCTGCTAGTATTGTAGCATCATTTTTTGTCTGTGGTTGTGTCAACCATATCGAATCCGGAGAGTATCGGATATCGATATTTAACCGAATTCTGGCTGGGCCAATCAGATCGCTGGATTCTACCATGATTACAGAGTTTTCATTTAGTCGATTATAAGTAGTTAGTTAGATATCTAGATTGCCAGAAATCGGACCTTCATTCATCCCGAATCATACCGTTTACTAGCGATTACCATAGATTCGCTATCAACGGGGATCGGTTGACAGGTTGCCAAAGGTGATGACTTTAACTGGAACCTTGCGCTGTGAAGCCGTCAGTAGTTCCTCCATGGTCAAGTTGAATGATCCATCTCCATCCAAGTCAATCACCAACGAGTCTGGGCAGCCCAGTTGGGCGCCAATTGCAGCTTGAAGACCGAATCCTATTGTGCCCATGCTGCCCGAAGTTAGGAATGCCCGGGGGGTCCGCCAGTGAAAGCTTCGAGCTGTCCCCATTCGGTGCTGACCCACGCCAGGTGGAAATAATCGCCTTCATAGGCGGCTGGCGGAGCTGCCGATCAAGCTCAACCACGACTTGGTGAGGCGTTGGGTCATCATTTCTGTGTCCATCCAGAAGCGATGGAAATAGGTTCTTTTCCTTCCTTCCACGCTTGGATTTGTTTGAACCAGGTGACTCAAGGTTTCTGCAGTTGGATCTGCGATGTCAGAGCCGGTAGGGTGTCTCTCAAGCCTCAATACACCCCACCAGTGACTTTACAACTCTAACATTGCCTGGCTCGAGATCGAATTGACTGATTCTTCCACAATTGTCCTGTTCTGTCGCACGTGTCTTCGGTGAGAACTTTGCAGGGTCACCAAGCACACGCGCATCAAGTCTGGTGCCTTGTGCCAGAATTAATCAGCATTCTACACAGTATAGTTTGCATACACTGCTCCTTACGTACCCATCATATGGACTAACTCAGATTTACCCTCATCAAAGCTTCCTAAGCCGAGAATGTGGGGTGGCAACGGGCATATGAGCTTTCTCTGACAGTTTAGAAACTAGCGCTGGCCCAAGCACGACTGCAGAGAACTCCATCCCCTGCAATGATTACTGGTCATTTCGCACGACTAATCAACTGTGCTGACCAACGAATCATCTGTTTGGTTTGTTCAGAGACTGTGTCTTCTGTAGCGTTTATGTCGGAGATACCTTGAGTCTTGGATGTATAGCTTTCTAGAGCTTGTGCATACGCCGTTCTGCTTAAAACCTCTGAGCTGATATCTTTAGGGATGGCTACTAGAACCGGACCCCGTCGCCCGTGCATAGTATGCTTAAAAGCCTTCTGCAGAGATGAGGGCAGCTCTTTAGTTACATTCATGACGGTGAACCATTTCGTGCATGGTTTAGCAAAGGCATGAACATCTATTTTTTGAATGGCACTTGTGCCCTGCGTAGTGGTCGCAACTTACCAAAAGATGACAGCCATGGGATTCCCATCTAGTAGCGCTTTCAGCATGGAAATTACCAATTGGAGGTGCCTGGACTGGGTGTAACGAGCACTACTCCTGGCATGCCTGTCCCTTGAGCGTATCCCTCCACCGTGTGGCCGGCACCTTGCTCATGGTGCGTATGAATTAAAACTTGTCAGTGCCGTATATTCCATCAAATAAAGGAAGTGGAGCCCCACCAGGGTACCCTACTGTACAAAAAGTTCATTTACTATGCTTTCAGCGACTGTTGACCTTTAATAGGATTGTGACTCACAAACATATTCCACACCAAGGGCGGATAAAATATAATTAAAAATGTCGCCCCCTTAGAGGCCAATTAACTGGTCAAGATTCATATATCTCACTCTCAAATGAAAGCGGTGATGCACATGGATGATTCACTCAAGCATCAACGATCAGTGGCAGGTGTATGTCTTACAGCTTGTTAAGGAGTTATTCGAAACTTAAATCAACTGTGTGCTTACTCCAAAGATATTAGATAAATTTATACTACACGAGTAGCGAAATGACCTCACTCCTAGAACTGACGTTTTGCAACATCGCAAACCATTGCGGCTAGCTCTGACTGCGGATGGCCCTGATATCATAGATCAGGAGCATATACTCTCTCACCGAACCCTATCCATAATGGGCAGGTCAATTCATCCCAATAACATAGTTCCTACTGGTTGCACAAAGGAAAAATCAACCTGAGGTCTTGTTGTGGTATTATCCTGCTCCAAACCTAGGAAAGGCTTATTATTGCATTGCTTCTTATAGGAATGAGAACAATCCTCCACCCTCCAACAACAACACCTCACACCAGGAAAACCATCTTTGATGATCCAAATATCATCAGTGCATATTAACAATGGTCACACGGCCTACTGCCATTGGGTGCTCGTGGTCAATATACGCAACGTAGCTAGTATATATTAATAGAATTATTGCTCTTATGTAACAAGAACCAACACTGAGCGCCAATGAACCCTCATTGAATGATATAGACAGTAATGGACTGCCCAGAGGTATGAGCTGTTATGCATCCCTATTCCGCCACGTCACTTTCCACATTTCTGACCTAAACAAATCTTGCGTCAATATGCACGAGGTCATAGAAGCCGCTACGTCATGGTTTTGGGAGGTAAGGTACAACATGTCATTTAACCAACCGCATCACACACCCTATCATATAATATCCACTGAGGCCTTCGGGTTATGCTAGCCTGTCTTATCAGAAACGTAAAGGCCAATAGCCAATAAGAATTTATGGCAGAATCCAACCAGATCTATCAATACTCAGTTATCAGTGCTCTTGCACAGGGTCTGTGTATGAGTGGTATTCCGGCAGCCCATGTACTCTCCAAAGGCGACCATGGCATTGGGACGCTGGCGAGCCTTGATAAAGAGCTTGTGATCATTGAGAGTGAATTCACTTCAACTGGAGGCGCGCGGCCCATCAGTTCCTCTGATACAGTGCCCTTCATTATAGCCACCTACTTCAAGCTCAATAAGAGGTTAAACTTAGCACTCTGACACATGAGAAACTTTTAAGCGAGCTCCTGCATGTTTATAAGTTCAGCAAAAACAAGTGTCTCCCCTTTCTCATTGAAGGGTTCTTCTCTTGACTGACATACCAGGTCACTGGGCCCCAAATTCGTCCGCGCGAAACTCCAGTGAGGTTGTGCAACGATAAAGCATTTATTCTTTGCAGAACCAAAAAGGTTGCATCTCTGGGTTTTGGTCTTCTGAGTTTATAATCCCAGTAACTGTTACCGGTCTTCACCTGCACTTTTTATCCGCTGATAAAACAGAAGGTGGCAATCTGTTAGAGCTTACCGCGGAAAAACTTCTCAGTGTCAGCGGCTGCAACAAATAAGTTTCATCTAGAACTGCCGCAAACAGAAGAGTTCGAGACAGAAAATATCGTACAGCCTGATCAGATGGCCCTGAGGCAGGCAGAAGGTATGGGCGCTTGAGTGTCCATCTCTTTCATCGAATGTATCAATTCATGCATATGCGCATGCCGTTTTAGGGTCACATTGCTTTTGTTTGAAGGCATTGTGGCAGCGGTTTTACGACAATTTTTGTACTGCGTTACTCATGCCTACACGGCTGCCGTACTACCTAAGACTTGAGCAGTGAGAATTGGAATATTAGTTTACAACATTGGGCGCTAAGTGCTGTTAGAAAGTGGAAGCGTAATCTTCCGCAATATAATGATTCTTGCATTTTGTGGGACTGTTTTCCTTCCGACGATCTCAATGCATATCAGGCCGCCGGATCCCAGGCTCGGCTACCTTTCCATGAACAAACTCGGACGTTTCATATAGCTCTTAAGTAATAAGAATTAAAACCGACTCGAACAAAGGGAGCTAGGCAATGCAATATTCTTCCTGAATTTTCCTTTACACTTTGTTGCAAGGCAGATTTCAAATTGCAAGCAAAAGGCGGGCTAGGCTAGAGACGCGCCAGTTCTGGCGCCAACGCAACCACATTATATGTATTCTACTGGCATGTTGTATTCGAAGCTCTAAGAACAATCCAGTAGACTATAGTGCTTCCCTCGCAAGAACAAATTAGAATTAAAGATGAAGATTAGGCAAAAAATCCCGCTTGCCCAGTTCCACGCCCTGACTCCTCAGAATTGCGTATGCCATAGTCGTGTGGAAGTGGAAATTAGGCAGCGCAAACTCTCTCACATAACTCTCTCCATTGAAAGAAAGCTCCTGCGGCCATACTTCATCGTCAATTCCTTGCCTTCCCTGTCCACGAAATCACTCTCCTTGGCTTCTCTAAGCAGATCAATAGTCTTTGCGATTCGGGCTTGGAGCTCTTCCACTGTGGATTCTTCGTCTTTCATTGGTATATTCTCAGTTTGGGTAATCCGCGCAATGCTAAGTTTGGCTGTGTTACAGGCGGTCCTGATCTGGAAACCCAGTCCATTAATGTTTGCGTGAAGGGACGCATTGATGAGGTCGCTAAGGGGCAGACCCTTTGATTTAAAATGAGACTCTCCCTTTGACAGTATGTGCGAGAGGGTTTTGCAGTCCTGTGATGAAGACCGGGACAGTGAAGGTGTAAAGGGGAGCATGCAAATTGATAGCTGGATGAGAATGAGCTTTAAACATACACTATATAGAAAAATGATACTTTCTTAGAAATCGTTGCTGCTACAATTTTTCTTATGACCTTCGTTTTAAATATACAACTCCTCTCATTCCTTCCGGCGGTAACAGGAAATGACTGCGAAAATCGATCTATGACGTTCTATAACGCTGACATTTTATGGGTGTAGCTATGTTAACAAACCATTAATGAGGCTTATGGTGTATTAAACACATTTGTTTTATGTTTCTGTGGTTCTGTTGTCATTGACAGCCATTAGTTTGTCGTCGACAGGACATACTTGATGTACTTCCACGTTTTAACTCCAAATCTCTAGGATAAGGTATGACCAAACTCGAATGTAATACAATATGTGTGAAAGCTTCAACAATGTTTATTTTCGTCAAAGAGGCCTGAAAAATGATCAAGTGGAAATAGACAATTGATTGCTTGCATGTGTGGACATCAAACAGTAAATGTCAGGGAACATACAGAATACCTAATCCTCAAAAATCCCTTTTTCTTACATCATCATTCAGTAACTAACTTAACTAGTAGACAAATAACAACCTTACATTATGACACCGGCAGAAGTCAGACGGAGGTGGCGCGCAGATCTTTGGGGTTTTCAATCTATAATTTGTATACTCACTCTCGATGATTGCAGTTAGGTTTGGATTGATTCGCAATTGAGTTTGATACAGCCCTTGTAGAGTACAGGTTGATCGCCACCTGTCGGATCTGCGGCTAGTGGATAGCGGTACAAACCATGGATTCGAACTTTTGCCGTGCCATCTACCTACCATTATGGAGCACATACAGAGACCTAACTATCAATGATATGACGGAGGTAATTACTAAAATTTGCTGCAGATGGACGATACGTGTCTTAGCAATAGAGTTTCACAGCCGCCACAGTCCTTCAGGATATCGGAACACGAAGTCATTTTTAGAAGCGATGCTTATTACACTTTCTGTTAGCCTTTGGGGTCGTAGAACCTCAATCTTAGTGGACAACTTCACAGCCAGCGGAACCTTGAATATCGTGGGATATGATTCATTCTCTGTGCGCTGCGTGTTTTCCAAAGGCTAAGCTCTCAAGTTCTGCCATGATACGATCAACCTGCAAAGTCAAAACCGTTGGAGTAGTGTTTCCTCAAACGCAAAGCAAGATTCGCTGGGTAGACGTAGCTGTGATGCACAATTGCCACATATGATGATCCGCATGCCATTGTAGTTCTCATCAAGTGCTGCTCGCAGAAACCTTGAATTCCTTCTTGGATGTATACTGTGGCATGAGGCGGGTAATAAGTATAAATGGTGGATGCCTGGACCCAATCCAAATCGTTCAAAATGGCGTTGGCCACGCACAGATCAGAAACCAAGGCTTCACTGTGTCAAGATTGATTGTGCTATATCTCATTTGCTTTGGTCCCTTGTTAGTTACGGCCATTAACTATTTTACCTGTCAATATGGACCATTATCTCTCCACTCACGCCAGTCAAAAGCCCGACTCCATTGCTGTGGAAGATGATTCTCAAAGGCTGACATACAAGGATCTGGAGACTGAAGTTGACAAGCTGGCTTCGGTTCTGAAAGGGCTTCGATTGAATGCTGAAGAGCCGATTTGTATCTTGGAAGAAATAAACTCGAAACTAGTCATTGCTCAGCTTGCAGTCATTAGAGCTGGGCTGACCTGCGTTCCAATGGGGCTGTCTCTTCCCAGGTTTCGTCTAATTGATATGCTCAACGATATTGGGGCCAAATATGTCCTGTCAGATAGGAACAACATCGCTGATGGCACTGAATTTACCTTGATACCTATCTCAGGACATTCTAGCCTTGAATACGAGTCGGATGCGCAAGAGGATGGTCAAGTTAATGGCGTGTCACAGCACGACGAACCTCACGAATACCGCAGCCACATCCTCTTTACATCTGGATCAAGTGGAAAGCCAAAGGCTGTTCAGATTCCTGAGAGAGCCGTCCTTCATTTAGTCACTAATACGCCTATTACGCCTCTGAGAGATTCCGACCGTGTTGCCCTCATAAACAGTCCTGGCTTTGATATTTCTATTTTTGAAGTATTTTCTGCACTTGTTGCTGGCGCAGCGATGATCCCCATGCCCCGTGTGGTGGTTGCGGATCCTTTCATGTTCCGAGAATTTGTCACGGAGAAAGTCTCGATAGTTTTCTTAACAGCAGCCCTGTTCTCCATTATCGGGCATACTTGCCCAAATGCCTTTCGCGGTGTTCGCCATCTTCTCAGTGCAGGAGATGTTCCCAGTGCAGCTGCCATGCAAAAAATCTTTGAATCAACCTGGGCACCAGAACATCTGTGGAACACGTACGGCCCGACAGAAACAACCACGTATTCTACAGTTCATGAAGTCAACGCTGAAGAATTTCAGCACCGCTCAATCGCTATTGGCAAGCCAGTTGGGAACACAGAGTTGCGTCTTGTGGACGAAAATCTGAATGTGATTTTGAAGCCTGGACAAGTAGGTGAGATACTTCTCGGAGGACCTGGCTTGACTCTGGGCTATATCAACCGCCCAGAAGAGAACCAAAAGCAATTCGTCACGTTTGATGGGATCAAGTACTATCGGACCGGTGATCTAGCGATGTGGCGCGACGCTAACCCCGATGTTCTCGAGTTCCTTGGCCGTGCGGATCTTCAAGTCAAACAAGGCGGATTCAGAGTAGAATTGGGAGAGATCGAACAAACACTCATGGCAAGCGGCTGGTTGTCTGGAGCTGTTGTACGGCAGATTGACTCGAGCGACGAAGAAGAGGAGCCATTTCTCGTCGCATTCATCGTCCCTGCTGTTGCCAATACCATTAATGCACGGAAACTCTCTGATTACCTGCAGCAGAGACTGCCGTCTTATATGGTTACAAAAGATTATGTCTTCTGTCCGGAGTTCCCCTTGACGGAGCATAATAAGGTAGACCGGAGAGCACTGGAACAGCAATACTGGAAGAGACGAGAGAAGCAGAAATCAACGGATGGAGATTTGGCCAATGGACCTAGTAACGACACTGCGAGTGCTATTAAGCAACTATGGTCATCTCTACTGCACAAGGATACTTTTAACGATAATGACGACTTTTTTGCACTTGGAGGAACTTCCCTCAAGTCTGCCGCCTTGATAGGGAAATTGAGAGAACAATTAGGCAAAATAATCTCCATGCGGTCCCTTCACGAAAATTCATGTCTTGCAGATTTGGTCAAATACCTCGACGAATATGCAGAGGGGGGAGATGCACCAGATGAGGCAGAAAAATGGATTGAAGATTCCAAGCTTGCTGATAGTTTGTTTGCTGCCCCTGACTGGCAAGCTGATGATGAAGGAAGAGTCTTTGTATCAGGTGTTACTGGGTTTGTTGGCGTGAACTTCCTCAGCCGATTTCTACAGATGTCTACTGTCAAAGAAATTGTGTGCATTGCACGCGCTAAAAGTGGTGTGGAGGCTGGAGACAGGGTGCAGGCGACATTGGAGCGCTATGACCTCTGGGATGCGTCGGCGCCCCATATGCATAAATTGAGGGTTCTGAGTGGTGACATCTCTGACGATCTACTCGGGCTCCCACCAGCGCAGTATGATTGGTTAGCAAAGTGGGCAAGCGCTGTCTTCCATCTGGCCGCCAAGGTGAACTTTAGTGAGCCTTATAAGGCCCACTGGGAATCAAATATCCGTGGAACAAAGAATATGATAAATTTGGCTGCTAGCGGACGGCGGAAATCATTTCATCACATGTCCAGCATTGACGCGTGGGGCCGGACTGGCTTGGTATTTGGAACTCGCAGATGTCTAGAAGATGAGCCTCTTGAGAACCATGTGCGGGGTTTACCGTTTGATATCGGATATGCCCAAAGCAAATGGGTATCAGAGCAGATAGTGCGCCGAGCCCGTGACTGTGGACTCCAGACTGCCATCTATCGGCCGGGATTTATAATCGGTGATTCTTCTACAGGGGCTGGGAACCCTGATGACTTTTTCGCTCGCTTGATGATTGGAAGTATTCGATTGGGCGCATTCCCAATTCTTCCAAAACAGCGTATGGAATATGTGACCATTGACTATGTGGTCAACACTACGTTGCACATCGCCTCTCAGAACCAAAATCTCGGCAAATCATACAGCCTGGTTGCTCCTGACCCCAAGGACTCTGTGAATCTCGAGAAGACTGTAGAGGTCATTGGCGGTGTTGGATACCCATTGAAACATATTCCATATTGGGACTGGGTTCGTATGCTTCAAATGACCGATGACATGGATAATCCCTTATTGCCAGTCATGCCGTTGTTGCAAGAACCAGTGTTGAACGGTCTCTCCCGGTTTGAGACCAGTAGGAACACACCGCACTATGACAGCTCGAATACGGTGGGCGCACTGAAAGATATGCCAGATATTCAATATGTACCTTTCGATTCCAGAATGCTGGGCATGTTCCTCGAGTTTTGGCGCCGGAAGGGATTCTACGAGGTGGCAGGTATACATAACTAGGTGTCAATAGGAGGATATAATGAGAGATAGCAGCCAAGATAGGAATAATTCACAAGGGCTCAGTATCTATGGAATTTTTACTGTACACTGCACAAATTCCACCTAATATTCTCTGTCAAGTGTCGCGTCCACTCAATTATATTGACGATATGTACAGTGCCCTGCTTGCTTGTAGCAGTTTACAGATTACATCAAAGTGTGTGTGCAAACAGTTCACCCTGTTCCCCCGTCGACTTGCCGACACAGTGCGCATGGTTGCTGTCGCTGTTCGCAGCCCAATCTACAGCGTAAGGTTAGTGGCCCATCATGACATTTGATTTTCTGCTCTCAATGGTGAGCTATACAATATAAGCGCTCACTATAGGTTATAAAAGTGTTGTGTACCACAAATGGGTTATGGGTCAATACACCGTAATAAGCGATTGAGGCCGATACGGAGCATATGGAGACGCCCTAGCCATCAAGAGCTACGAGGGCAGTAAACCTGCTAGAGCATAGAACAGAGTCAGGGTACTATGCTTCAGATACATGGATAGACACCCAATCTAATATCAAGCTACGGACGAACTTTCTTCGCGACCTTGCTCCCCGGACTTGGTCCGTTTGTCCTCGACAAGAAAGGGTTTTTGGTTTTAGCGAATCGGCCACTGTCGGTATAAAATCGGCAATTGGAGAATGAGAATACTCCCACAGACATAGATCGCGAGTATACATATTTACCTGTTGACTCCCAAGTGGCGGATGTCCTTACTTTCGTTTTTGGTATCAACCAAATGCGGTGAATAAGCTTGGAGCTTGCGATTTGCAGTTATTCTCACTCTCAGCAATGCGGGCAGTTTCCAGATCTTCAAAGGATTACCGTCCTTGCCGAGCTTGTTTCGTCGAGGCTTCGAGGTGTTGTCGAAACAGTTGCGGAAACGTGTTGGGTTGCCTTCTTGAGGCTTCCTTTCTTGAGGATCCTTTTTCGTCCCTGTCGATTCTGCAGAAAGGAATAATATTTTGAGGCTTGTGACACCATCTCAAGGCGAGTTTCAGGTAGTTTAAGGAGATGTTCTTGGATGTAAGTGTGTAGCTCTGGCGTAAGGCTGCCGAAGCAGGATACGGCCCTCTGTTTCTTGTTTTGTCGCGGGAAGAGTTTCTCCAGGGAGTCCAGGTAGACATGGAACTCTCGGGGGTCCTCATCAGGACGTTATTGGGCTCTGGGTAATTTGACTATTATATCCGCTTCAACAATTTCGGAATCCTGGATTAGGGTTAGGGTCCATTCCTTGAAGAGTTGCTACGAATTCTGTGCTTTCCCGCGCTTCCCCGTTGACATTTTTTGGACATTGATGTACCATCACTGCCGTCAAGTAGAGTCCATATGGGAGATGGCGGCAATGATGAAGATTATCTGGTTTGTATTTCCTCATATTCGGATAGAAGAAAGTGCTCTGTATACTGTCTTCCACTAGAATTAAGTTCATTTCTTTATCCTTCGAACTGCAAGGCACACCTACTTCTCTAATATTCCACGATGGGTGACATCTGAGCGAAATAGCCTTCGTTTACGCCTGGCTGCAGGTCTGTCGTGGTCTAGTTGTCACTTTGCAACAGCGGATCCGGAGGTCAGTGTCTCGAGTCAACGAGCATCCGTCGGGGAAAGAAAACGCCCAGATGGTGTCAGTGACAGCTACGTAAGAATAAATCAGACACGTCCCCAAAAAGCAGAATATACTCAATCCAGTAACCTTGCCAAACGCCCGCTATTGATTGTCTCTGTGCCTGGACATGTTCGTACACTAGCCATTGCCCAGCTGGCTTGACATACCTCTTCCCTTCCTGCGGGGGACATTTTTGGACAAACGCGCACATCACTTTCTTACTGTTGCCTTCTAGTATTAAAATGTTACCAGCCCCACGGATATCAAACCACATTAGGATAGAGTATATTTAAATCATTAAATGCTTATATACGGAGTAGTATCAATGTTAAATTTCATAAATAGTTGATATATTGAGTGCTTATAGTAGGATATTGGCTACCTACGTATCTTGATATGAATGCAGCACTAGTGGCAGGGTACCGCCCTATATTGTCTATATACCTCTAAATTCTAACTATAAAGGGTACTAATTTAGTGCATAAGGATTAATGTCTATTTTAGTGTTTGATATCCTTACTATACGAGTATTCAATATCTAAGGTATTTGGTATTTCCATTCTAGCCGCGGCCGGTGTGGATAGAAAAAGAATGTGATCCTTTGTAAATAGTTCGCCGTTGGACGGGATGAGGTATGGAGTACCAACACACGATGTCTCAGCACCAAGTGCACAGACCAAATGTCCATGGCAACCGGCAGATTCGACTCGATTCCTGTACAACCCAGCACTAGAATTCTATTCAATGTGCGGGAAAAAGGAAAGGGCACTAGGGCGCTCAACCATCAAAATAATCCCCGAGTGGCGAGTGCAAACCTGAGATGCTGTACGGGCGCACAATCATTCCACTGCAGCGGGGCCGGGGGACTTACAAGCCGGGGCAGTGTCAAAGCGCAATCCTGTACACCCTTGGCGTAAATCCCTTGCCAGAGGGATTGATTGATGGTAGAAGAGGGTGTGACCGGGCACATTCAAGTGTTACGTACGGGCTCGTTTAATAGAGACGAGGCAACTGGCTCAGTGTAAAACTTGTAGTCGTCGGCCTTATTGATCAGGTTTGACACGATGTTGACATAGAGTTATGAGCAGTGTGATGTTTTGCCGTTCTATTCTGGTCTGTCAAATACGAGAGTCAACAGTGAACTGCGCTGTGGTGAGAAAGTCAACCGGAAAAGGGAGTACCGACATCAGTGTAAGGTGTTAAAAGGCTTACTTACCCTTCTGCTATGGTTGAAGCCTAATAGCCAAAGCTAGAACTATGTGTCACTGTGAGTGGAATTAGCATCCACCCAACCAGCGGGACGGCTTGTCGATGCTTATGCATGATGCAACACCATCAGAGTGCTGGAGAGAGACCTCCCAGAAGGTCTGGAAAGTCATTTTTTTGAGTATCCCTACAAAGTCCTATCCCATCCCAGCAAGCAGTGCCATGGCCCTTTCTTTGTTGTAAACCACACTGAGCTTGTGGAGGCTACATTGTTCTAACTATCATATTGCCAATCTTGGGGATAGAGTCCAGCGAAAAGGTGACAGGAATGTTAGATTGAGAAGCTACGCGGGTACTATACAGAAGATATATCCACATTGAAATATGTCAACTATTGGCGGCCCGAAGCTCTGTGGGACCGCCCCTTGCATATCTCTAGACCAGCCATATAAATAATGTCAAGTCCCTGAAGAAGGGCGGATCTCTTGCATTCCCGTGACCTCAATCTTCCTCAGAAAGTTTCAAACCTAAATGATGCGGCTTTTGCGAAGTCTTATATACAAACACTAAGAAAAAAAAATGCTCACAAGTGCGAACGGGAGCATCGCGGAGATATATGTTCCGGACAAGCTGTTGGCGTCGGTCTCTGCGACAGACGACCAGGATCATTGCAATCACCAAAGGTTTCCCACAGGCGAGTGTGATATTCATGTTCCCAAGAAGAGAGTGTCAATTATAAGCTGGTCAGATCGTGGAGCATATCAGGCCACGACACAATATGGTCGTCCTAACCAGACATTCGCCGCTGAAGGAGGAAGGGAAGATGTATCTCTCGCAGAAAACAGCAAGACGAACGACAATCCATCCAGCCCCTGTACCGGATCGATCTCTCGCAAAGATCCTGTTTACATTTCATACGATGCAGAGTCGTCGCAGGATTTTCAGAGCTGTCAGTATACTCGAGCGTCCCTTCACCCACGCACACACAACAGGTTTAGCTATCGGAACTCGCTCCCGGTAGGCCAATCCCTAAGGAGCACGCCACGCGGCATGCAAAAAGGCAGCATCCGAAGTCTGTACAACAGGGCCTCCCTCATTAAGATCAAGCATCAGCGAAGATACTGGCGTCGGCTGCTATTCGAGTATACAGTATACACGGTCCTCATACTATTCGTATACTTTGTTCTGATCGGTGTACCTCTGTGGAATGGGGCAGTTTGGTGGCTTCACTGGGTCATGCAGAAAAAAACAGTCTTTCAGGGCGGCTGGGCGATTGTCATCGGTCTTCTCGTGTTGTAAGTTTTCCTGAGACGCGAAGGCGCAATTCAATGAACAATGGCTCACAGTCGGACAACGGTAGCTATTCGTATACCCCCCTACTTGCCACATTCGAGGAAACCTCCCCTGGACCAGAGTTCTTCCAACAGCGCCGGATTGCTCCAAACCCCACGGAAACTGCGCTCCTGATCCCCTGTTACAGATCGGCTCCCATCATCGGCAGAACGCTCGAGGCCGCGCTCCAAATCTTCCCGGCGTCGCATATCTATGTTGTTGCCAACGGGAACTCGTCCCAACCGCTAGACAACACCGAGGAGATCTGCCGCAGCTACGGAGTCAATCACATATGGTCACCTGTGGGGTCAAAGATTATTGCGATATTCATCGGTTGCTACGCTGTCAAAGACTTTCGAAACGTCCTCTTGATCGATGACGATTGCATCCTCCCGCCCAACTTCTCCGTGGTCGTGTCCCGCCTCAACGAAGAAGTCCGCTGCATCGGCTACACGATCAAATCCGTCGGACCCGATTCCTCGCGCGGATCGTATTGCCAGCAAGCACAAGACCTCGAGTACAAACTGTCCGGCCTGACCCGGTGCTTTGCGGGGCGCATCGGCAGCGCTACATTCCCCCACGGGGCCATCTCACTGTGGGAACGGACGTTTCTGAAGCGGACCCTCCACAATCATCCCGGCTTTTCCATTAGCGAGGACTGGTTTTTGGGTGATAGCTGTCGGCGCCTAGGGGGCAGGATCCAGATGTGTAGCGCAGTCTTCGTGGAGACCACGACACCCGCCTCTGTGCTGTTTGGCGAAATCGACGAAGACCGAGGCGGATTTGGCGAGCCCACGGTCTTCAAGCAGCGCTTCCTACGGTGGAACTTTTTTGTTGCCAATGGCTTGTGGTATAACCTCTCGTACCTCTTTGCATCGTGGAAGCTGGGTCGGTGGGAATTCGCGACAAAGCTCTTGGTCATTCAAGAGGTATGCACTTTTGATTGATTACGCCGCGCTTGACACGATACTGACTAGACAGATATACGAGACGATTCTGTACATCATCACGCCATTTACCCTGCCAATATCGTTCATTGTACGACCCGAATTCTGTATTGTCCTCATAATGTCGACATTAGGGCTCTATTTACTTCACGTCATTATATTCAACGAGGTCCATTTGCGTCTGAAGAAAGAGCGGATTTGCTGGAAGGTTGTCATTGGGTATTATGTACGCTGCCGTCGCCTTTGCTCGTATATTAGTGTTCTTTGCATGGTACTGACTGGAGAAGATGCCATACAAACTCCTTATGACCTTGACCAACGTCGCCAGCTGTTACTGGTCGCTGGTCAAATATGCCCGATATTTTACCCAACGTCACCCGAAGCTTACTGAGGACCACAAGGCGGTTGGAATGTTGTTGAAATTGGAAGAAATGACGGACAGCCCAGGGGAAATGCCAAAGGGCCTGGGGAGGAGCCTGACCGTGAGAACCGTCGACGTCGATGCTACTGTACATAATAGAGGCCATTTCATTTCCGAGTTGCGAGCAGAGAGATATCCTTCTGTTTGACCTGCTTGCATCCTCGGTCGGTATATATGTCTAGAATACTGAGTAAACCCCTTATAGAATAAGATCGGTTGAAAATAAATCTGATGTCCCACTGCATATACGATCTCCGTACTCAGCGGGTCGAATTCCAGCAAAAGGAGCAGAGTAGGAATAAGCGGGGCTAAGGGGATGAAGTCGAATCAAAAGGAACGCAGCACTTGTGCAAAGAGTAGCAACATTTTCAAGAAAACATTGTGCAGCTCACAGCGCAGTGATTAGATGCGCGAAGAAGATACAAGGACGTCACCGCTCCCATCTAGCCCAGTTCAAGGACAAGGCTCATCAGTTGCGAGAAACATGTTGCTAGCATTTTGGGGATTGTTCTGACCGGTATTGCAGGGATCATGATATACCCAGTTCAAAATCAACGATGTTGAGTGACGATCAATCGATTATCTTCTCCAACATACAAAACCTTCCTTTCAATTCACGATGGCCCTTATGAAATCAAGGGATGTGACCATCCACGGTGTTTCTGGTCTTCAGGAAGTTCCTGGAACATATTAAAAGGTCGAGCCAGAGTTTGGATAGGAAGATGGGGCCGTGGAAGATGGCTATGTACGACGCCTTGCCTTGCGGCGAAACAGAAGCTTAAAGGTTATCATGACAAAACTTACCGTGACTAGGGACTCTTGTACCCCACGGGGACAATGATTGCCCCAAGTATAAACTCTCGCATTTAATGGCAAAGAATTTTTTTTTAAAGTTCATAGCGAGACAGACATTTTCGTGATTACCTGAGGAAGGGGTTCCTCCATACCAACAACAGATTCCTGATTATCTTTTCTGTACACAAGGCATCAGTCCCAGAACCAGGCGTCGGAGTTAGATCAGCTGCTTGTGCCATCGGGCACCTCTTTGTCTAGCAAAGAAGGGCGAGGTGGATCGATACCTTCAGGAAGGTGAGAGCTTCATCCGCCGTGGTTCTGTTAAGGTCGATGATTAACTTATCCAAGCATTATACCGCTTACAACTTGGGCGTACTGGAAAGAGCATGGGCACAACTATCCTGTCCACTGCTGTCTCGCACGCGATGTACTCTCTGTGCCAGCCACTGGTGCAGCTGTTCAACGACTACTCAACAGCGCTAGAGACATCTGCCACTATCGCCGGGGGTCTCTCAACGAAAAGACCATTCAGGACCTGATGATGAATATGTGTTCTCAGAAGTTTACTCTGAACAGTCAGAAATTCAGTCGCCTTTGAGGCTACCGCCAGAGGGAGACATTCGAGTGAGCCGCGAAAAGTAATATGCTCTAAAAGGGGAACCGATTATGAGTTTGACCCATTTAGTTTTGGGGGAGGGGGGTAAATGGAGAGTAGGTTTGCGGTCTTTGAAAATCCTGGGATGCCAAATAAGAGACCAGCGTCGAATGGAATCAGCGATGATACTGTTGAGTCTACGGACCCCGCGTATCTTAGCCTGTCATAATGGGTATGAGAGCGCGATTATCAGTCATACTTAGACACATATTACCTCCTTATGGCTAACAGATCCTGAGTACATTGTTCCATGAGCACTCAATCAGGAGCCATAAACCATACGTGATTACTGCGGTGGTGGGTGTATGTAGATTGCCAAAGCGCATCACATACCAGGATATCAAGGCGTTTAACCATAACAACCATGCCCACTAGTAACGGGCTTACTTTGAAACACAACATAGGAGTCACAAGTGTGCATCTCTTGTTTCTATACGATGACTGAGTCGCTCATGTGGTTTTCCTACTACTTAGTTCTCTCCGTTGGAATGCCCACTCCCCGGACTAACCGTAAAACTTAACAAAGAACCAACGCGTACTCATCTATTACCAGGAAGGGACCGACTAGTCAAGTTGCCACACCTATTAGCGTGTACCTTTTTCGGGGCGCGTGTCCTGGTAAGATGTTGCAGTCACTAACTCGTCCCCTCTGCTGCATATCAAGTTAATTTCGAAGGACGCCAAATTCAACGCAAGTAATTTCAATCATCTTATGCCTGATGGGGAGTAACCTAATCCGTATCTTTGTATTTAGAACACTCCGGCATGTTTGGGGAAAATGAATTCGATGAGACTTCAGAAGAGGTAAGTCTTCAGAGTCACTCCTTTTGCCTCAACAGACAATTGTATGCTTCCACCTGCGAAGAGAGTTGACTTCCTTTAGGGCCCAGGGTCGATCCATAACCGACGGAAAGTAAAGGCGGGTGTATTATGACACTCTGTGGTTCTATTAAGAGCATAATAGCTTTATTGGAAATGATCACATGATGAAGGATTGAAAGACAGCTGATCCTTGTTTGAGAACGAGTCCAGGTGCTCCTGGCCGTGGAATGGTCGGGAGAACTTAAAATTGCGTGTTACATATGCATTGAAGATATTTCGCGCAAAACTGATATTGTCGGTGGTGAAAGCTATTTCCCCTTGATAGTTACGCACGGCCCAAACCCTATGTTGTAGTTCGGCTATAATGATTTTAAAAATGGGTGAGTGCGAATCACGGGGTTGAATAACCACATGCTCTACCGGACAAGTGTCTCTTCGTCGACCTTGATGGGCCAGCGCGAGCGAACCGCAAGCTACAACAGTTGCGATCAACATCAGTAGCCTCAGTTTCGGTTTGGTTCTCCAAGCCGAATCTAGTGAGTACACATTTCCTTAGAGCATTTCGCAATGCAGTCATTTATATGTGATGCTAGAGGAAAAGGATAAAATTTCCCTATCAACGGACCTTTATGCACGCTGCTTCTGGCGCATCCACATGCTCGTTGGTAGCTATTGGGAGCTATCGGCCCAGGAAGACTGGCCATTATAGTCCTTATATCTCGCGCCAACCCTGTCATAAAGTTACATTCGACGTTGTTCAATTGGAGGCACCTCCACATTATAAAAACCCTTTTCATTCCAAAACTTGATGAAGCGCCGCACCATCTCCCCATCCAACTTACGATATGCGATATCTGGCCGATCTCGAAGCGCCTCTTTGGCTTGATCCGCGCGATACCACGGCGAGTACTGACTGCACGTCCAACGCGTCAACGGTCCCAGCACCAGTTCCTGGAAATTGGGGAGCAGCGGCGCCAGGGGGCCATCTGGTCGCTGCTCAGCATCCACCTGCGCGACCCAGTCATCATAGTCGACCAGCCGCACTGGATACCCGGCATCGTTGAGCACCCGACACGTGTCTTCCACTGTGACGGAGTCGACCTGATCTGGAGCAACTAAGCTGTAGGAGCGGCCGAGGTTGGCGTTGTCAGAAGCAATATGTAGCAACGCGTTTACCACGTAGTCCACAGTCACGTACTCCAAGCGTTGAATGAGGCGCGGCCATGTCCCCATCTGGATGCTGCCCACTAGCAGCCGCGACACGAAATCTGAGGGATTGCTGCTGCCCGTGTCCGGGTTCCCAATCACGAAACCCGGTCGGTAAATAGCAATTGGCAGCCCGCGATCGCGCATTCGCCGCACCATCGATTCCGCCGTCCACTGGCTCTGCGCGTATCCTAGGTCATACCGGACTGCTTGGATATGCGGCTGCAACGGTCCGTCCTCGTAGACGGCCTCTGTCCCTAGCGTGCACCCCGTCGTCCCCCACACATCGATTGTCGACATATAGTGGAACGCTTTGTAGCGTCCGGCGGCCACTAATCGGAGCATATTGGAGGTGCCGACGACATTGGGTCTGCGGTGGTCACGGTAGGACTCGCAGAAATTAACCTTTGCGCCGAGGTGGAAGATTACCGACGCCCAATTTGCGAACCACGCGAATTTATCCGCCCCGAGACCCAATGTTCGATCTGAGATATCCCCCTCAATGAAGAGGAGCTTCTGTGTGTACTCGGGGGATGCTGGCCATACGCTGTACCGCTCTAGATTCTGCCGCACGCGCGTCGCTGCCGACACGCCGTCCTTCGATCGCACTAAACATGCTATCTGCTTGACCGTTGGCCGCTTCATCAGCTGGCAGAGCAGGTGCGCGCCCACGAACCCAGTAGCCCCCGTAAGGAACACTCGTCCCTCGTTGGGAGCATCCCAGCAAGGTACGACTTCGATGTCGTCCACCAGGTCGATATCTCCCATCCACGTTTTGCTGTCATCGGGAGCTTTGTGGCGCCCCGGCCGATCAGAATTATCATGTTCGGGCTTGACGAGCTGGACTAGATCTCGCAGCCGTGAGTTTCCAGTAAGATTTTCCATCGTGACTATGCAGTTCAGCTGGTCGTGAATGTGGGCGATCAGCGCTGCAGCTTGGATTGATGTGCCGCCTAGGGCGAAGAAGTCGTCGTCATCTCCTATGTATGGCTTGTTCAGCATTTCGCGCCAGATATTCTGCAGTACTGTCTTGATACTCTTGCCCGTTGTCTGTTTTCCATTTGTTCTTGATTTCCCATACAAGGGCGCATTTGTTTTCGGGCGGTGGCCATTTAGGGTTTGACCGGATCCATTGGTCTGGGTGTTTATCTCCTCCTTGAGCTTTCGAACGCGCCAATTCACCAATTCCAGTCTGTCAACTTTACCGGTAGCTGTGAGAGGGAGCTTGGAGGTGAACTCCACGGCATCCGGGACCATGTATCCTGGCAGTCGCTTTTTAGTCAGGTTCAACAGGTCCTCTGCAGTAGGACTCTTCAAGTCTGGGTCAACCACAACAAAGGCTACGAGTGCTTGCCCGTCGTTCGCAGAGAGAGGCGGCTGTTGTACGACAACAGCACGGTGGATCGCATCAAATGTGTGAAGAGTCCGTTCTATCTCACCCAGCTCGATGCGGAACCCCTTGTGCTTGACCTGGTTATCCTCGCGGCCAACAAAATCCAGAGAGCCGGATTCTGGCAGCCACTCCGCCAAGTCACCGGTTCGATAAAGTCGGACGTTTTCTTTGTCATTCTCGTCTGGCCCACCTGACGTATGCCCTAGGCCACGAAGCTTAACTCGCGGGATGTCGACGAAACGCGCTGCATTCTCCGCATCTAATCCCCAATATCCTGCGCATTGCTGAGGTCCCGCGATACAAATCTCGCCCTGTTGACCGGCTTCTCCAATGGGGTTCTCTTTGTCGAGCAGAAATACCTCCATGTCACCGACAGCTTGGCCGATGCTGATGCGATCCCGTTGTGTGTCTAATACAGTCACTTCGTGCATCGTTGTCAATGTCGTGCATTCCGTAGGCCCGTACGTATTCCACAGATGCTGCGGAGGACCATCACTGACTAGGATTTTCCTCATGGCATGAACGTTTGCCACGTCCCCGGCCGTCAGCACATGGCGCAAAGAGTGAAACGCGGTCGGGGATGCAAAGGCTATGATCTCAAAGAGCGCTGCGGTAATTATAATAACGCTGATGGCTTGGTCCTTCATGAAGGATGACATGCCATTAGGGTCTGTGGCAATATATCGGGGGATAACCACAATCGTGGCGCCGGCGATTAATGTAGCCCAGACCTCAAACAGACTTAGGTCAAATCCGGGGTTATTAAACTCTGCGACCCGGTCTGTATCTTTCAGTGGTGTCACGGGCGTCTGGGTGGCCAGGTGCAAGATCCCTGATGCGAGGATCTGGACCGGCTTCGGTTTGCCAGTTGAGCCGGAAGTAAAGAGAATATGACTTCGATCTGGTGGGGACCTCTCTATTCCTTTTATAGGTGCTGATTCTTCACAACTTCCGATACATATATTGACAGGCTTGAATCCACGTTCCACGAATGCCGATGTAGATATTTCGGGGGTATCCTCGACATCCACTACGACATATTTCACGCCGACATCTTGCATCATGCGTATGATTCGCTGTTCAGGAAGAGACAGAGAAGGCTCCATTGGGACGCAGATTGCCCCAGCCAAGCGAACTGCCAGCTGGGCAACAACTTGCTTAATACCTGGGCCGAGCAAAATACCAATAGTGTCTTCCGTTGAAGTTTTGGTTCGGCTGTCACGAAGGCTGCTTGATAGCCAACTTGCTTCTCTGACAAGCTCGGCGTATGTGAGAGATCTGGTTCCTTCAATGACGGCCAGAGCATCTGGGGTACGCTGAGCATGAGCCAGTATGATATGCTCCATGTTCGATGGACTTGGTCTAGATTGCAATATTCTTGTTTAAAAGTAGAGGCAGTAATGTTGATATCTGTAATCCAAAACTATACTTGGCCACAGAGCATGCGGGCTGTCTTTATATCTGATGTCAATAGACTTATCACTTCATCATGACATATATTGGGTCGTATGATGTAGGTCAAGACGTCAAAACTAACCGCAACTTGTTTTGGACCCGGATCCCCGGATCCCCGGATGTATTCGAGCTTAGAACGCATAGGAAGAGACTTAGAACCTGGAAAACACAAGCATCAAGCCACAACGGATCATGACGTTCCCGGCATAGGAAGCTAGATCTTGACGCAGGCCAAGAACAATATCAATATTTGTCCTAGCAGGCTGATATCTCTCAGGAATGGCTATTTTCAGCGAGCAACGAGCAAACCCAGATGTCCATTGGTGGCTTGTGTTCCAAAGTCTTATAACCGGCGGTACGATATCACCTGGTTGCCGTTGAAGTCATAGATTAGAGAGGAGACCTGGGACTCTGTTTTCAGCAAATGTTTCCCGGCCAGCTCAACTGGACATAGCATGACGTACTTGATCTGACTTGGTATTCTCTATTATTTAGGGCCAGAAGCAAATGCATGCCGTCATTATCTTCCTTTTTGTGTTCATTACTGGATAGGACGGGATTTGAAGTCGGCTGGACTTGTTCGAAGGTGTAATTGGCTCCAATGCCTTTGAGTATCTGCAGCAAACAGAATCTAGCGTAGAAGGGTCTATTTAGCCCCAAAGCTCATGGGTATATCTAGCAAATACAGCCCGAGCGTATAACGTTTTCATTGGAACATAGGCCGGCCTAGCTCTGATTACAGCAAGCTATGAGAGACCAATTATACTTTCAAAAATACTGGTCTGTCCCTTGAGACTATGGCAAAACGCTTTAGGAACTGAAGCTGGTATTTCGAGTTCTTGACCCAGACCATCGACCTTATGTTTAAGGTAACAGGTTTAGGTGGTGCTAGAACCATGTATTCAGGTAAACTATCGAGCTTTTTGTTCATTGGTATGAGCAGGGTTAGATAACGCAAGCAGATGCTCGAGGGACTTACGACCTTTTCGCCATGATGCAACTCCTATATCGTCCTCCATCTACGATTCTGGAAAACTTTAAGTCATTTCGGCATGATGTCAACTCCTACATCGTCACGACGATTATATGTTGACGTATACAAAAGGTAATTCATTTTTGGTGAGCACTGTTGTTCCAACGAAGGCAGATCGGGGAGGATTCACCTACGGTAATTTTTGGACATTAAGCAAAGCTACCATCCTCGCAATTGAATGAAATCAAGGCCTAGACTTACTTTCCCTGGAATAGGGAATAACGCACGGTTAACGGTGCCCTCCAGGGATAGCGAGGTTCTAACCTACTTGTCGCGAAGAGTAGATAATGCCCAAACTTCCTCTCTCCTAACATAAATACGATGTGTTCAGTGGTATACTTTTGCAGATCACTGCTCCTAATTTATTGATCAGGGTGATTGAACACTTACATCAAAATAGAAATAAAGGTGTCAAGAAAAGCAAAATGTCTACAGCTTTGCTCCGCTTACGATCGAGGTGGTTAGTATATTTCTCCCATTCGAACTGAGTGAATCCACATTGCTGATCAATTGGAATGGTTTCAGCTCCTGCATTAATATTCGTCCAATTCAGAGTGTGCCTCTTGTGCGTGAGCTATGGAGAACTGCCATAAGGGAATCTGACACGAGGCCTCCCTCGACTGCAACACAGAGAAAACTCAAGCCAGATTCAAAGGATTTCAATTGTAAGCCATCCGCTAAATTCTCTCAAAGTGCTGCGCCTCCAGTTTCTCATCGTTCAAAGCTCGCATGGACTTCAACAAACAGACCAATGTCTTTGATTACGTTTCTTTCTACTGCGCACATATCGAGTCAAAAAAACAAGACCAGTCGTATCGTTACTTTAAGAACATAAATCGCCTTGCCCAGAGCTTCCCGCAAGCTCACCGGGAGTGCCCGCAGAGCCTCGTGACAGTATGGTGCTCCAATGATTATTTGGGGATGAGTCGAAACCCCGAGGTACTCAATGCCATGTGCGAAACCTTGTTCACGTATGGCTCCGGAGCGGGGGGCACACGGAATATCTCCGGCCATAACCAACACGTGGAGCGAATTGAGACCACACTAGCCGAACTTCATCGCAAAGAAGCAGCTCTGCTTTTCACATCTTGCTACGTGGCAAATGATTCAACCCTCTCAACTCTCGGCTCCAGACTGCCTGGTTGTGTGATATTCTCGGACAGAATGAATCATGCGTCGATGATACAGGGTATTCAACACTCGAAAGCAAAAAAAGTGATTTACAATCACAATGACGTCCAAGATCTAGCAACAAAGCTTGCAACAGTCCCGAAGAATGTTCCCAAGATTATTGCTTTTGAGTCTGTGTATTCAATGAGCGGCACAGTCAGCAACATTGAAGAAATTTGCAACCTCGCCGAGCAATACGGTGCTATCACCTTTCTTGATGAGGCACATGCTGTGGGAATGTATGGCCCCAGTGGTGCCGGTGTAACCGAGCACCTTGACTATGAAGCTCACCTGGCTGGCAATCACCGTGGAACTATAATGGACCGCGTCGATATCATCACAGGGACCTTAGGAAAAGCCTATGGGTGCATTGGGGGCTATATCGCAGGAAAATCTATCTTGATCGATTTCATTCGCTCTCTTGCTCCAGGCTTTATCTTTACCACTACCCTTCCTCCCGCTATCCTAGCGGGAGCCGAAAAATCAATCCAATATCAACGTCAGACCAACGATGATCGAAAACTGCATCAGATACATGTTCGGGCTGTCAAAGAAGGTCTTTGTAATATCGACATTCCAGTGCTCTCTAATTCGTCCCACATGGTACCTATCCTTATCGGCGACGCCGAAGGGGCAAGAAAAGCTTCAGAGACATTACTGGCAAAATGGAAGATTTACGTGCAAGCGATCAATTACCCGTCAGTCCCAACGGGTCAAGAGAGACTGAGAGTCACGCCTACCCCCGGGCATACGAAAAAAATGCAGGACCAATTTTGCACAGCAATCAATGATGTCTGGAATGAACTTGGGTTGAGGCGCACCAGTGACTGGCTTTTGTCAAGCGATTTAGAGAATCCAGAGACAGCAAAGATGGTTGAAAGTTTGGAAACAGAGATAAAACCTTTGTGGTCAGATGAGCTACTGGGCCTCTGATCCAGTTGGAAGCCACTTGGCAGGCAATGAGGAACTTGTTTAATTTTTGAGGGGCCATAAGGCTGGGAAACATGATAATCATGTCGTGCAACAAAAACCTAAGCAAAGAAACATTCAATAGCCGTTATTATTTGTTGGCAGAAGGGGATATACTTAAATAGTCTTCAAAAAAAAGTTTGCGACTGTTCTTTATTGTAGATGAAACGAATCTTTGCATTTCTCGTAGCTGTAATGGCCGTTTGAGTAATGAATAACCTGTCATTGGCCTGCAGCTGAATAATGCGGTTAGTCATTCCTGCAAACAAAAATCTTATCGCTACACATTTGCTGTCCTACGTCCTAGAACCCTGGACATACCCCTTCTTCGCCTCCCCTCCGCCGTCAGGATACCAATTGTACCCATCAAACGGAAGGAACATTCCTCTTTCTTCATTATGCCAGACCCGATTTGCATGGATTATATCATTGATGACGTGAGAGACTGACGTGAAGGTGTTGAGCGAGGAACGGCCCATGGACGGCCATTCCTTGGAAGGAGTGTGTTTCTAGGTTGTCATTGACTAGCTCGTTGGAATAGCTCATTGGCCAAATGGTGGTGATAACATGTGATAGAGAAGAACCTAGTCCTCAGGGATTTAGCCAGACATCGAAGAAATGTAGACCATGACGACACATGAAGACATGTCCCACCTGTGCCCGTTTTAGATTTCCTATTTTTCCTGCAGACAGAGCCAAATAATGCCAATTCCCATCGGATTTATCAACCTGATTTCTTTCGTTCTGAGTTCAATTTCTTCGCTAACGGGCATCCTAGCCTCAAGCTGTATTTTCGCGTTACGAAATTAAGCCAATACAATGGGCAATAATACCAGTCAACCTGCTTCTCCTTGTGGCCCTAAACCTGACCAGCAGTTATCGAAACCAAGAAAAAGAATCGTTATCGCGATGACTGGTGCAACTGGTGCGATTCTAGGCATACATATGCTGATCGCTCTTCGTATGCTTAATGTTGAAACGCATCTTGTCACCAGCAAATGGGCGGAGGCCACCTGCAAACACGAAACGGACTACAATCCATCTAATATACGCGGCCTAGCGGACTTCGCGTACAGAAACAGCGATATGGCGGCTTCCATTGCAAGCGGCTCTTTTCGGTCAGACGGTATGATCATCATTCCCTGTAGCATGAAGACCCTTGCGGCCGTTAGCTGTGGTTTTGACGATGACCTGATCTCCCGAACTGCGGATGTCATGCTAAAGGAGCGCCGTAAGCTGGTCCTCGTGGTTCGAGAAACGCCCCTCAACACTATTCACCTGCGCAATATGCTCTCTGTGAGTGAAAGTGGAGGCATCATTTTCCCGCCAGTTCCAGCATTCTATACACACCCAGCGCAATTGTTAGATGTTGTGGATCATTTAATCGGACGTGTATTGGATCTATTCGATCTGGACACAGGGAATGTCAAGCGTTGGCAAGGATTCGTTGAAGCTAGATGACCTATACATGCAGGTGGCAAAGACGAGACCCCAGATATACTTGTAGGTAGCAATATATGACATCATGGATGCCGCAAGCGGCACAGATGTGAAGGATATAAACCACTAGTTCCATGGACATTATTCTCGCTTAGACAACTCGTCTCTGCTGTTGCCGTGAATCGTAGAAACGTCCTTCCCAGCTGCCATTTGGTATCATCTAGCTATCATCATGCCTCAATCTCATACCAATAGCCAAGACCTCCCTCATATGAACTTTCGCTGCTTTGTGGATGCGTTGAGAGAGGACGACGACTTGGCGGAAATTGAGATGGAGGTTGACCCGATCTTGGAAGTTGGTGCGATCATCAGGAAAGTGTGCGAGACAAATGACAAGGCACCGCTGTTGAAAAGGCCTAAGGGAAAAGACGGTCACCTATTCCAGATCCTCGGGGCGCCCACCTCGCTCCGTTCTAATCCTGAACAACGATTTGGTCGTCTTGCTCGCCATTTAGGGCTAGCACCAACTTCCACCATGAAGGAAATTGTGCATAAGATCTTGTCCGCCAGAAACCTCAGAGCAATCCCACCCAACATTATCTGTACTGGACCTTGCAAAGAAAACGTGTTGAATGAAGGCCAGTTCGATCTCAATGCCCTTCCAGCACCACTCCTGCATAGTGCTGATGGTGGCAAGTACATCCAAACATTCGGAATGCACATCCTGAATTCTCCAGATGGAACATGGACCAATTGGTCAATTTCAAGGGCATTGGTTTCAGACCGAAATCACCTGACCATCAATGCTGTCAAGCCCCAGCATATTTGGCAACTACATGAGCTCTGGAAGGTGGAAGGGAAGTACATGCCCTGGGCATTGGCTTTTGGGGTTCCCCCTTCTGCTATAATGGCCTCCAGCATGCCTCTTCCGGATTATTTCAGTGAGGCTGGCTATGTTGGGGCGCTGACAGGCTTTGGAATTGACATGGTCAGGTGTGAGACCAATGACCTACTAGTCCCGGCCACTTCCGAGATCGTTTTTGAGGGAATCATTTCCCCGGATGAGACCTTACCAGAGGGACCATTTGGCGAAATGCATGGGTATGCCCCCAATGTCTCACCAGAGATATGGACTACGGTTTAATAAACGTTTGACATTACAGATATGTTTTCCCCGAAGATTGTCAGAGTGGTCTTAAAGCTCGGGTAGATACCATTACCTTTCGGAACAACGCCATCATGCCAGTGTCTTGCCCAGGGAGACTCACCGATGAGACAGTGAGACCAGCAAGCTTTCTATCATCCGAAGCTCGGTAGACTAACAGATCCAGCATACTATGATTGGACCGCTCACCGCGGCGGAGATTCAACAGCTTTGCCAAACAAATGGCCTCCCCGTACGGGAGGCAATGATATTGTTCGAGTCTCAGGTGACTTGGGCAGCTCTTCAAATAGATACGTCGCGACTGCGCTCTATGAGAACGACATCGGAGAGTTTCTCGAGACGCATAGGAGACTTGGTGTTCAGACACAAAGTCGGCCTGATCATACATCGTCTGATTCTAGTCGGAGAGGATATAGATGTGTACGACTTCAAAGATGTCATGTGGGCATTCTCAACACGCTGTCGCCCTAACATGGATGAGTACTTCTATGAAGATTGTCCTGGATTTTCCCTGATACCCTACATGAAACATGGAAACGGGGATTCTCAGAGAGGTGGTAAAGTAGTGTCTGATGCTCTGATGCCCAGCGAGTACGTCACAGGCTGCGACTGGGAGGTAGCCGATTTCGCCCATTCTTACCCTGAGGATGTCAAAGCCAATGTCAAACGAATATGGGGGCCGGTTGGACGTAATGGCTAGTCCCACCACGGGTACATAGGTCTGCCAGAAACTTGAGACACGCCTCTATTCGAGATTTACTTGTAAAGACGATATTGATTGATGATATCTCTTCATTTATCCTCTAGCCTCTAGACCATTCACATAAGAGAGCTGTAGGCTCCTAGCTAACTTGATACACTTTCAATATCGTAGCCTGTTCCCGCTATCAATTGCGTTTTCCCGTCCAAATCAATGTTATACGCTTCTTTCCCTCTTCATAATAATATTCTCTAGTTGTTCAAGTCTTGCATTAACTCGCGTTCTATCGCGGTGGGAGAAGGAGAAACCCGCGTAGCAGCTAGGGTTACCTTATCTAACCAACTAATGGGCTAGTTTAGTTAATAAAGTGGCTCTGGCCTTAACCCTACAATACTTTGGCCATCTTTACTGTAAATGGCCCTTTACTTTCGTCAGCGCATCGAGTGGTAACGTACAGCTGTCAAATCATAGGTCACACCGGAGATCACATTCTTTGCTCCCTGGATCAGTGTAAAGATTGCGTCCAGCATATGCTACCATCCGCCACTTTTCTTGTCCAAACATCGATGCTGAGAGTGAGCTCGCTAGTCGATAATCTCTAGATTGTCATTGATTACTTTACCATGGCCCATCACGGGAACATTTGCCCACCATGGGCTAATGTGCTTCGTAATAAAATGGTTTTACCGCATCTCCACAACGACGGAGTACACAGGTCATGTGCCCCTTGCCAGAAGCCACGCGCCCGCCCCACAGGTCTTGGCGACACAACGAGGCGTCTAACCTTTTAAATACTGTTACCCATACAATGAAATTCGTTTTCATTTCCTCTTCTTCATATGTCTGTCTCCCAACAATTTTCCAACTGCCTACCAACTACTTTTAAAGCACTTTAGAATTAGTTTGTTGAAAGTATAGGTTTTTATTATGGATTCTGAGACTTTCCTTACAAATTCGGATGATAAGAGGGATAACATTGCTATTAAGGAAAATAATGAGCAAACTGAAGATATGAGAATACTAAGTTTATTTTTAAGTATTTATTAACCAGTTCTTAATTACTTAGAATCCTACTGCGCTTATTTAACTAATAAATATAAAATTAAATCTACTTCAAATATTATATCTTGAATATATAAATGACCTACCTGAATATCTAAGGACTGATTTGAATGGATATTCTTATGTTATTGCTGTCAATGGCCGATCACAAGAGAAAGCGGAATATTTAATTCAGGATATAAGTACTTCACAAGTGGTTTTTAAGTGATTTTTAACTACTTATTTACTACTTAGTACTAGATACAATATTCTCAAGCAAGTGCCTGTGGGGCAAAAAAGAATATTAACTCAATATTTCTGAACTGCTCTATTAAAAAGTGGATGTGGAAATGCTCTGGGACTTTAATATATGAATATTTAAAGCCAGATCTTTGTATATTATATTATACCTATATAGATGAGACAATATAGACATAAATATAGGATATTTAGAAGAATATTAATCTTATTGAAAATGATATTCATGTTACGCCTGGGTATTCGGGCAAGAGCTCTATGAGTGTTAGCTGCCTTGCGTTGCGATACTACTTTACCTAAGTAGTGAACCCGAAGTGATTCCAATATAATCCTGTCCAGGATCCAACAGTATGACCTAATCCGAGGTCCAGGGATGTACAACAATGTTACGCGAATAGCTCAAGTCCAAAAGGCCAGGCCTACTAAGTACGTATACTCAGTAGTTAAGGAAGTGCGAACGAGTCGATTACTAACTTGATACCAAAGATGTATCCTAAGTAACAATTGTAATTGATCATGAAGAACTAAACTAAGTACATGAATGAGTGTTCTTATATATCCATCTTTGGGGTGTAGTGGTAACTGGGTTGGTATACCAGTGGTATATGCGTGGTATACGGTATACTGATTTGTATACTATTTGGTGATCGGTTGTATACCATTTAGCGCGTCACGTGATGTCAGCTGTTTGGTCTGACATAAATAGCGTGGTGGGTGTTCCTTGACTCTGGTGTCACCTCAGCCTATCATTCTGCCTTGATTCTCCGCCTCTGATAAGGGCGCTAGACAAGGGTCTGTAACAATTCAGAAGTAAAATATATACAGTTAAGTACTTTCTAACTACTTTATAAGTACTTTCTAAGTATTTAAAAATATAGTCTTTACCACTTAAAAAAAAAATTCTTTCAGAAAGGGTATACTTGTCTTAAAATATTGCTAATATATATATCTGAGTTTAAGTGTCATTTTTATCCTGTAAGTAGTTTATAATCACTTAGTAAATACTTACTAACTAGATTTGAGAATATAAATAATAACTATTATCCCTATATTAGATATATATGTTAATTGCAGCTCAGGGAGCCGCAGGTAGTAGGGGAATAGCGTGCTACGGCGCCGCAGGTGGCAGGAGCAGAGGACTGGGTTTCTATTGAACGATCTACTACCATATACAGAGGTTGATCACTGGTTTCTGAAGCCATTGGGATGCGGTAAAGATTTTACTGCAATAGATAGCACATAATCTGTATGTGCTACTATATTACCCACAGGCGCTATAAGATGCGCCTAACATTACTTCTCTCTCTCAGAAAGCCCTGGCCTCAGGGCTTTGTAGGTGCTCATTTATACAAGTGTAGAATCCTGGCTTATGCAGGATTAGTTACAGGCGCGTGGTATAGGTATTTAGTGATTCTGAGCAGTGTATAATTTCATGCTTGGGAATAGCCTTATATTTTTTATTTCAGGAAGTATAGGGGTGTTAGTTATATTATATAGGGTCTGATCCCAATTCCTGCTGTATACTCTATAGTATAAAATGCTCAGTTTTATTTACTTACTTGATATCAGGTAATGATATTATATTATAATTATATTATACTATTTACTAATTCTGTTATCTAGGCACTGCTTATATTAGATATTATTTACTATATAGTAATTTCTTATATACTGTTTCTTATTTCTTTTCTTAATTACTAATCTTTTCTATATCTATAGTAAATGTCTTGTTTTCTGTACTATACTATATATTTAGATTATTCTGATTATAGTATCCTATTCTGCTTATTATATTATCTATATCTTATAATTTTAAGATCTCCTGAGCTATTAGATATAGTGCTATTATATCTATTATTCTGTTAATAATTATATTCTATATTAAGCTCTTTCTCACTTTCTTTTTAGCTTTATTTATAGACTTATATATATACTGATTTCACTAGTATATTTAATAGATAGCCAAATATTAATCTGCTACTGCTTATATACTCTACTATGCTAATAGATATAAGAAAAAGAACTATATCTATTATCTATATTACTAGCAGGCTTTAGTCTCTACTATATCTTTTTCTATATCTTCTTCTATATCTTCTTCTTTTAGAGACTTTTTATCAAGTCTGTTTTCAGTTCTCTCTTTAGAGAAAGTAGTTATACTACTGGATTCTCTTAGCAGGGATAATATTATGCTTTTAGCTTTTTTAAGTAGAAAAGATCTCTTATTCTCTCTCTCTTTAGAAGATAAGGTCTTCTTATCTTCAGAAGATAATATAGATATTTCCTTACCTAAAAATAGTAAAGAGTAGTATTTATAGTGTCTCTAGCACTATAGTTCAGCTCTATTAGGGATAAGTATTGCCTATATAATCTATAAGAATTATTATGTCTATTTCTATTATATAAATAATTATTACTATTATATACCGGCAAGTGATATCTCCTGATCTCTAATACTGGATTATACTGATATATACAGTAGGTACTTACTGAGGCTATTATACAGGCAGACATAGTATTAGTAATATATCACTGCTTTAAGCAGTCTTTGTCTACTGTTATAATAAAGAAGGCTCTTAAAGCTGCAGTTCATGCCCTTAATACTACTGTTTATTCTATATATATAGTATCTGGTACAGCCCGCCGCGGCAGTAGTAGTCTAGATTTAGGATTACTGGCTTCTTCCACTCTATTCCCTATAAGTCCCTACTCTCTCTACCAGTATATACTAGATATATTTATTTCTCTCTTCAAGTAAGTCCTCTTCTGCCAAGCAGACTCCGCTGGAGCTGACCTGCAGATATAGGGAATAGAGTATTTTTGTTTTTTGATTAGGATAGTTAGGATGCGGCCTTTAGATATTTCTATAGTTTATTTTTTTTTTTTTTAATATAATTTATTTCTGCTGCTTGGTAAACTACATCCGTGTTGTCATTATTTTATAGGTCTCTTATAGATATCAGCACTCTAGGTACAGTCAGTCTTTTCTTTCTTATACTAATATTTATTAAACACTTGAGTTTCTTATATATATTCTAATAGTTTCCAGATATTATCTATAGATATATATCTTATCTATTAGACTAGATATAGCATTTCACTATATTAGATATATTTTTCTGCTAAGATATATTCTATCTCCTATTTTTTCTCTCTATTAATTAGAATAGATAATGGCTGTATCTTCTGATCTTTCTGTTAATAATATAGCTTTAATAATAAGATATAGAAAACTAAGTATAAGTAATAGTATTATAGCAGTAGTCTTAGTTTATAAGACTATATTTTTTATATATTAATAATTATAAACAGTCTTAACTAATAGTAATCTAATTTAATATTTAATTATATAGTAGAGATATTCTTTATCTATACTAGTACTTTATCTTCTATCTTAAACTATATATCTATATAATATTTATTATACTGGATTACTATTATAGTTTTAGATTTCTTAAGTATATTCTTTACTATATTATATATTTACTAGAGTTTATTAACTCTCTCTTTTACTTCTAGAGCTTTTATATATAATAGTCTATTATTAATATTAATCCACAGATTTAGTATAAAATCTATTAATATATAGAAAGATATTATCTTAGTAATACTATAAATTATAGTATTATATATATACTGCGCTGCTGGTAGTCAGCAGGCCCAGTTATTCTAAAGAAAATTATAATATATATATAGATAAT